AATAAATACCCCTGCGCCCTGGCAACGACCAAAGATTAACAATGGGAGAAACTCTTTGAATTCTCCGTATTTGCGCTGCTGCTCAATTACGATGATTGCGTGCCTCAATCTATCGAACCAGATCCAATCTTCCCATTTCTCAGATTCGAAATGATAAATCGACGATAAGAATAATTTAGTCTCATGCCTTAATCCTTGAAAATTCCAAAATTCATCATCCTACTAACCAAAAACTCCATCATAATTTATGAGAAAATCCAGATTTCATCCCAAAATTCCCTTGTCATGAAATTTTATAGAATCAATATTCGCAGACTTATTTAATCATGTCAATCGATAACTTCAGATTTTTAATTCAATCATTTAATATAATCATTCATTCAATTACCCTTTGAACCACATATTCCTTGAATCAATATACCGAACCAATATCTTACGAATATGATAATTATGATCATTCCTCTTATATCCCCTTAATTCCTTTACGCCCCCCCCCCCCCCCCTCTATACCTGCCTTCACAAAAATATAGAAATAAATACGAACCCTGAAAAAATTTAAATCCTAACCCGGGGGATCCCCGAAAATTCCGGGAATTTTCAATTAGGGGGATTCCCAAAATTTCAAGAATTTTCAAAGAAAATCCTGAAAATCTCGGATATTTTCGGAATCCCTCTATAAAATCCCCATAAGTAACCAACAAGAATGGAAGAAGAGAGAATCATCCGACAAAACCGCCACAGAACGATAAACACAACCGAACCCATAACCTTGATTGAGAATGAATACGATTCATTAAGAAAGAAAAGAATAGTATTAATGGAAAACAAAATATTGAAATTATAAAAATATGAAATTTAAAATATATTTATCACGAAAGAATAGTAAAAATCACCAAATGATACGCCATTAGAATGGAAATATCTCAAATTCCATCCATAATATATATCTCTCAAATGAAAAAAAACCAGAGAAAATATATTTAATCAATATTTCATACATTCGAAGATTATTAGAACATTTTTATCAAAAAAAGTATCTAATAAGATTTCAATACGCCCACACCCACACACCCACACACCCACACACCCACACACCCACACACCCACACACCCACACACCCACACACCCCCACACCCACACACCCACACACCCACACCCCCACACCCCCACACCCACACCCCCACACCCACACACACACACACACACACACACACACACACACACACACGCTCACTCACTCACTCACTCACTCACTCACTCACTCACTCACTCACTCACTCACTCACTCACTCACTCACTCACTCACACGCACACACACACACACACACACGCACACACACACACACACACACAAAATATGCTTTATAATCAAAAGATAAAGATACAATTATGAATGAAATTTTCAAATTAATAGGGACCCATCGATTCTATCGACAATATATCTGCTTCCTGAATTGAAAAAGACGAATGCTAACATCAGAAAGAAACTCTGAAAATATCAAAATATTGGGGGCCCTACGGGACCGACTCGCAAGCGTGGCGGACGCCAACTTTTCCAGTAAGAGCCTTAGCGAATGTTTTAATTTGAAGGCATGCCTGGTAAAAAGATATTCTTTTCGCCTGCTTATTCAGAAGTATTTAAATATAGAAACCATTTTTTCGTATGAATTTCTTTCTCTAGAGAATTCATAGTTAATTGATGCTTTTGGGAATATATATCTCTTATGTCGATATATATATATATATATAGATATATAATATTTCTTAATTGATCGTAGCTTCAAGCCCCCGACAGTCTGAACGGTGCGAGCGACTAAGAACTTATCATGTCTTGTAATTTTCAAGAGACTTAAGAAGACATATCTTCAATGGGGTGGGGCAATGGTGTTCGCTGCTACCCTAAAAAAAGATTCCCAACAGGTTTGCAGCAATAAGTTGAATAACCTGCAGTCAGTGTCATTTGTCCAGCCTGAAGAAACACTGTGCAAACTTCCTCAAAGATGTAAGAGCTGATCATGGACCGCAGAACTATCACCAGCACGATCTGCATCGCCCCAGGTAACTACTGATCCATCTGCCAGGATCGCAGCAAATGCGCAACTTGTGGCCTGAATCTGCTGAACATCTCTGAGCTGATCTTGGACAGCAGAACTATCACCACCAAGACGTGCATCGCCCCAGGTAACTACTGATCCATCTGCCAGGATCGCAGCAAATGCAAAATATGTGCCCTGAATCTGCTGAACATCTCTGAGTTGATCTTGGACACCAGAACTATCACCACCAAGATGTGCATCGCCCCAGGTAACTACTGATCCATCTGCCAGGATCGCAGCAAATGCATAATATATGGCCTGAATCTGCAGAACACCTCTCAGCTGACCTTGGACGGCAGAACTATCACCACCACGATTTGCATCGCCCCAGGTAACTACTGATCCATCTGCCAGGACCGCAGCAAATGCATTAGGTCTGGCCTGAATCTGCTGAACACCTCTGAGCTGAACTTGGACGGCAGAACTATCACCACCACGATCTGCATGGCCCCAGGTAACTACTGATCCATCTGCCAGGATCGCAGCAAACGCAAAACCTGCGGCCTGAATCTGCTGCACATCTCTCAGTTGACTTTGGACAGCAGAACTATCACCACCATGCTCTGCATCGCCCCAGGCAACTACTGATCCATCTGTCAGGATCGCAGCAAATGCACAACTTGTGGCCTGAATCTGCTGAACATCTCTGAGCTGATCTTGGACAGCAGAACTATCACCACCAAGACGTGCATCGCCCCAGGTAACTACTGATCCATCTGCCAGGATCGCAGCAAATGCAGAACCTGTGACAGATCCTGTGGCCTGAATCTGCTGAACATCTCTGAGTTGATCTTGGACAGCAGAACTATCACCACCAGCACCAGTGCCCCAGGTCACTACTGATCCATCTGCCAGGATCGCAGCAAATGCATCATATGTGCCCTGAATCTGCTGAACATCTCTGAGTTGATCTTGGACAGCAGAACTATCACCACCACGACGTGCATCGCCCCAGGTAACTACTGATCCATCTGCCAGGATCGCAGCAAATGCAGCACTTGTGGCCTGAATCTGCTGAACATCTCTGAGTTGATCTTGGACGGCGGAGTTGTCACTACCTTTCCCTTTCCCTTTGCCTTTGCCCCATGTGATGACCTTGTCACCTCCACGGCAGAAGAGAGCAAATGCTGCTGTTGTGGCAGCAATGTGTGGTTGTTGGGCAATTGCTGTCAGGCGGTCTCCATTTCGAAGTCCAGCAGCTTCCAAGGACTGCCCCATGTCACTGAGGGCATGTCCCTCGGCAGTGACAAGCTTCAGGAAACCTTTTCCAAGAGACTGTTGGACAAGAAGTTTCAAGTCTCCAACCGTGGAGAGCTGGGGAACTGCCAGGCTTGTCCCATTTCCGCTAGGCCAAGCAACGTGAATCTCAACCTGCATGGGTTCCTGATATCAAATTGTTTCAAATCAAATCATCCAAGCCATCCGAAGACTGCCATCGACGCAAAGAAATCTTGAGACAGGGTTACACAGGGCGCCACGCCATTGCACAAGTACCACAAGGTTTCAAAACTACGCAGGAACATGCAGGAACACTGCTTGCACAGGTTGATGGGGAACCACAGTTGGAACTATCCATCAATTCACACAACAAGTATTCGTGGGCGGCGATCCTGTTCGATCGGTACCGCTGCTAATTCTCCTGAAAGATTCGATACATCAAGTGCTGCCTGCTTTTGGTCTTGGCTTTAATGGTAGCAAAATTGGTCTATGACATCATCAAAACAATGGCTCACATGCCACGTCTACCCGCCTCCTCGATGACTTTTTCGGGCGGGGGACCCCGTCTTTCCAGGCAGACAGTTCGGCCGTGAACCTGGGCGATCTTTGTTGGTTCCGTGGGAAATTTGAAGCATTGAAACATTATCCGCCGTTCGGGTTCACTTCCATTGTTTAATGAAATTTGAGAAAATATAGGTTTAAGTATCATCAATATTACTGGGGTCGTAATTTGAAGAATTCCTTCTCTCCAACAACAATAATACCAACAACAATAATAGAAGTTCGGCTTGATTATAAATATGCGATATCCAATCCATTTATTGACATTCAATCCAAAAAATCGCCATGAGACTGTTTTCAATATCGAATCCATAAATCCACGAATCAAATATCTTTCCTTCTAGTAATGAACGAGTTAATGAAGAAATGAAGCAAATATTCCATGTGCCCAGGATCTATAAGACACACTCAAATACAGCACTAGCCTAGCCGAGGTCGCCCATATTTAGGTTTGAAAAAATGAAGCAAGTTCAATATCCAAAAAATCGAGTAATACTCGGAATACAAAGACCGCGGCGGTATGGCTCCCAATGGCTCCCTCCATGACTCTTTCTACCTCCTTAGGATGGGTGTGGTCTGGAAATTGTTGGCTCGGACGCGTGTGAACTAGGCCCCCATTGAGTGGCTCGGATGGGGGGTAGGCCTTTCTAGGCTGCCTTGAAGGCCCTGCATGGCTTCTACTGGTAGGTCCTGTGGTGCTGGGTCGGAGGGTTGATGGCATTTTCTAGACTCCCTTCATGGCTCCTTCTGGCTGCAAGTTATGGGGGGGGAGGGGTGGGCTCCCTCCGTCACTCAGTGTGAAAGCAAGAAGTTGAGCTGCGATACCACATAGCACGAATTCTTTTGAATCCCGGGCTTGACTTCCGGTACTTTTGGCATCACCAAGGCCTTGCTGCAGAAGGCGCTGCCTGCAGCTTTACACATCAAAGCTGAATCAGCACCGCCTGTTGCAACAGACCCGGGTGATGAGAATGCCATCCCTCATGTGCTGGTGCTGTCAGTCTCTCAGCTTCCCCCTGACCTGGCGGCTGCTACGTCTTCCAAGGCCATGCGAAATCTGGCATTTGGAGGGCTTACTAAAAGCTCCAAAAAGGCTTCAGACTCGGAAACGTGCTGACTTCTCTTCAACGTCGAAGCTGCGCCAAGCGCCTCTCCACGCTTCCACGGCTTGTGTCCATCAAAGCCTGCTCATGATGATCCTATCTTCCCTTGCCGAGGTTATCGAAAGTGCCAATGTGTGCTTAATTCTCCCTCTGATGCTTTGCCATCTCCGTCAGCCTCCTCCTGCTGCTTCACTTGCCGTCGCCGCTCCGCGAACCAGTGGTTCTGCGCCTTGAGATCGGCCTCTATAGTACTCCAACTTCAAAGCTCATGGCCACAGTGCAGCCACAGCACCAACTTCACGGCAGCCACAGCAGTACCAGGCTTCAGGCCAACTTGGTACACATGCCAACCTCGGCAGAGCAGGGTCCGCGCCAAGCTTGAGGGCTGTCCAAACTTGATGAGCAATCTTGGGCTGGAACGTGCCTCTCGACCTCCAAATCGATACATCGAGTTGAATCAACATCCAGACGCTCTCTTGTTGTCGCCTCCTGCTTCAAACGGGTGTTCTCGCGGCTCTGCTCCACTGCATGCTGCTTCGCAGCCCTGAGCAGAAGGGCCACGAAAGCTCGCAGACATCGGAGGGGGGGGGCTCAGTGCACGAAGCACCTACTGCACGATGGCTCAGAACAAACCCCAGCATGTGACCAGCCAAGACGGTAGGGAGAGAGTTGAGAACAACACAGATAGCCAGTTCAATGAAACAACACAGGAAGTCCACAAATACAGGACAAGACAGCACACAGGTTCCAAGCATCTGATGAAGACACAACTTTCGCAAAACCGCAACCACACAAAGCTAGATTTGGAAGCTTTTTCGCGCTTCGCTGTGCTGATCGTGTTTTCCGGTAAATGTGCATCTTGGTTCTTGTAGTTTACACTTTTGTCTTTCCTATCTTCGCGTAGTCAAGACCAGCGCTCAGATTTGAACTCAGGGTTTTGAGGCTAGGAACTTCGAGAATTGCGCGTCCAAGGGGTTAAGGTACTCATCCAGGGCCTATGCTTGCGTCTCAGGGATGCCCGCCCTCGGTCTCTTGCCACGTTCGGAGCATCTTCTGAGGAGGACATTCATCCCGCCAGATGCAAAAATTGCTGACCCACACTGACTTGTTGACTGCTGTGGTCAGAGCTGGTAGGGTTTTGGCGGACCTAAACCCTCCTTGATCATCCACGTGTCCTTCTTGACACGTCGACAAGACCTAGCTAGTCAAAGGGTGCGTTTGTCGTGCTTTGGTAACAGGAGCCGATATCACCATCTGCGACATGATGTGCAAATGTCTGCCCTCTGCCTTCCTGTGTCTGAGAATGTCTAAGACCACGGTGACAAGGAGGAAGTGACATGAAGTGACACAAGATCTGTTGCTTAGCAGCTGCCAACAGCCTTATGCCCTGCATGTAGGCTCCTTTAAATTTCAGTTATTTTAAAAGCTTCGAGGTGGTGCAACGCAGACTTGCACTTGCAATCCCAGCAGCCCGCGCCTTAGAGACTGCGACAGTGCCACGAGCTTGGAAAGCAAGGGCTCAGCCCGAACCCCCAAATCCAGAAGTGCATGCTGCACTGAGGCCTGCAGCTTCGCAAGATCCCGCAACGTCTGCCGAAAATGTCGTGAGGGGGACAGCAGCACAGCGCAGCAAACGGATTCAGAAAGCTGCAAAATGCACCAACCTCTGTGGATCCATGCGGGAATGATGCCTTTGGCATCCTGAGGCCAGCCAAGTACGAATGCTAAGAAAGCACAAGTAAGTACTGGCATTCTGCATCCTGCAATCGCCGGTGGAATTTATGGATTATGGCCCCAGGTTCTGTGGCTACCAGTTGAAACAACCTCATGCGGCCCAAGGGTTAGAACTTGGATTGAGCAAGCTGATCGCTTTGGGTGATGTTAAGGAGTCATCTCTGTTTCGATGACAGAAAGACGGGACTCAAAGATGTGGGTTTTCGGCCCTCGGGCTTTGTATCTCAAGGATTTTTCTGTTCCCAACCTCATGCCTCTCTCAGGTCCAGAACGCCCTAGAGCAGGCTGGCACGGTCGCTGCCTTCTCTGCGCTTGTGCGGTGTGGTGGTGTGGCCTGACAGAAGGCGCTATTCAAGGCTGTGCAAGGATGCCATGTGCAATGAAGCAACTTGCAGCTATGGCTTCCTACCGATTCTCGTGATCAGCTTCGACAACGCCCAGGTTTTTGCGAGGCGTTTCGGCGGAAAGGAGGTCTGGCACGCGTTGTCGAAGATTAGGCAGGCTCTCCACCACCTCCGATTGGCATCGTCTGGCACCTCTTCCCTTCAAGAGCTCACGAATGCTGAAATGTTAGATGGCTTGAGTCAAGCTAGCCGTGGTAAAATTAGAGTTGGGAACCTTAATGACTTAATATGACTTTAATGCGTCACCGGAATGTTGAGGCGGTGGATACTGGCAACGGCGAAAGCCCGGGTTGGCCTTCATCAAAACCTTGCAATTCGCAAGATTACCATATGCCTACGGGGAATGAAGAATTCCTTTCTCGCGAGCCTTGAGAAGAAAATGGCTTCTCACCATGGGAGATTCTTGCTTGGCCTATATGGCCGGGGATTGACGAGCTTTGCTCTCACTGAGCCCTTGAGGTCACAGTGCTGGCCTGGGGCTCCTATGCTTGATCCGCTTGAATGGCGCGAAACACTGGAAAAACAGCACGGCCGGAATTGCTTGAATTATCCGTGCTTAGCACGGCGAACTGTGAGGCACGTGTTTTTAGGTCCTAGATACGCTAAGATGTGCGAACACTACAAGAAATTTTCTGCACCTGCATCGCCTGCGGCGAGCTCCTCAACTCATAGGCCATAGCCATGGCAGAAGGCAGCTTACTCCGATCAGCCAAAACAAGTCCAAGACACTGCCCAACCTCAAGAAATCAAGGAATGAGTAGCCACCGGGTCCCATGACCTAAGTGGCAGGCATCAATTCGACCAGGCCGATGCTGCACTCGCATGCATGTTTTGCATGTTTGCATTGGCGTCTACCATGGAGACCTTGGGCTGCGGGCTATGAGATTCGTTGCATACCCAATGGGGCTGGCAAAAGATGTGGACGCAGCGATCATGACCACCATGACCTGACGCCACACGGACCGATGAAGAGTTGCTCTGCGCACAAAGGGGCACAAAGGGACTGGTGTGTCAATTGTGTCATTTGCCCTGGAATGCTCTGGACCTGGCTAAAGGCCTCTAAGGGCATGGCCAGGGGGTGAGGTGACGAAAGGCCCATCTTCTCCGCGAGGTCGATAGCTAAGGGAACGCCCAGAGCAGCTGCAGCATTGTTCGTAACCATCTCTGTTGTTACCTCAAAGGCAAGGAGCCAGTTTTTCGAGCAACATGCCAAGAGATCCCTTCCAGGATCTTCCGTTGTTGTGACAGATACATACAGATACAAGACGTCAGCACATGTCAGCTCCGCAAGGCGATCTGAAAGCTGAGTGGGGAACCATGACGATAAGGTAGAGGAGCGACGGCGCCAGCCAATTCGGGAGGCCAGTAGCGATGATGCCCCGCGAGATGCCTGCTGCGAGACCGGACTTGGACATTGCCTGCGCGACGCCCAGGGCTGAACCGATCAGGATCAGCAGCTGCCAATCCACAATCGTGCGGATGTCGCCGGCCTTGATCCAGCCGCCCAGGATGAAGATGCACGACAGCGTCACCGATAGCTGCACCATGGTGATCATGTCCAGTGAAGTCAGCACAAGTGCAGGAACAAACACCACGAGAGGGATCAAATCATACCACGTGGTAGGCTTGGGCAAGGAACCAAGACGTGTAACAAGCAGGAAATGAGAATTGGGATAAGAGTTTCCAGTCGCAGCCAAGACAAGGATCACATCACCAGCCATGAAGGTAGCAGAATTGGAGTAAGAAGTTGTTCTACGAAATGGGCTGTGTCCGAAACCATCCTCCGGCTTCTCGCTGCTGGGTGCGAAGCTTGTGCCCCAGTAGCGAGATCTAACGGCGATCAAGCCGGCGTTGTATGCGTCGCTGACAATTTGTGCGGCATTGCCTGTCCAGCATCTGATCAGGTTTGAAAGATGCGAACACACTGCTGCAATACGGGAAGACAAGCTAGGTGAGTCTTGGTGTTGCCAAGAGTCTGATCGGCTGGCCCAGCAGAGGTGAACTGCCACTCAAGACTAGCTCCACAAACTCAGACTGTCCGGATGCAGCCTGGCTTGCGTGCATACTGCGCACGCGAATTCCACGTTCCTGCTTGGACATCACCTCCACCACTCGGTCCCGGGGCAAAGAAAGCAAGAGGAGGTCACCACCCTGTGCTGCTTCCTCGGTCGACACTCCTCTCATAGCCTACTTAGGTTCAGAGGCACCTAAACCACCGCCACTGTAGAAATAACGACTCAAAAAGCCATTCCATAGAAAAGAGAGTCAGTGTTGCGCACTGGCTGCACCTCCATGATGTCTGGTCCCTCGCATGCAGCTTCAATGTCCAGGTTCAAGAAGCGAACTTGGAAGCTTTGTTCCAGTTCATCGCTGGTGGATGCTTCGCTCGGTGGTAAAATCAACCTTGGTTATTGTTTTGGCCTTGCGAATCGAAACTTATGTTGCATTGCTGGCCCACTAAATCAAACACAACACACAAGTCTGTAGCTTGCGCAGGGCTTTATGCTAATGGCAGGAAGCTCTCGAGGCTGTGCAGAGCCGACGGTCAGATGCAACGGGGACGTCTTTTCAGTCGGCCTGAGAATGCAAGGTGGGAGCATGGCTTTGCCCTAGCTTTCGCCCTCTCTCCTGCAGAGCCTGCGACCAAGCTACATCCGACGCCGGATCTTCAACAAGCTGCTGGGTGGTAGCCCCATGGAAATAAGGACGTCAACTGCTGGCCGACCCACCCAGGGCGAGTCCTGCGGGGGCTCGACGCTCTGCCCTCTTGAGATGCAATTTCTACGTACTTTGACCATCGAGCAAGGCAAGAGCAAGGATGAGTCACATAGCAAGGCAGGAGTAGCTGAAGAGGGCCTCGGCGATATCCAGGGCAGTGACCAGATTGTCACCGTGCTCTCGAACTTCCCGAAAGAGGCCACCCTTGTTGTCAGGTAGAACGAGAGGCCCAAGAAGAATGATCAAGATGAAGCTTAGGATGCCCATGGGCAGCCCCACGATGCCGGGTTCGAAGAAGCCAAAGGGTTTGTAGCCATCCTTCTCCAGCAGCCCATTCACCAGCAAATTCGTGCTGGTTCCAATCGTTGTCAGCATCCCACCCATGATTGAGGAGTAGCTGAGAGGGATGAGAAATGTGGATGGCGCCCTCTGATGGGTCCGTGCCCAGTCTCGAACAATCGGCATGAAAAGTACCACCAAGGGAGTGTTGTTGCAGAATCCGGACAATGCGAACACGAGGAAGCAAATCCGCATCAACACCACTCTGTCTGAAATCTGTGCGCCGCCCAGGAGCCGACGGGCAGCGTAGTCCACGACTCTGGATTTGTCGACTGCTTGCATGACAATGAAAAGGGAACCGATAGAAATGAGGCCCGTGTTTGAGAAGCCACCGAGTGCATCTGTCGTTGAGACAATGCCCAGATTCCACAGGACCACCAAAGTACCCAACATGATCTGCTCAGGAGAACCAAGCTCCAGGAACAGAAGCACTAAGGTCGCCACGATCATGCCCAGGACGGTCCAAGCTTGCCACGTCATCACCTCGTGCATTTCGTGTTCCTGCATCATGTGAGGCCCGAGCTCAGACAGGTCAAACGGTCGAAGTGCCGCACCTGCCACTCCTCAAGGACCTCCTGCTTTTTTCAGGCTACCAACGGCTACCAACCTCTGGATGCTTGAGCCGTGTGGCCATCGCCCCTCAAGGCGAAAAGTTTGCAAGATATCACTCTGTTGCAACGAATCTCAGGACAGTATCGGGAAGATCCCAAGAGCAGCCTTGATGCATGTGCTCCTGCAACCTTGTGCAAAACAAGACTGCGACGCTAAACAGTTCAGGCCTTGTCCGCAGCACAGGTTCAAAAGTCCGAGCCGGACTGTGCATCCGAAGCCGAGGTCGAGTGGCCTGGTTGGCGCGCGCTGCTTTTCTACAAGTATTCTGGGTCACAGGCCAAAGCAAATTGACAGATCCGGCATAATAAAGGGGTCCGAATACCAAGCACACTCCCCATCATACTCGAGGTCACAGCTCCACCCCGTGCGGAAGTTGCGTGCCAGGTGCCACCTGACTGTGCAAGTGCTTTCCAGCGGCTTTTCATGGGCAACATGCTGCCCTTATGTGCAACCAACTTACCACGCATCGCAGTTGCGGCATTTCCAGCTGGCACCTGTGCCTCGAAAAGCTTTTGTTGTGCTTTTTGTATGCAACTCTCTTATTTCATTCAGGCTTGGGTAGGGGGGACTCATGCAGTTTGGAAGCCCAGCTTGTCTCAGGGTTCTTGAACGGAGGAATGATTTTTCGAAATCTTGGAAGGGCTGCCCTAAGAGCCAGGCTGAAACTTTCGGAAGGCTCCAGTTAAAGTTTCCAAGTGCTTGAGATGTCACTCCTTCCTCCTCCTCCTCCTCAACTCATCTGCCACCCACACACACACACATACAGACACCCTCCGTGCCGTGCCTGCAAGGTACTTGAAACTCGGCCAACCACATCTGCCTTGGCTGCTGCAGATCGCTTGTGAACTCAGGGACTGCTTTCCTGGGGTTAGGCCAGGTGCTTTCTAGATGGTCACTAAGCCTGTAAAGAGCATTGAATTCTGCGAAGCGGCCACTACTTTTCTTGCCAGTAGCACGAGCTCCGTGTGGGACGGCGAAGCCTCTGGTGGAACCCGTCCATCAGAAGGACCCTCGGTTCACGCCATTCAACAAAAGATGTGAGATGCATCAGCCGGGAACGCAGGGGACCGTGCCGAGACACTGGAGGCCTGCTCTCCTGGAATTTGACGCTCTGTAATCGTTGGTGACAGCAGAAGAGTTGCACAGCAGCACAATGCGACACAGTGAGGTTCATCGTCGAAAGAGATGGATAAAGATACTCTTTTCAGGAGCATTCGGATTTTTGTACATCCATTTGCCGGGCCTCCGTGATCGGTTGAGGAGGCTCGGGCATCCAAAGACATCCATGTGCTTGTGGCAACTAGAGCATGTGCACCTACTGTCAGATGTTCTATGCTAAAGGACTCCGACTCATGTTTCGTAGGGGGCGCAAAGATCATGGTACCACAGCTTCCCACAAGTGCTTGCTACATGCCGACATGAAATCTTGAGAGCCTTGTCACACATCCGCGTATGGCTGTCATGCATCCTCTGTGCCAACAGTGTTCGTCGCGAACGCAGCCCTTTTGCAGCTTCTGGGGCCATCTGTCTTTGCAGCGGATGAGTTCGAGTCATTCAGGAAGCCCCACGTGCAACCATCCTGAAGCTGCGCCACGGAACAACCTTGAAGGTGTCAGCCTTTGAGATGTTCATCCCATTACATTCACGTTCTCCAGCAGTGTGCTTCTCCATGCTGCGGCATTCCTCCGCCCAAACTGCCCTCTGGCAGACTGCCCTCGAAAGGCTTGATGCATTCGTGTTCACCTGCGTCGTAAAGAACTTGCCCTATTTTGCGGCCGCAGCCCGGACTAGGAGGTTCTCGGCCTCTGGCGACAAGAAGTATGACCTCGGGCAGCCCAGCAAGCTTTGAACTTTCGGCAGAAGGCATGTTCTCACATTCCGATGCTGCAGAATAGATCAAGCCTCTGGCCACAAGTCTGCGCATCGAACAAATGTCTTGCCAGAGACCTCCTTCCGTTGTAGTTGGGGAAGAGTCTGGCCATGCACCAGGCAAATTGGCGCACGCTGCCTGGAAGCCTTGTCGATTCAGCTCTAGTCTCTGATGCCACCTTCATCACATCTCACTGCATCACGGATCTTGAGCTTCCCGCCCATTTGTCAGCCTGCCACGGCTTTAGCTTTCCATTGAAATGTAGCAGCTTGGCGTCGGCTGAGCATGACCTCAGCCCCGACAGCGCAGAGCGCAACGCAGTGCAAGCCTCAAATCCGACGTTTGTGTGGGCGGCGCGAGGTACGGCTGCACCTGATCGCCAGCAGGGCGCAATCCTGCCTCAGGAAATGCTTCATGCAACAAACTCAGCTCTCTTACTTCTGCGGCTAGTGATCAGCCTCTCATGCAATGCGGGAAACAACGGGGGTTCCCCGGCCTTCTGCAGAGCCTTGAAATCCATCTTCAGGTCGGCCTTGAGCTCCTTGAGTTCCTTCAGAAAGTCTTCAATATTTCCAGATTTCTACATGTCCATACTCTATAATAAATAGGCGGGCAAAGAAATCAAAACTAGTACAACCATATTACATATGTATATGTGCCTGGAGTTAAGCGTTTTCAGGGGCAGTGCTGCACTTCATTGGTACCCAGGCCCAGATTATAGGGGCAGTACTCAACAGTGTTTTGCGGTCCAGTGTCCCTATTTCTTGCTTCAAGCTAAACGGAAACCAGGGACAAAAGCCACAAATTGACGACAGTACACATGCTGTAATGCGCGTATGCTTTTTGGCTTGGCATGCTGCTGCCCGAAGGTTGGGACGCGGAAAGTAGAACTCATACGATGCTGTCCTGCTCTTCGCGCTTGTCGATTCTCTAGGTCGGCCTAAATTCACCTTGCAACATGATCTGAAGAACCTGAGAAACGGTGAACATCATCAATGCTTGCCTTGTTTCTGCACCTTTAAGCCAGACAAGATGAAGGAGTGTACGGGGTATCCGAAGCATTGGGAGTGGATCGGCGACTATATATATATATATATATATATATATATATATACACATATCTCACCACATGTGGCGCGCATCTCTACATAGAGGGCACATCCGTCCTTCAGAGACAAGGTTTCGCGGCCAAGACCGCGACAATTCCACTTCTCACCTAAGCTTCCGAGATCGCACAGGCACACGCGCACACATGTTCATATTTGATTTTGACAGCATTGTGCAACATCATGCTCTTTTAGTCCTGGCACTCAGATGGCTGTATCTGTCGTGTAGAGCAAGAAGCCAAGGAGGTTGTGATAGCCCAAACTTGTACAAGTCCTCCAAGACGCGCTTGAGACAATCGCTTTCACTGCATCTAGAGAACAGACTCTGCTTATGAAAAGTGGATTCCGTTCCTATCCTTCTTTGCTTCACGATATCGAGCCATCCAGCGTTCGATCTCCTGGGTGATTTGCAGCTTCTTCCACCTCTGAACGTCCATGACGAACACCCCACGGTTGAATACGCATTCGGCAGGTTCCAGACCTGAAGTGGCTTCACTTCAACTCAAAGCATCCATTCCCGGAGTGTTCCTGAGGACATCACCTGCGCGCTTGAGACCAAGATCAGACAGCTCCTCAGGCCACCGGCGTTTATCACAGGGGCCCACCAGCATTGGCCAATGCAACGGGCACAAGTAATTACCTGTCAGACCCTGTCAGCTAACTTATTTCTTGAGCACATCCTTGCTAGCAGCCGAGTGTCGTCGAAATCTATGTACAAATCCTTAGTTGTGTTGGTCTGAGCATTTCGCGGGGCCAAAAGTTCATCAAAGGACAGCTCCTGCCGCCATGGAGCGAAATGCTGCGAGCAGTCCTCTACGGCTGCCACTGGATATCCTCCCATGTCAAGCTTGGCCAATAGGGTGACGTCAGCTTGAAGAACGACGTCCGAGTCCATGTACACCAGCCTGCACAATCAGGGAGCTCAGAGGTTGGTCTTGAGGTCCTATACAGAACTAGGGCGGGCAGGTTCACAGCAAAACGGACCAAATCTTTGCAAGTCCTAGGTGGGGAGCCAGGCTCGGGTGCGGCCAGCTCCGCTGCTCACTGCAGTGTTCACGACATGTTTCTCTCGAGTTGGAAAGAACCACGCACTGCCGTCGAAAGTCTTGTCAGCAGAATAAGCCCACCTGCGCCCCCCACCCCAACGCTCTCCGCACATTCTTCCCCCTCGCCCCCTCCCACCCCAACCTACCCATCCCCTACCCATACCCCCACAGCCCCGATACACCGATACCCAGACCGCAAGAAGACCCCCTTCCTCCCCCCCCTACCCCCTTTCCCCCGCAAAGCCCCCACTAGTACCCTCGACCCACACCCCTGACACCCCCCTCCCCCCCTTTTTCACCTGCCCCACCCAACCCTTCTCCGATCCTTCGTTTTTCCTGATGGCGCGGCACGCTACCCCTCTTGCCGAAACCCTTATCCCCCACAAATCCAGCCGTGACACCCTCTCCCCCACAAGCCCGACAAGCCCCCCCCCCCCCCCCCCCCCCCCCTTGCACTCATGCATGATGCTCTGCTTGCTTGCCCTGCTGCTCTGTGTCTGGTTTTTCGGGGTGGGCGGAAGCGGCGTTAGCCCATATCCAGGATCATGCAGTGTTGAGCCTCATGGTCCCAGGTGGTGGGGAAACTGTCTAGAGGCTTGCGGGCCACGTGCCTGTTAGGAACTGCAGTTCCAGCCCACGAAGCCAAGAACTCCTTGTCTGTGGGCATCTGCACATGCCTCACCCCCCTTCCCCTGACACAACTCTCCTCCAAATAGAACGGAGCGAAGTTGAACGGACTTGCCAAGCCCTTCCTTGCCCCAGAGCTTTTGCGATAGCTGATCAAGCCTTGCGCAAGACTGTGTGGGGAGAACATGTAGCTGGGTGAACATGCCTGGACCATGAAGTCAAGGGGCTCTTGATGTGTGCTTGCAGCGTTGCGTTGCTGTGCATGACTAGCTGTGCTTGCAACGGCGGCAAAATTTCAATCAGTGCCCGCTCCACTGTTGCAACCTTCTCTTCAGCTGTAACCACATGGAAAGTCAGCTGCTCAGATCCTCAGGTTCAGGCCCCGCTGCAGCTCTCAAACAAGAGAAGTCTTGTTTGCTTCTTGTCGCGATTTGAACCAATGGGGCCAAAGGTCTGCTTGCATATTGCATCGTCGAGTTAATCGCCACTGCCAAGGGCCGCAAGTCCGCGTCATCGCTGCAGAAGCAGATGTGGACTCCTTTGCTTTGCTTGACGCGGAATTGCGGAGTTGCGTGTAGCATGTGTAGCACAACATCTCCCGAAGCAAAAAAACCGCAAGCTAGCGGTGAGGGTTTGCTTCGGCATGCTTTGGTTGCATTTGCAAGCCGAGGGGCGATCCGGGGACCCCATGTTCTTAACCTTCGTCACCTTTGTCGATGCTGCTGGAACAACATGCGGCGCTTTTCGGGATGTCGTCTTGGGTACCTGGGGAGAAGTCGTCTCAAAGATCTCAGGCTCCTGCGCAGGCTGGGAAATGAAGTGAACCAGCCTACTGACTCAACCCTTCTGAACCTGACAGCATCGCCTTCTACTTTCAGTCAGCTGCGTCCTTTACTGTACTTGAAGGTTGAAAGGTCGGTGGACTCAGCTCTTCTTCCGCCCACTTCTCCAGTCGATGTTGACTATGGTTGCTGTCTTCCCAACTCTTGGCGTAAGCCTCTGAGTGCACGGTGGCCTCCCCTTCTCTGGATGACGGCTGAAAGGAGCCTTGATCTATCATGTTGACCTCAGTGGTCCAGGCTCTGTTCAAGCAAAAAGGCTGCTTGTGGCTTTCTGACATTGTGGCGCCTCACACTGGGCCATCGGCAGTGTGAATGCAGGTGACCATGACCATCAGGACCAACGTGAGAAAACCTGCTAACCTGACAAGGTAGAGTTGGAACCGGCGTGGCTGCGCCTTCGTCCTTGCCGGCATTGTACTTTGTCTCGAAGCCAATTGCAATCAACATGTGCTCTTTCTGCGGGCGCTGCTGGGCCCCGCCGTGGCTTGCAGAAACTGCAGGACCGCACGTGCGCTACGACATCACGAGGCAGCAGAAGATCATAGACACCCATCGCAACGGCAGGATGGCATGATCTAAATGTCAATAGCGCCTGGCTTAAGGTCGAGGGTCAGAGGTGAAGGTTTTAGCCGGTAGCCACATGATGGCGTTGTCATACGTGAAAGAACTGCTAAGAAAGGAAGCTGATCGACACATCTACGGTGTTCATTGAATGTCGAGGCATGATGTACGGGTCTGCCATTGCAGGATGCATTGCGTCCACTTTTCTGATGCAGGATTGTCGATGTTGCGTACGACTTCTTTGACAGGCCTTGCACGTGCTGATGCCCTTTTGAGCGATACAGCACGGGGCCTATCTGGCGAGCGAGCACTTGTGTGCCAGGGACCCTAGCAAGCTGCAGAAAGTGCTGCAGGCCTTAGCCTTAGCCTCAAGCACCATGGTTCTCAAGCGACCATGGCGGCCTACGTTCCCTGACATGGATCCAAATCAGTGCTGTCTTGAACGACCGTTTGAGGATTGAAGCGCAAGGCCCGTGGAAGCGTTGGCTGCTGGTGTCAAGTGGTCTGCTCAGATTTCTTAGCTGCCCAACATACTCGAAAGCTGAACAATCTTTCTGGCACCAGAATGCCGTAACAAACGCTGCACTTTCAAAAGAGGAAAGAATATGTTCCCAACCCCTCGGCATCATCTCGTTTCCACAATCTCAGGGGAAAACTTGATGCACTGGAAGCATGACATTTGCCTAACTCTGGCTGTGCCTGTGCAGTGGACCTGATGCACCCAAGCATGCCAGACGTAAAGCCGCCGATGTTCGGCATGACCCAGTTGAAATGCGGGGAGCGAAGAACGCAATGCTACAAGGCGGCAAGACATATAGGATCACACAAGAAAGTCGATGCGTAGCAGCAAATTCGTTCCTCCTCATCGGCTGCCCAGAAAAGGGAATCTTCCACGACAAGCAAACCGGACATCTCCAGATAGCTAGCTATGATGCCTTGTCATCTCTTAAACATTCTGGGCAGCCACAATCGTCGTGGTCATCAGCAATCATAGCTGTCCCGCTGCTCTGACGACCTGATGCATGCTTCGCGATGTGGATCGACATCTGTGGTAACAGGATGCCTGGGCCTGTGGCCTCTGAGGCCAAGCTGCAGCAGATCGGCGTGCTGGACTCAGAGCAGGACACAGTGGCACCTTAGATTTGACGCAGCTCATACCTAAGGCCTACGGTACGACTTGCACGAATCCAGGGTCCATCGGACTCGTTTGCTTTGAACTGGAAAGCATGGCTGGCTGCACGAGAAACACGCTGTTCGGAGTGAGTGTTCAAATTTTCTAAAACATGCAAAAACCCCGAGGTTTCTGCGCCATGTAGAATTTTAGAGCACAGATTTGTCTCAGTACTTGAATTTAAGAAGCGGGACAAGCATGGAATTTACGGTACGAAATGGTGGTTGGCTGCATGGGAACACATTGTTGGGGGTGAGTTATGTTTTCTTCAAAATGCTAAAAACCGGAGGTTGGTGCTCTGTCCGATGGATGCACTGGTTTCTGCAGCAGCATGGACGATGGATGTTTCTCAAACGCCTACCGCATTGTAGAACGGCTCAGCATAAAGTAAACCTGGGCAAAATGTGCGGGCAAACGAGCCCGGACCCAAGATCCAAGTTGCTGAGAATTCAATCTTATCTGCTCTGGTTCCACGTTTTGGGCCCGTGCTGTGTAGTGGACTTGGATGAGTGTTCGGTGGTCGTCGCGGGCTTCTCTGCGCTGACGTCCTTCTGGACCTAAGCACAGAGCACCCTAGTGCTAGCATCTTGAGCGGCCCGTTAAGCGCAGTAGGCTTGAAGCAGCCTGGTGCAGCCTTCCGTGTGAAGTGCGCCGAGGGTCAAGCTGCCATAACATGGACCGGGGTAGGCCCATTCTTGCCTGAGTTTGGACTCTGAATGACTCTCTGAGCAACGTGAGCCACGTAGGGCTCGGTATTCTTCCAAAAGCTGGGGCAGCGCGCTAAGCAAAATATTTGCATCCTTCAAGCTCTTGCTGTCATCCGTGCCTTTCCCTCCCAGCTCCTTTCCTTAGGTGGATCAACAGCAATGCAACAGCAAGGTGTTGAGCAGACGCACTACAGGTCCCCTGCCCTCTTCTTCAACCGAGTGGCCTGCTGCAAAGAGGCGGATCCTGCAAGTAGTGCCCGCATCAACTTGGACTTCAGTCATTATCAACACATGACTGGGTCCTCTCGACTTGCGTGGCTGGAATCAGATTCGGGCTAGTTGGCCAGTGCCTGGTTCCAGTGCTGGAAGATTGCCAATGCATGCGATCGCCCACGCAGAAGCCTCTGTAGGATCAGTCGCTTCACTTCCTTGACCTCAGCTGCAGCTCTTCACGACCATGATTGGGCATGCGACGAGCTCGGCAACCCTTCCCAGTGCAACATGTGGCCCCGAAGAATTCGGCTCGGTCTGGCATGCCTTTGAGCCCCCCCCAACGCCGTCCGAGGCATACGTTTGCGAGACTTGTTGTTGCCTGGTGGATGGGCGCCCTGCCTCTTACAATAAAGCTCTTTTCAAGCGACGGCTACATCCGAACTTGGGCAACCGGTTACAACACTGAGGAACCTTCTTCACATACCTTTAAATTTGATACGCCAAGCAGAGAAGGCTAGGCCATCAGGCCATCTGTGACTCACCAAGAGACTTTGTAAACCACAACGATGCAAATCTCTAAGGGGCTAGCTTTCGTTGCCTCAAACCCCCACCTCCAGTCCCGCAATCTCATGTTGACCCAGGAAAGAAGGCTCCAAGGGGGTTGGCTTTCGTAACCTGGCTTGGTGGGGTCAGTGCCAAAACGAAAACCTTCGGTCTTTGTGCCTTCTCTTATTTGCCCAGGTATGTCGTATCGTCTATTCTTGGTTCCTGTACATTTTCTCTTCTTTCGTTCTGTCGGCTATGCTGACGTTCGACATTTGCTCCTCTCTCTTCTGTCTTTCTGTTCTCTGCCGATCTCTTCTTCTCACAAGACTGAAGAAGGCTGAAGGGGTTGGATGAAATCTTTCCCCTGCCGTGTCAGCGCACCAACAGACACGGATGTTTTCGGCCTATGTGAAGTAGTTCACTTCATTCCCAGTCGTCGTCATGAGACATAGGGCGCGTCACCGGTCAAACCGTCGCCCCGAGAACTTAGCAAAGGACAAGCCAAGCTCTCTCTTTGCTACTACTATATAACACAGTATGAAATAGTATAGTCCTAAAGAAATTGTAGCGAGAATCATGAATATATACATATTTACACATGTGCTATTCTTATATCAAAAAGTATTATTCTCATGATTACACGGCGCTGTCTCTGAGTCTGAGCAACTGAGCGCGACCGCACTGTGAACCAGCACATCATCGGGACAACCCCCCAGCAGTACTGAAACTACAGGGCAACCCTAAACCCTAAACCCTAAACCCTAAACCCTAAACCCCAAACCCTAAACCCTAAACCCTAAACTCCGAACCCTACACCCTAAACCGGTGGCTGTGCGGCATCGGGCCCCGGCACTTGTATTCAGCGCCACAGCGAACGTCGCCGAGTTGTGATCCTAAGCCCAGAAGCTCACAAGTACGAAGCTCACACGCTAAACAAGGCTTCGCTAAGAGCCGCGCATTGGCAAACACCAACTTGAGTTCTACCTCCTGAAAGGAACTGTTCAAGCCACAAAGGCCAGTCCCTGTTGTAGATGATTGAAGAATTCGGCAGGAGGTCACAGGATGCATCCAGTCTCCTCTGGCATTGCTTAAGTGCGTGCTCTGCAACCTGCAAGAACGAGGAACACCAGTAAGCAGTCACATCAGAAGTGCTTTGGCTAGTTATTCCTTTGTTGTTCACAGAGAGACTCCGATTTACGAGAGCAAAGCTGGGCCAGCAGCCCTCTTTGCATGCCACAGGCCTTGGCTGTTCTCAGCAGAGATGCGCTAAGAAGCACATAGAAGCACCGAGCAAATGGATGCTAGCTGCTGTCAAGAGTCTCTAGCAAGATGCCCGGTGATTCACCGGTTTAGATTGAGCCGTCTCAGCTCTCCGGCGGAAAGACTTCTGGATCTGCGTTGGCGGTTGAGGGTAAAACCTGCATGTACCCGAAGACATGAAGAACTCCTCTTTTGCTTGGCGTGTGGTCTTGGCCCCAATTCCCAGAAGCTTAAAGCTTCGGAGACAGGGGCGGCGCAACTGGCTGAAGCACCCTCTGACCTTTGGCTCCACAGAACATGGCGAGCCTACCCCGCATGCTGTGCGAAGCTGCGTATGTACACAAGTGAGACGGGCGGGTCTTTTTTCCTCTCCCAGAAACCGTGCATGCTAAGGCAAAACTGGGCCCATGGTCTGTGAACTTTTTTGCACCTTTCGAGCATGCCTGGGAACCAGGTTGCAGCTCTCATTCCGCGTTGATCTCGAACCATGACTTCATCTCTTGCAGCAATCTCTCGAAGGGTGCACCATCCGCTGTTTCCCATTTCGACTCGATCTTCTTGAACTTCCTTGGCTTTCTTTTGCCAACCTACCTTGTTATCTCGCAGCGTGTCTGTTTTCAGGAGCTAAGGGCTCCGGTGCTAGTTCTGCTCCCACCATCCTCATCTTCGTGCATACTTAGTCACATGCTTACGACCTCAAAGTCACGGCACGTTTGTCAATCCCCACGGGTGCAAAGTTTTCATCTTTTGTGCAACTCCTTTATTGCTTGGGATGGGTGCCAACTCACGCTCTCACCTGGGTTTCGTGCACATTCCGTAATCGAACTGTGTCGTGACAATGTGGCGCTGACGCACTTTCTTGCATGTCGGTGGGTAGCCTTTGTGCATTCGTTGTCGGGTGATTTGCATTTCGAAGATGCTTGTCTATTTCCTCTCGGTTTTTCCTTCTCCGTAGTACCCTATGACAAAGCAACTGACCAAACTGGGAAAGACTGTCCAAACCCTCACCATGTCTGGGTTTGGCAGCTGCTGGTGGCAGGTCTCAAACAAGAGCTCAGCACTGTTAGTGTGAAGATGGTTGAACTGGTGGTAGCTCTTAAAAATACTGAATACTCCTCAAAAGTGCTGGCCGCAGCTGCGTAGTATTCCAAAGCAACGCCAGGTTACCCACCCTGCTGACAAGATGCGAATCCACCAGCAAATATGGAGGATCGCAGGATCCCAAGTCTTCATAGGCATCCTGCGTGCAATCTGTGCAGTGTCGGTCGCCAGTTGCAAGGGTTTTAAATGCATAAGCGCTCACTGTCCAGCAGGGTAGAATAGCTTTCGCCCCATACTTCTCCAAAGGCGGTGCACGTAATGAGGTAGAAAGGAGGCTTCGATTCTTCTTTGGCCTTCCCAAGCGGAAAACTTGTGGCTTCTACATTGCACACCAGTCTAGCATCCCACTTGTGTAACCTACTACCTGGCTAAGCCCGCAATCATTCTTTTTCACGGGTGTTGTTGGAGTTATTGTCGGCTTCAAGGACCTGCGGATCTTTCTCCCTCTGCGTCGGGGCGCAAGAAGCAACGTGAGGACTCGACACGGGGACCTGGTCTGGGGCGGTGTCCCAGAACTGCTTCGACCATTGTGCACCTACTCCCCATCGTGGCAGGGACTTCCTTGCGGCATAATGGGTGTCCACTCCCCTCATCTACCTTGCATTGTCACTTACGACTGACTACCTATGGCTCGGACAGCACCTGCACCTCTACCTGCATCGGCAGCAATCCAACCAGCACTTGTAAAGTCGATGCCTCGTAGTTGTCGCTCCAGTGGTCGTACATTTGTTTCATGACCCACCCTGAGCTAACAACACGTACATTCTGCCAATTTCAATGCCAATTGGATTTGGGTGTTGCATGTCCGTGCTGCTGGCCGAGGTACCTCGGGTTCCGTAGTATCTGAGCTCATTGAACCTGCCGTTGACCAGTATCGTTGCATAGGGCCCACCATCCAACGTGTCGAAACGCTCGTTTGCTTCGTCGAGGTCACAGAACATTTGGTCTTTCACATCTCCATCGCCCTCGTGCCACAGCACCACGAAGGTTTCGTCACCTACAGCCTGGACATTTTGGGAAGGTTGCACTTAGTAAGCTTAGTATTTGCAACATCTTTACTTTTCTCTGCAACTCTCAATGCCTGTCAAGTGCTGATTCGCTGCAAGGCCGCGAGACTGAGGCCGATACCGGCTTTTCGTCGCCTGATGGAAGATGGGAGACAACGCCATCCGAATGGTCGTCCGCTGCGTCGTCCACCTCCTCCTCGTCCTCCTCCTCCTCCTCCTCCTCATGCTCGCTGATTGCATTGCTTGCACTCCGCCTTATGTCGGCTTCGCCGGCGGCGTCGTTGCCCGGCAAAGGAAGGTCTCCGGAGATCTCCGAATGTTGCGAAGTTGTTTCTGCCGCCTGCAAGGAAGCAACAAAATTGCAGCGGGAGGAAGGAGGCTTCACACATTTGCTGCAGCCTCCTCCTTGTCGAGATCCTCTTGTGAAAACAGCGCTAAGAAGTATTCGGGATAGACACCGCCTAGGCTGTCACGGCACAGCTTAGCCTAGGTACTGCTAACACTCGATGAAGTGAAGGCATATTGAGGCCAAGCCAAGCTGCTGGTATTCTTGATGAGAACTTCCTTTCGCTTGTGCTCGTCTACCTGAAACAAGGGAAGACGCAAACGGAAATGCCACGTTCTCAGGCCACGAATGACCGTGCCATGTCATATCGCTTGCTTCTCTCCATCTCCGCTTAGGGCTTCCTTCCCACCCCCACGTGACGGTGCACGTGACAGGCAGAGGCTAGCGATGGCTGACCGTCGCAACATACGCATGTAGTTGTTTAAAGCTGTGCAAGCTACACGTGTGGTTGCGATCGCATTTGTCGTCACGAACCCACGCCGATAGCTTTGTGCACATCCCGCTTGCCTTCAGAATAATGCAGTCTTTGTCCTCTGAATCCTCTGGATTATCGCATGGGGCTCCGCAGAGTACTCGACAAAGAATTGCAATCTTGATGCCGTCCTTTCATCAAGTCCCAAAGTAGTATTTGAAGCAGAACGGCCCAGGACGAGTTCAAAATCATCTCGGCTTTTTGTTGTTTTCAACCGGTCCTTGGATCTGACCTGCTTGAGAGCTGTATCCAAGCTTTCGTAGCAACAGGCACCGTGGCCAAACTTCTTTGCAGCCTTCATCCGGCCTTTGCCGATCTCCTGCAAGCATTACTTTCATGGCATCTGTCGAGGACCAAGATCGCAAGCTGACACATTGACAGCTATGGGAGTCGGAAGGGCTTTTGCTGACAGGACAAGACTGGTGCAGAGACCACTTTGACGTCGCACGTGCTCGGGTCCTCCGCTTCTTCTTGGCTCGAACCTTGTTGGCCAGCTCTCAACAACCCAGAAACAACATCATCTCCAAACTCGGGTCCAAGCAAGCCATCCAAAGGAAGGCTTCATGGAGCTGCCTGTCAAGCTCATCGACCTCGCCAGAACTGATTGTGTTTCCTTCAGCTAGAGCTTCAAAAACTTAAACCCTAAACTCTCAGAGCTCTCCGAGTTCTGCCCTTGGCTTCGTGCTGGGAGGCGCCGCCCAGCCGCCAAGCCTTCCTCCCCGAGGTCCGCTGCAAACTCATTGTGGGAAAACCTCGAGCGACAGCGCTCTTCAACAACGCCTCGAGTTTATGAACGTCCTCCACCTATCCTCCACCTCAGTGGCCGCGGCCACGTTGCACACGCACGCTTTTTTGGATTTATTGGCTGGAAGGGGGTATGGGGGGGCAGAGTCTGCCTCGCTACTCCAGCCCCCGGGCCACGGACACCAAGAGCTCTGGAACCCCCCCCCCCCCCTCGGTTCTCTGGACTTCGACGATCGGATCCCATCTAACGCACCTTCGAGACCTTTCTTGACAGACCCTGGACACCCTCACCTGTGGGATATTCAAAGAACGGTGGATATAGATGATATAGGCTTCCTCTTGAAAAGGAAGCAGTCGAGGCCATCTGCGAAGTGAGACATTTAAAACTCTGCCGTTGTCCAATTGTTTTGCAACCCACAACTAGCAGAATCCAGCAGCTGAAAGTCGGGCCTGCATTTGTCACCTTTTCTGCAGCCCTTTTTCAGGAACTTGCAAGGTCGCTTTGTGAGCGCACGCAAGTCTCTCCTCAGTACATCAGGAGTTCATCAACAGCTGCACTTTCAAATCTTCAAAAGCTTAGGGACAAAGTAATCTCCACACCACCTGTCTGCAGACATGCGTCTCCACCAGGTTCACCTTTAACGTAACTGGCAAGTCGCTCAGGTCATCAGCGCCGATCCTTTCGCGTGACTCGCGCAGCTGGACTTTCACGTCGACCTTGCTGCCCAGCAGGGATGCAAACGGCAACCGGTAGCACCCCGTAGCTACAACAGGTCCAACGAAGCCCAAGCAGCCCAGTTCTTCCAAAGATCCGCATCTTCCAACCGCCATATTTCGGCCACAATGCGGCCGGGTTGTACTCGTGACTGGTTCACCAACTCAGCAGGTCACAGATGTCACAGAAAAGCTCAGGTCCAGGGATGATGTGCATATAAAAAAAAGGTACAGGTTAAGTTGCAAGCGCACTGCATGTGGTTCTTGCCAGCATCTGGCAGGGCTCCAGGCTTCAGCACTTGACGCTTGGCTTTGTATTTCCGAGCCCCCGACCCCCCCCCCCGTGCGCTGGGCCTGGCAGTGGGTAACGATCTCCAAAGGTCTCTTTGGCCATGTTGGTGGCGACATTTCTGCGAAGGAGCACGCAGACTGCTCAAGGCAGCACATTTCACAGACAAGGCAAGTATCAAAGCCAAGGGTCGTCCAATGCAAAGGGACCTGCATAAAGAACCTGCGCTTCAGCATCTGTTCGATGTCATCTTCATCATCCTGCCGAACGCCAGCCCTGCTTCCGAGGTGTTCCAACTTTTCCCAGGTCCACAGCTTCCTATCTAGTTTCTCGAGTTTCGTCCTGGTTGAGCTGATGGGTCTCTAGTTTCTCCAGCTACCAAATCAAGCCCTACCTGCAGTGATCTCAAAAATCTAGGAGGCTTCTTGGATGCCGTGTCTGGCCATGCCCAAGGTTTTGGGACAAACCGTGCGGCTCCCAAATGGCCAGTTGCACGACCTCGACAGGACGTGCTGCGTGCATTACCAATCAGAATCAACTTCCAGTGGCTGTCCCCATGCAGCCGCATGGTTGCTGTGCGCACAAGAAAGGTACTGAGGTGATGCCATGGATGCTGTGTGCAGTGTGTGCAGGAGCTCCTTGGAACGTCGCGGCTTCGCGCTTCCTGGATTGACCTCGACCCTCTCGTCGCTGAAATACACGCGGCTTGCACAGTGAGCCACGGTCAGAAATGTTTCGATACCCGCTGCGACAAGTATGTGCTATTGACCATTTTATCTCTGGCCTTGTCGTGTTTCGTTCTCAGTATGGCGATTCCCGTGTGCGCAGTGCATTTTGACAACAAAAAAAGGGTACCACGCCTGGTGCAGGCTTTTGGCCATTCCTAGAGTTGAAAATTCCTGCTTTGTCATTCTTCAGCAGTTACTACCAGTAGCTGACCACTGCTCGCTGCAGTTCACAAGACAATGCTGCTCTAGAGGTCCTTGCTGTAGACCCGCTGGTAAAGGACGAGGTATTCCGGGTAACACTGGTCTGCGTCATAAACGACCAGCTCACGGAACAAGCCTTGGGAGGGTCGGGCGCCCGAAGAGAAGAACAACACGGGGACTGAGCAAACTTTGCAGCTTCCAAGCAGCGTGTGCCACAGGTGCTGTCAAACTCGCCGGCCATGACCCGCTCGCCCGCCTTTGGGTCTCCCTTTGTGCAATTCAGCTTGCCCATTGTCAGCCGGCAGACCAGCACGGCAAACACTCCTTCCTGACAAGGCAAGCTGCACTTAACACGATTCATGCCACATGGGAGAAATTCTCGCTTTGCTAGAAGTAAGCCCACGCCAAAGAATAATACAAAGCTAGAGAAGGTTTAGAGGTTGCCGAGCCGCATAGTAACCACCCGGCTCATCCTTGGCATACTCATCCGCCTTCGTGATGGACTCGCCAAGGTATGCACCTCGACCATACAGCGTTCCAGTACTGGAGCCTGCATAGTCGATGTTGAAATCCTTGGCTAACCCCGCATGCTTGGTACAGTTAGCCCCCCCATGTGCTCCAGCTTCGTGGCTTCCACGTGTTTTTGACGGTGTGTGTGTGTGTAAATTAGGGTAGGCCCAGCCGGCTTGGGTTTGTTTTGCATGTCGCCCGCTGGTGCTTGCTCTTGTTGTTGCTCCTGCCTAGCTGTGTATGCCTTGAACTCTGAGTGGGTCTGCTGACTAGTTGCAACAAAGGCTCATTTTCAGCTATGGACAGAGCATAGCGCACAAAGGTGCCGTGGAAAGCGTAGACCTCGTTCACCGAGCTGTCCAATGGAGCAAAAATACCTGAGGCTCGAGGACATATGAGGACATGTGAAGCAGGCAAAGCAGACACAAGCCATAAGCCAAGACACTCGGGTATTTTTCGGCCACAGCCTTCGTTAGCGGAGGAGGATTGAATTCTTGTATCTCCCCGCTATCTCTTTTCTCCCGGATTTCATCGCGTTTGGCGACATATCCTTGGCTGGGCCAGGTGCTGAGGATGCAAACTCAAAAACAAATCTGGCAGACATGATGGTTCAGTTCAACAAACACAAAGCACCGCACATGGCCACATGATGGGGGTGCCGCTAGGAGTCTCTGCCAAATATCAGACGCCTGCAGGGAAAGGCGTTGAATCATTGTGCCAACGCCAATGGTCAAGTCTGTCAGTTATCATGCCAGCGTGCAGCAATCACGCAAGCAAGATGCTCCAAGGGGAACAAGGTGGAAATGACACATGCAATTCCAGGTTCCTCTTGCCTCTACTCGTATGACACGACGCACCCGATACCGTGTGGGAAGCCCAGGATCAGCACCCGGCCTTGGACTGTCATTTGTTAAATATAACTACTAATTTATATAACATGATTAATTATGTAGTATTTAGCTATTTATAAATCTCTTGTATAGGGTTTCCGCGTGACATCGACTTAGTTTGGCACAGGCTGGACACTTATGGTTGAACAACTGACAGCCCGCGGCCCCTGTCCAGTTTGACAGTAACACATCTGGCCGTAAACAGCAGCGACGGCCCGAGTTAAGGCTGAAGTTTTCGAGCTTGTGAAGACTAAGCGCGGTCTTTGTGCTGGCAGCTTGCCAAGCCATCTATAGACACATATCAGGACAAATATTGACAAATCTACTCTTCAAGCATGATCTGTCATGATGGAATGACGAGGACTCCTCGTGGAAGTGCTCTTATCTTGTGATCAAGGGGTCGTAGCTACATTTCTTTGGATTCATTTGCCCACGCAGCCCAGACATGGTTGCCAATGGAACACGATTCCACTGTTTCATCCAAGCTGAGGCACTGATTGCAGGGACAACCACCTGGCGTCTTGCCATGCTCGCCGCGGGGACAAGGACGATCTTGCGTGGCTTTCTCTACCTTGCGCATGCTCTCATAGTTGTTTGACCGGTCTTTAGTGTGTGCGAGAGGCAGGGCAAGCAGCCGTGCGGTTGGCGCCAGAGTCAGTCTCAAGCGAGCACATGCAATGCAGGATGCAGTCACGAAGCGAGAGCGTCCTAAATGCGGCTGGGCACATATGACTGTGTAAACATCTCTTCAAAGGCTGCATGATCTGTCTCCGGGGCATAGAACCTGACACCACAAGACCGTAGCAAAAATCATAGCAAACCACGATGCACCACTCGAACATCGCAAGGACATCCCGTGACCTCCTAGCAATGCGGCATCACTTATGAAAAGGCTTGAAATCCCACGGCTTCCCACACCATACTACGTATGTAAATGTTTGATAAGAAACTGTAAACTTGCTTGAGACTGTTTATCTTCTTTCAGAGCGAATTGAAACGTGAGGCTTCAGGTTCTTGCTCATGAGCAATATGCGGGGTCAGTGTTCTTGGTGAAAGCCTACTTGTTGTATGAGGCGAACGTCAGTCCGGCTGTTCTGGCCGGCCGACTGAACGACTTTGCGCAACTTCTGTTCCGTCTGTTTGCCTCCTGTGCCGTCTTTTGCCAACTCCCAACTAGGTGGCAGTGAATGGAAATTGATGGGACACCAGCGAGATACATTACATTTGACATCAGAAGCAGGAAGCACATCATGAAGACGCGTCCGGCACGAAGGCTAAACATCTGAATGCACAGAGCGACGCATCGCCAGGTTGATTTCGCTAGCTCTGCAACATCTGCAGCTTCTGTTATATCACCACTTCCTGGTCCTTCCTGGAAACGTCTGTCACCATACAGTAGTATCATCGCCTGGTTTTAAGCATTGCCCCCTTTACTTCTGCGGCGCGTCTAGGTCACATATCTCGTAAGACTAGTAGTGCCACTCGGCTTTAGACAGCCGGGGCACATGTCATCAAAAGACTCATCTTTGTCACCAGCGGTCTTGGAGTGGTACCTGAGTGACTCAAAGGACGTGTGCCATGTGCAGCATCATGGCAAGGCCCCCATCGGGCATGTGATTGTAGCAAGGGTGCCAGTACTCCGGCAGTGCGCCGTCACCAGCCAGCGACACCTCACTTCGCTGGCTCGCCTTTGGGACGTCGCCTTTTGGCGTTTCATCCGCTGGTCTAGCAATGACAGGCGCGCTTGTAGTTGAGCTTGAACTCACCTTGGCTGGAGTCTGGAGTTCTTGCCTTCGGCTTGAGATGGATTTGTGGCGGCTAGCCTGTCGGCAGTCAAGATGCAGATGATGAAGCACGGACGACCTTCGGCGCTTCAGATGTTTTACTCGCGCCGGATCCCATGGCCACCAGTTGCTGTCATGGTCAGCCGGCTCAGCTTATGCTTAAGCACCAGGCACCAGGCAGCAAGCACTTGGGACCGCTGCAAGCTTTCCACACCAGATTTACAACGTTGACAACTTTAGCAGCACAAGGCAAAAAACGCACGACACTGGCCATTGCTCCGGCATCGAGCGTTTATGACTCAGAATGACCCACTTCTGATTGCCGAATTGGCAGAAATTTGGCAGATGATGCCACGTGACCTGGCCTGGCATTGTGGCAGACCGGGCTGACCGGAAATTGCTGGAGCTCTGGAGTTTTCCAGAACTAACGCTGCAAGTTCCGCTATGTACGTTGTGCGCTGATGTCAGGGGGGCACCATGTGACGTACGACACTGTGTCCCGAGCAGGAACAGCCTGCTAAGGTGAAACCTCCGAAGGCATGTGGCATGCCGTCATGCCGTCATGCCGTCACTCATATCACTCCGTGGCGGCGCAGCACATTAGGCCTGATGACACACTATCCGAGCGTCTTCCGTGTGGTCAAGGGGATCCCCAAACTCGATGTGCACTTCTTATTGGGAACTGCAAAACCCGACACGCTGTGTAAGCATCGCAGCAGTGCTTCATATGTGCAACAAGCAAAACAACATGCAATATGGCTGACAACATCAACATAAACGGAGACATTGGGGGTGCCGTTGTGGGTAGATGTGCCAGATGTGCAAGACAGTGGGCAACACAGGAAATGTCCTGGCCTTCCCCTTTTGGATCATCCAAAGCTGGATCTTCCACAGCAAATGGGGCGACGTCACGGCCTGTAGTCCCACGGCGAGTGCCTGTGTCATACCTCTTGGCCCTAGGATCACTTGTCAAGGTGAGCCGAGCCTGTAGGAGCTTTGTCCATGCTGTCAATGATCTTCTCGGGCTCCTTCTTCTCGATCTCCTCCTGCGCATTTCGGGGAACGACGAGGCATTTTTGGGGGTTTAGGGCCCAGGCTTGAGGGTGGAGCTCTTAAGTTGATAGGGTTCAGGGCGTATGGTGCATAACCCGGTTCTTTTCCTGCCAACTAGGGGCTCCGGCAGGCTCCTGGTATAGATTTTGAAATCTTGAGCTAAAAATCTTTCGCCAAAGGAAGGGGCTAGGAGTTTAGGCCAGGGATCTGCTCCGAAGTCTCCTTGGTTTCGGAGCGCTCTTGGATACAGCTGTGGGCTACCTTTCGGAGAGCTCCTTATGAGTCATAGATGCTCAGTTGCGTCGACTTTTGTGGGCCTTCTTTGGGTCATTGCCCATCAGCTTAATCCTGCTCCATGTCTTCCAATCCCTCGTGTCTCCCTTCGCCTCCTCTTCTTCAACCCTCAAACTAGCGTAACTAGACACAACCCCTTTCAACAAGTCGGCGTGGAACGCCAGACTGAGCGGTTTCGAAGACACCAGTTTCTGAGACACCATGCCATCGATCATAACCGCACTTGTGGTCCTCCGGTTCGCTGCAGTGCAGGTTCAGACGGTACTCGGGATACACGGCACCTCAGTGTGGGGACTCTGGCGGCGCTTTGTTGTGAACACGTTACTTCAGAGGTAGGCGCTGCCATCCTTGATCAAGACTTCTCTGCGCCCAGCCGCATCGGTCTAAGCGGGCGCGTGTGATTCAAGAGTGCTGCATGGGCATGGGTGATGCGGTGCTGTTGCCTCTATGATCACGAAGTCGGTGCTCTCATCCGTCACATCGAGACCAGGCAGCCCACACAAGACGCGACACAAGATCGCCACTTTCACACCATCCTCTCCAGGCCAGGAGATCCAAATTAAGGTACGCCTACTGCGGGGGAGTCCTTCAGAAAGAGATTCTGATACACTTTTTCGTGAGTGTTTATCAGGAGATACTAAAGAGTACCCCTTGATTTTCGGCGCCTCCCATTGCACACAGTGGCTAAAGACATTGTGTGCCAGTGCCATGCCACCTCGCCTTGGCGGTGGTCTTCTTCAGGGCGGCTTGCAAGCTCTCATAGAATCGAGTACCTGGCAGTGTCGCCTCCTTCTTCAGGGTGCCCTGGCTCAGCTCCTTGATCGCAGCGCGGTGGGCATTCTGAAAGCAAAAAGTGCGACTTTTGAGCAATACACAGCAACCATGAGCCACATGGTATCTCTTTGCCATGTGTCAGCAGCTTCTGCTTCTGTGCCTCGGAGATGCGCAACTAGCCATCGATTGTCAGGAAAATGGATAACCGAAGGTCTTAGGGCCGCACAAGCGTACCACAGGAAGCCTTCATGTAAGCGTCGGTCCAGCTCGTCCACCTATCGCTGAGTTTTGGTAAGAGGTGCGTCTGATGAGACCACTGCGCCAGGCCACTGGCAAACGTCGACCGGCTGCAAGACTCAAGTCGTCTAAGTCTCCCCCCCAGGCATTGTGTGAAAACCTGCGGGGCGCGGCATGATATGGCAGCACCAGTCGTTCTGCGACATTGCCAGTCACATCTATTTCTGACAAGTACAGGCTCTACTTCTGACAAGTTCAGGCCTGCATTTGTCGCCGGCTTTGCAGCCCCGCGTTGATCTGAAGAACTTGCATGGACGTCTCATCAGTGCACGCAGGTCTTTCCTTATCCACCACACAGCAGGAAACACCTTCAAAATCCAAGCACAAATGACCAAATGGAAGGCACACTTTCCGAGTATGGCACTCCACCAAGTTAAGCCGTAAATGATCTTCGCTTTTGCCATCCATCCGACTGCGGAGCGCAGCTTTGAATGCCACCTAGGACATCTTGGTAAGCACGGCACCATGGCTTCGATTCTTTCAACCATGCCCTGCAAACGGCGCTGAGGCACGAAGCGGTCCCACATCTTTGAATCCTCTAACCGTGTTGCGGACAGCAGCGTCCGCATGGGCACCAGCTGCGCTTGATTCACCAACTCAGTGCACAATCCCACCATATTTGGTCTGCTCATATCTGCACCGGAAGATCCGATGGTAAGGTCCTTGCACACTGCAGCCACGTCGCGCCTGCGCCTGCTGGCTGCGGGCTTCACAAGCGAGAGACACTCTTTGCCAAGCTGAGGAGCAGGCCTTTCAATTCAACTTCATCCCGAAAGCCAGTGGACAAGTCTGTCGCAACATTCCTGGCATGTGATTTGCGCATCCTCAGCCCCCCTCAGCTTGTTAAGGGGCAAACCGCACTCGGGGCTACAAGCTGTCCTCCAGTGAAGGGGCACTTGCATAAAGAAACGACGCTTGGGCATCTTTTCCACGTCCTCTTCAGGGTCCTGCAGAGCTCAAAGACGTGTGCATTGTGTCTAGCTCTCCATTCCATTTCATTACTTTTTTGCGCGTTCCCAAGCCGCCTTGGCATATTTCCTCTTGTAAAGTACTACATATTCTGGATAGCACTGGTCTGCGTCGTAGATCACAAGCTCGCGGAACACGCCTGCCCAGCTGAATGTTGCACGAATAATCCCTACTTCTGGTGCAGTTGTGGTCAAAATCACGACTTCCGAGACAATACAAGTCATGACGCGTGTATCAGACACCCTTCGCCACCGGGCCCCCCATACGCCCTTGAGTTGACCGAGTATGGACGCCTCTCGAAAAGAAGCTGTGTGCCCCCTTTTGTGATATCCAGGCGATGCGCATGATTCAAAACTTCAAAACCAAAAATGTGTGGCTTTTTGTAAGCTGCAGTATTAGATATGCTATTAACCAAGAGCCGGCAGCCAAGGCACGAGTTCCGCAGGTGCTGTCGAACTCCCCAGCTGTTACTTTCTCAGCGGCTTTGGTGTCAGACTTTGTTTTGTTCATCTTTCCCATCACCACACGGCAAACAAGGACAGCGAAAACTCCATCCTTGGTGAAATGCACAGAGGTTCGCCTATTGTCTGCTCGCGACACTCGCATGAGTCAGTCAGTCAGCCAAAACACGTAAAAGCCTCCAGGCTCGTCCTTTGCATACTCATCGGCCTGACCGCTGAAGAAATGTAGGTGCATTCTGCAGCACGGTCGAAAGTTCGCGGCTCAAACCACACTGATCGCAAGCCTTGCTGATAGATTCGCCAAGATATGCCCCTCGACCGTATAATGTCCCTGTGCTGGATCCCGCGAGATCGATCCTGAATGCCTGCACATCGCTTCCCGCAAAGATGTGGCCACGCTTGCAGCGTCTGAGAGCGATGTCACAGAACTCTCCGAGCCCGGGACGTTTTCGGCAATGGCCAATGCATATCGCACCTGGGTCCCGTGGTAGGCATAAACCTCGTTGACCGAGGAATCTACCGGCGCAAAGGTGCCTGAGCGATATCTGCTTGAGTGGTGCGACTGACGTAGCCACATCATATCGCAGCCAGGTGCGAAGAGCTGGACAAGAACTGAGAGCAGATTCTTGTGTGATCTACGGCAGGCAAGCTGAGGCAAGATGCCTGGGTACTCGGAGGCTTTCTTGCTCGTGAGCGTGGGAGGATCAAACTCTTCGACGCCAGATGGCCGCAATTTCATTATTGCCTTCTTCTTGTTCTGGTATCCTGGGCTGTGTAGGCTCATATTCGCCCCTGAATTCCCTCGAGCACCTCTGCGAAACATCAGCAAAACATGCACGTGCCCTGCTGCTGCTGCTGCTGCTGCAGGGAGAACTGAGTTGGGGCAGAAGCTGCAAGATACTTTTCGGAGCCTGTCCTCTATTCAGTCTAGCCTGGAAGCAACTTGTGAGTCCCTCTAAGTTGCATTGCCAAGATTCGCTCCCATAACTCTGAGGACTCCACGCGAATAACGCGCTGCACATGAAAGGAGACAGGCAATCCAGGGTCTCCACCCGGCCTTACTCCGGACATGCTCGACGACCTACTAGTAGCAGCTTGTGGATATTCACCCTAAGGTAAGCCCCCTTAGCCCCGGGCTTCGGTACTAGGCCACACCAGGAAACTAAATCCAATGTAGCGATACCACATTTCCACAATTAGGCCCGGAACTTCCGCCGGGCTGCTGATTGCACGGGCAGCCTCCAGGTTTTTTGCCGCAAGTGCCCTTCGGGCACGGACGATCCTGCGTCGCTTTAGCGACCTGAAGTGTGCCGGGGCATGGAGGTTTTAGGTGCTTTGTGCTTTTGTTGTTGCCGCCCGCCTAGCTGACTCTCAGGCCATACTGCAGGGCACATACTGTCATAGTGCAAAGCGCAAAACTCGTGCATTTTAAGTTTCTTTAAAGTGCAGCAGAACATTTACATCACGCCACATCTCCAGCTCTTAGTCAAGCATGGGCTTAGGGTTTAAGGGCTCCTGCCAGGTGCTGGCTGTCAGAACTCGAGGAGCCAAGGCACGTAGGATTCTTCAAACATCTCCTGGAAGCAATGGTGTTCCTGGTCTGGAGCATAAAACCTGGGCGGCAAGTGCAAACATGTTAAGATACTTGAGGAGGAGGGACTGGGACGAAAGCTAGAAGCGTTAACAACAAAGGCTCTTCAAGTTGGCCAACGTCTCTTTTTTTCTGGCATGCAATACACGTCGGGATGGGGTATAGAGCCATCGTACCTGAAGCCAATCATGCCTACAAGCCAACAGCTTCAGGTCGGGCGCCTAACATAGAAGAAGTACGCAACGCGCGAGCATCATGAGCATCGAATATGTCCCGACTTCTCGACCTCCGAACCAGCAGGCGAGCATCATGAGCATCATTGGGGGTATCGTGGGTCCCAATCGGAGACAGCAAGCGCGCATTATGAGAATCATTGGGAGCCTCTTGGATCCCAATCCGATCCAACAAGCGCGCATCATGAGCGGGACCCGTTTTTCCACTCGGAAGCGGTCTGAAGCACCACTTTCGAACACCCCTAAACGGACCCGAATTCCCCCCCGCCAAAACCCGCGCCAGGTGGGGTCTAGCCCGAAAACGCGCGCAGAAAACGCCCGCCTGGAAAGGGGCCCTTCCCCACACCATTAGATGCAACCTTTCGGGGGGGACCGGAATTCAGCCAGCCACGGAGGCTAGCTTTCGTGAAAGAGATGCATTCTGGACTGTATGCGCGACCCGTAACACCCTGAACAAGAGATTCTTGGTCCTTCTTCGACCAGCTGCATGTCATCGAACCCTCCATGATTGGCGGTCTGGTCTGCAGTCTTGCTGTGGTACCTTGCATGATGCTCCCAGGCAAGGCTCGCAATCGAAATCGCAACAAATCTCTAGCGGGGACGGCGGGGACAAAGCTTTTCTTACGTGAGGCTTGAGCTTCTTTGTGCTTCCAAGTTGCCAATATTCGGGGTAGCCATCGTCACCCGGATTAAGCGTTTGACTGTCCGTTGGCTTCGCAGCCTAAGATGAAATCACTACTGGGCTCTTGCGAGGGCTCTTGCAGAAGAAACCATCTTGTCCCAGGCAGCGGTTTCAACAACCGGGCTGGAGCTTGCACAGCCCATGGCTGCAACAATTGGCTTCTTGGCTGCCGAGCGCGGTGCTACATCCTAGAACTGTGCGCTTCTTGAACTTGTTTCGTGCTGTGCCGCTGTCGAACTTTGCTCTTGAGCCAATGCAGCTGCACAAGCCATGGGCATCCATGGGCCATTCACTCATGCTACCTTTGTGTTCGGCATGTCATTCTACATTCTGCGTCGGCGTGCCTTTTCGTCTTGGCTGAACCATGCAGGTCCTCGGATTTTAAGGTCACGGCATGGTGACACCAAAGCTCCTGAATTTGAAAGACACTAGCTGCACAAGTGCTGCACTAGCTCGCTGCTAGGGCAAAGCGTCAGCCTTTGTGACGCAAGGATGTGGTATCCCCGACAATGTTGAATGTCAAGTGTAGTGTAGTCTCGGCGCAACCTAGGCTGCATTGTGTTGCGTCCGCCATTCTTGCGGGCTTCGCGGCTCTTCCTCGCTCGCTGAAGCACCGTGGCTCACTTCATCGGCCGGCCTCATTCCAGGTCACTTCCAGCCACAGTCTCACCGGAGCAGCTCCGCCCACCTACTTTCTTCTCCAGCTTGTGCCGCTGCCTTGGACATGCATGGCTTGTTCTGACAAACTTTCCGGCCCTTGTCGCTTAGGTTCAGGCCTCCAGCACCGAGACCGAGAAAATCTCGCCCAGCCGAATGTGGCTTGCAGTGCTCTCTTGTTGAGGCCTCAGCAGCACAGGGGAATTTGATCGCAAGCACGGGAGGACGGACTTACCCCGTCCCTGCACAGTTCTCCCTGTCACGCCAGTGCCCCGTGCACAAATCCACCCCACCGTGATGACGGGTTTAGGGTATAATGGCTTCTAGGGTCGCTTCAGGGCTAAGGACTTTCTTTTGTTGAGGGCTCTTCGCCCTCGATGTGTTTTTTTCGGGCTTCGTGAGTGAGCGTGGTGTGTTGAAGATGTTCTGAAGTTTGTCCGGGTTTAGGTATAACAGTTTTGTTGTCGCCTGGCGGACCTCTCTCGGACGCACTGCAGTGCAGATACTTGGAAAATACTTGATCTCTTGTGCACTAAACTCAGCCGAAACCAATCCCCTTCACCTCTATTGCTGTGCTACTTGGCGGCCGAGAGTCGCGGCAGTATGGTTGTAAAACGCCCCCGCCAAGTGGCGAGCGACTCCGAGCGTGTCTTCGTCTTCTTCGTTTGGTATCGCTCCTCTTCGCTCGTCTAGGCCCGTCTTCCCGCGTGTTCGCTCGTCTTCGCTCGGTTGCTCGTCTTCACGAATTTCCGCAGGACCGCGCCACCGATGCAATAGAAGCATCCCAGCATGCAGCAACCAATCGCAGCACTCACCACCCATCACATTCGTTATCTCCGCATCACCCAGACCTCAGCCGGTTGACCGAGCAACGGCCCTCGGGATGCCCAAATCACGGCCCAAGCCCACCAACTCAATGAGGGACCTCCCCTGACCCCCCATCCCACGCCAGGTCACGCCCTCATGCCATGCCCTTCCGATGCCGCCTTGTGAAACCGACACCCGTCCAACTAACGCCGCCTTCTGTCACGGCCCCGTTGGAAAAGTTGCCGCGAAGTCCCGAGACCAAGGTGCCCGTGCAGCAAGTGTGCAATAACTTCTGAACCAGAAGCTCTGAAAATCATGCGCGTAGGTAGGAGCAATCTACAGCTTGGTTTCTCAAAAAGCTGCCTCACCGCATAGACTCTAAACTAAGCGAGAACAAAGCCTCTGGCCCTTGGTAGGCAAATCGAAGGTTGCCTCAAGCTTAGCAAAATTCAGCAAACTAATGGTCTTATTGCTGTCAGGTCAAAGAATGGTTGAACCAGATCTGTTCGCGTCACAAGGCCGTCATGGGTTCTTAGCCAACAGTTCGGAAGCTGGGTACCATGCTGCTGTTCTCCAGCGTGGAGTATTGCAGCCTTACAGTAGCCAGCGGATAGGCAAGCAGCTTACACAAATACCATGAGAGTACATCTGCGTCGCGGAAGCTGTCACGCATGCCTTGCAGATACTTGTAAAGACACAAGTGTTTCAATACGCGTAATCCAAGTTTAGGACACGTCGGGCATGCGCCCCACCTGAACTACAGCATCTTTCATGCTTCAGCGCAAAAAGCAGCTCTGCCTGAAGTTCTGCAGCAAAAGGCCCCGACGGTTCCATCCTGAAGAAACTTGAGAAAGCTCTTCTTGGTAAGGATGCCTCGCAGCAGATCCTGCAAGCATGGAGGCTGTGAAACAGAAGCCGCGGAAAGCTCATGAAGAACTCCTGCTGACCCCCAGGAACAGAGCCGACGATGAAGATCCGCTGGCAGCCGAGCCTTCCGTTTTCAGCGGAGGAGACGAGCCCCCATTCCGACACAGTTTTAAAAGGAGGAAGTCCTGTACCAAGCCGGAGAACGGGAGTTGTTGCACTCTCTCTGCTCTCAAGCTATGGACAGGGCTGTTTGAAGACTTGGTGCGCTTGTGTCAGCGGGGCATCTGGAACCATGCGCATGACCTGGGCAGCTTCAAAGGTGTGCGGGGGCTCTGCCGGGCACTTCTCCCTCGTACGCCCAGGCAGTGGAGTCGATGATCGAAACCAGGTCCTCCATCGTAACCACCTGCCCAGAAGGATTTAGGTTTAACTTGATACCAGATGAAAGTTGCTTTTGGCGACTTGTGTTGGATATGCTCCACTTCTCGAAAGTGGAGCATGTGCGGACTGAAAGCTGCCTCGTTCTGGCCGCGGACTAGCTCCATTCGGGATAGCCAATCTTCCAACCTGCTCGGAGAGAAACACAAGAACAGGCTGCATGAGAGTGCTACACTGCGACACAGTACTTTGCACTGGGCTGGGAACGCAGATCGGCGGACATAGCCGACCTCGTCAAAAGCATCAGAATGAATTCGAAGCTGCTACCCGTCACTACCCAGCGCTTGCAAATTGCAATGGCTGAACGTGTCTTGGGAGGTGGGCGAAGCGGTCACCATCCACAACTGGAAATCCACGGAATGTGAATGCCCGGACCATGACGCCAATGTCCTGTGAGTGTTGTCTCAAGCCACACGGCGCATTCAAGCCAAACTCGAGCGCTCAATCGAGGCAGAGTTGCCAGGAAGCGAGTACGAAGCTTCACATCCAGCTTCACCAAACCTGACACTCTGTGCTCTGGGCAGCAATGCCCTTTCCCGATTCCAGACACAAACGCAGACGCACACGCACACACGCACACACGCACACACGCACACACGCACACACAGACACACAGACACACAGACACACAGACACACAGACACACAGACACACAGACACACAGACACACAGACACACAGACACAGACACACACAGACACACACAGACACACACACAAGCACACACACACCCAACACAGACACACATTATAGACCACACACATAAACAACACCACACAGAGACACACACATATACACACACAGACACACACACAGACACAGCGACACACACACACACACACACACACACACACACACAGCACACACACACACACCACCACAACACACACACACAGACACCACAGATATACACACACACACATAACACTACTTAGAAACACATTATGCATATGATTCAGACCACACACAGAGAGACCGCACAGATAGACACCATAGATACACACAGAGACACAACAGAGAGACACACAGAGCGACACACAGAGAGACAACGATGAGAACACTTACATAGAGACACCACAATAGACCACACAGAGAATACACACAGAGAGACACACATAGAGACACACAAGATACACACACAATCACACAGAGATAGACCACACAGAGAGCCACACAGAGATAACACACAGAATTAACCACATATAGAGACCCCACAGAGCGGCAGAGAGACACACATCGATTACACGCAGACACGCAGAGAGACACCAGAGAGACCAGCCAGAAGACCGCAAGACACGCAGAGAGACACGCAGAGACACACGAGACCAGAGACAACGCAGAGACACTCACGCTAAGATGACCCACATTGTCAGAGACACCGACAGAGAGAACACAAACTACAGGCTCCACGAGAAGACACAGAAGAGACACAGAGAGAGACACAAGAGAGACACATGAGAAGACACAGAAGAGACAACATCGTACACAGAGAGAGACACATAGAGAACACAGAAGAGAGACAACGATAGACACACAGATGATAGACACACAGATATACCACACATAGACACACAGAGATACCAACAGAGATACAACAGAGAACAAAGAAGCAACACAGAGAGACACACAGAGAGACCAACAGAGAGACACAGAGATACACACATAGAGACCACAGAGAGACACACAGATAGATACACAGAGATACACGATATACACAGACAACACAGACGACACACAGAGATACACAGAAGACACCCCGAGAGTAGAGGGACACACACACACAGAAGAGACACACAGACGACAGACACACAGAGAGACACAGACAAGCACACAGAGAGAGAGACACACAGAACAGACACACAGACCCACAGAGAGACACACGACCGACACAGAGACACACACAGCCAGACACCACATAGAATACACACCACACACAGACAGACCGACAGACAGACAGACACACAGACATTGACACACACACACAGACACACAGACACCACAACACAGACAGACACACCAGACAGACACACACACACACAGACACACAGACACACACCAGACCCCACACAGACACACACACACACACAGCACACACACACCACACACAGAGACACACACCAGACACCCAACACACACAAAACACACACACACACACACACAACACACACACACACACACACACAACACACACACACACACACACACACACACACACACACAACACACACACAACACACACACACACCACACACCACACCACACACACACACACACACACACACCACGCACACACACCACAACACGCACACACCACACGCACCACCCACAACCACTCACACAAACGCACACTAACAATCACAGCCACCACACCACACTCACACTCACGACCACTCCACACACCCACCACACACACACACACACACCACACACACACACACCACCACACCCACGACCACACACACACACACACTCACCCACACACACACACACACACACACAACACACACCCACACACACACAACACACACACACACCACACACCACACCAACACGCACAACACAACTACAACACCACACCACACACACACACACACAACAAACACACACACCCACACACACACACAACACTGCATCACACACACATTGCAACACACACTTACACACACACACACTACACAACACTCACACCACACTCACACACACACTGGTATTCACACGCACACTCCACAACACGCAACACTGCATCACAACCAACACACACACAACACTCACACACACACACCACACACACACACACAACACACACACACACTCACACACACACAACGCACTACACACACACACGCACACACCCACAACAACTCACACACACCCAACACACCACACACACACACACTCCAACACAACAGCTCACGCACAACACTCACACACACAACACGGCCAAACACACGCACACACACACACACACCACAACACACACACCCACACTCACACACACACACAACACCAACACACACACACCAACACACGCACACACACCACACACACACACACACACACTCACACACACCACAACACACACACACAACAACACACACACACTCACACACACACACACACACCACACGCACACACACAACACACACACACACACACACCACACACACCACACACTCACACACACTCACCACACACACCACACACACTCACACACACACAGCACACACACCACACACACTCACACACACTACACACAACACACCACACACCACACACACACACACACACGCCACACACACACACAACACACACATCACACACACCCCACACAACACACACGACACAACACTGCAACACAACACAACACCACACACACACAACACCACACACACACACACCACACACACACACACCACACACACACACACAAACACACACCCCCACACACTCACACCATAAGCACAACACACACAACACACACACACACACACACACACCGCACCACCACTCACTTCAACTCACACTCACCACGCACGCACTCACTCACTCAACGCTCATCAACCACCGATAACTCACAGTGCGAACCACTCACTCCAACTCACTCAAACCACTCAAACTCACTCACGCACGCAACGCACGCACTCACTCACTCACTCACGCACTCACACTCAACTCACGCACGCATCGCACGCCTCACGCACGCACTCAACTCACTTCACTCACGCACTCACTCAGCTCAACGCACCTCAAACGCACGCACGCACTCACTCACTCACTCACACTCACAGCACGCGCACGCACGCACTTGCACTCCCGCACGCAACTCACGCACTAACTCCTCGCACTCACGCACGCACTCACCCCCAACCACTCATCATTCCACTCACTCACTCTTCACTCACCTCACTCACACATCACTCACTCACTCACTCACTCACGCGACTCACTCATTCCACTACGACCTCAACTCACTCACTCACTCACGCACCCCAACTACTCACTCACTCACTCACTCTCACTGCAATCCACTCACTCACTCTCAAACTCACTCCCGCACTCACTCACGCATCACTCCACTCACTGCAACTCACTCACTCACATTCACTCACTCACTCTCACTCACTCTCACTTCACTCACTCACTCACTCACTCACTCACATCACTCAACCCATCCACTCACCTCACTTCACCTCACTCACTCCTGCTCACGTCACATCTACCACTCACCCACTCACTCAACTCACCCTCACTCACATCACAGCACTCTCAGCTCGCACCACTCATCACATCACGTCAACCACTCACTCACTCACTCACTCAACTTCACTTCCACGCACTCACTCACTCACTTCACTCACTCACTCACCTCACGCACTCACTCACTCAGCTCACACTCATCACTCATCACGCACTCACTTTCACTCACTCACACATCACTCACTTCACTCGAACCTCACAAGCAAACGCCTCACTCACTCAACTCACTCCTCACTTCACTCACCCGCACCTCAACTCACTCACTCAAACTCACATCACTCAACTCACTCCTCACTCACTCACTCACGCTCACTCACTCACGCACTCACTCAGCTCGCCTCACTCACTCCTCACCACGCACTCACTCACTCACTCAACTCACCTCACTCACTCACTCACTCACCAACACTCACGCACTCAACTCATAGACGATACTTCACTCCAACTCACTCACATTCACTACTCACTCACTCACTCATCTCACTCACCACACTCAACCGCACTCACCACTCCCTCTACCAAACTTCCCTTCACTCACTCAACTCACTCACTCCTCATCTCACTCCCTCACTTCCACGCACTCACTCAACACACTCCACTTCACTCACTCACACACTCACTAAACACCTCTCAAACACACCACGCACACACTCACTCAACACAACTCACTCAACACACTCACTCACACACTCACTCAACACACTCACTCACTCAACTCACTCACGCACTTCACACTCACTCCCCACTCACCACTCCCACTACTCACTCACCCTCACCACTCACTCACTCCACTCACTCACCACTCACTCACTCACTCACCCATCGCCACGGCACCACTTCCAACTCACTCACTCGACTCACTCACCTCACTCTCACTCAACACTCTCACTCTCAACTCGCACTCACTCACTCAACTCACTCACTCACTCTCACTCACTCACTCACCTGCTCACTCTCACTTCACGCACTCACTCACTCACTCACTCATCTCACTCCACTCACGCACACACTCACCACTCACGTCACTCAACGCCTCACGTCTCACTCACCAACTCACTCAACAACTCACCGCACTCAACTCACTCAACACACTCAACTCACACACACACAACACACACAACTCACACCACACACACCACACACACACAACACACACACACACCCCACACACACCAACACTCACACACACACACCACACAACCACGCACACACACGCTACACACATAACGCACACACACGCACACAGGCACCACACACCACACACAACTGCGCACACACGCACCACTCACGACACTCACACACCACAACACTCACACACCACACACTCCCCACACTTCCACCCACACCACACACTCACACACCCACCAACGCCCACACCCACACGCCAACTCAACCCACACTCCCACACACTCACCACGCACACTCACTCTCACACCCACACTCAACACACTACTCTCACCACTCACACCACACACTCTCACTCTCACAGAGACCCTCACACGCACTCGCTCACCTCACTCCACTCACTCACTCACTCAACTCACTCACTCACTCACTCACTACTCTCACCACTGCACTCACTCTACGTCACTCACACACACACCTAGCACACACACACACACCCCATTACACTTACAACATCATCAAGCACAACACACACACACACACACACACACAACACACACACACACACACACACACACGCACCACACACACTCACACACACACTCACCCACCCTCACACACACTCACACACACCCACACACTCACACACACTCACAACCCTTCTCACACAACGCGCACACGACCTCACACAGACTCACCCACCACACACCTCACACACTCACACACACTCACACCCGCACAAGCCCCCATCCCCCTCACGATTACTCACACACTCCCACACTCACACACTCACCCAATTACCACCTCACACACCCACACTCACACCTCACACCCACACTCCCACACTGCACAGACCGCATACGCACACCCGCACACGCACACACGCACACACGCACACACGCACACACGCACACACCCACACGCACACACGCACACCCACACGCCCACACGCACACACGCACACACACGCGCACACACGCACACGCACACGCACACGCACACACACACACACACACACAGAGAGACAGAGACAGAGAGACAGAGAGACAGACAGACAGACCGACGGACGGACGGACGGACAGACAGACAGAGAGACACACAGAGACACAGCGAGACACAGAGACCCATGCGCGCCTGTCTCCATGACGTCGCAGCAGCGCTCCGTAAAGGTCACGTCGAGCCTCAAACCATCACCCGCAACTCTCGAATTGCTACTTTTGCTGCAGAGTTCTCACAGGCATCTTGCTCTTCATGTAGGAAGGGATATCCCTTCAGAACGATCTGCAGGTCGTAGATGCCTGCAGGGGCTATGCAGTCGAATTTGTGACCTAGAAGCACCTCCAAACTTGCAAGGCAGTGCCTTCGTTCAACGAGTCACCAACAGCTTTGGCCAGCAACACTGAGATCATGAACGGAACGACGTAATCTAAGCCTGCCGTTGTCAGTGTCAGAGTCATGGCACCACATGCATATCGATATCACAATATATACAATGGAGGCGGAAGCAGATGCCAACTACCTCCAGTCAGCTCCAACATGATGACGACCAAAGAAATCGTCCTCAGACTTACTTCGTAAGTGAACAGACACTTCAGAAGAGGCCAAACGTGAACGTGACAGGACTCCAACCGAAGGCTAAGTCTGCAGCATTCGGCTGACACCTCCAAGGACGGAGGCGGCGCCCACCATACTGTAGACCTCTCGCGCTTCCAGGTGCAAACATTGCAAACTAGCCACTGATCTTGGCAAATCTCAGGAGATGGCGCCCGGATCCACCTTGTTCGGGAACCTCACTCCACTCCATTAGCACACGCAATGAGCACGGCAATATGGATCAACGTGGAGTGATGTGGTATCATGTAGTGGGAAAATCTGGCTACTAGGAAAGACGTGGAAAGTCAGACCAAGTATGCTAGGTGGGTGCGCCAGTCTGTGCCCGATAGCCGAGGCACCAACCGAGCCCCGCCGAAGAAAATGTGAAAAGTGAGGACGCGCGCCGAACTTTGCTCCAACTCATTCCCCAGAGCCTTAACGATCCTCGGCCCGCCCCTTTGGAAGTCAACGACACGCAGACGGCCCCTGAAAAAACCTCAGCAGGTCTCTTCCTTGGAGAGCGATTACTAGGTTATGAAATAAGCTTGCCCGTTCAGATTGTTTGAATTACTCTATCGTGGTTCTGGCTTGCAGCAGCGCGGAAAACAAGCCGCTCGCACAAAGCTGGCAGGCTGGGATTGCTTGAGTGTATTCTCAAAAGTCAGAGTCGACGTCTGACCACTGCGCCGATTTAACAACTAAGTCGCGGGGTGCACGCTGTAAAATACAAAGGGCAACCAGCTCTGCAAGTACAAGTGTGGTGGTTTGCATGGCAATCATGTACAAGAAGCAAGAACACTGTAAATACCACGCCCGCATTATGAATGGATGTACCTGCTCCCTTTCACCCCCAGCACCGCCCCCCAACACCAGAAACCTTGAAATGCCTGAAAAAACAGCTCCGAAGACAAATAGATATTTTTCTTGCCGGTGGGCCGATAAGGTGGACAAGCCTTGGGTGTGGGGCTTGGGGGATCACGTGAAGCTGTGACGAGACACCAGTGGTACACCAGGACTCTTCAAGTTCCCGCGAGAGCGAGAGTGAGAGCGAGAGAGAGAGAGAGAGAGAGCGAGAGCCCCAGGAACAACTCCAATGTAGGCAGGATCTGGGGCGCTCGCAGGCGAGTACCTGCGTGCAGCGCCTTGAGACCCAGCGCCAGACATCGCCTCAGAAGAAGGGATTGCCGTGATGCATTCATGGGATGGCCCCGAAATGCAGACAATCAGCCAGGGCCTTTCTCTGGCCGCTATGCGCTGGGATTTTTCTGCGGGGGGGTGGGGGGGGGGTAACCGTCGAGACCTTTCAGGACCCTGCAGATCCCTTCTCTTTGCAGCGCAGGGTCCTCCTTAATATTGTTTCTGCTTCCGTAATGGGGCCGATACCCCACGGCCCCCAAAAGACCCCCAGGCCCGGTTTTGAACGGGGCGCCTCCCTCTCGAAGCGCTGAGAGTTGGACCCTAAACAGGCTCCAATGAACAGCGACGGGACAAAGAGGCCAGCTGGGCAGGCCTGAGTTTGACGAGACGTCGGGGCAGGTCAACTTGTGAATTTCAAGGCTCAAGCCGAGCCGATTGTCAGCACCATCTGGCCTTAGCTTTCCAATCTCTCCCTATACCACTGGAACTACCCCTTTTGTGCTTCGATGGCCCATTTGAACATGCTTGGACTTGGCGGTGTCGGCCCCCAGCAGAAACGGAGGGCAGCTGCAAAGCCAAGCGAAGTCAAAAGGCCGTCGCCGAAGGACTGCCACGTGCAATCGCCGGAATTGTGTGACATGCTTCTGACAGAAGGAACAGATGCACTGCAGCAGCCGCGATCAGCATTTCCAAGTGCTGGTTTCATGCTTTCGCCAAGGGGTCTTCCAAGGTCCACTGCTGGCCACTCAAATAAGATCTTGAGATCCCGGCGTTGCTGTAACCGTCTTCTGTGCAAAGCCCAAATTCGGCTTGCAACCTGTCTTGGTACCAAGCTGCACAGCATCAACACAGGATGACGTAAGCTTGCACACTTCAATGGTGTCGTGTCGGACTGCCGGGGCCTGCTGCGCACGGTTTCCCCGGGCTCGTCGCTGCACGTATCGAACAGTGCGTGAATTGTTGGCGCCTGCAGTGTGTGTTTGTGGTGGAGCACTTCTCGACTGTTATAGCCGGTTGCACGACGCGGCACTTTGCCAAGACATGCCTAAGTCAGACTTGCATCGACTTGCGTACACAACAAACCGAGGATGTCGCCATCAGATAGCGTGTCAGGCTCAGCGGCCATGATGAAACGAGTGTCACGAATGCCAGTATCGAGGCCTGCCCAACTGAAGTTGCGGCTGCAGCATGCTAGCAGATATCTCGTGGCAGCTGGCAGTATTCCGGAAATTCCTTGAGTGACCCTTGGCTTCTCTGTCCATCGCGCCTCCTGCACAGGTCCGATCCAGCGCTTGAATGCAGGCTTCGCCTTGAAAGCACACCACCTGGCAGGCGGAAGTCTGCGCAGAGTGTGGGTATACTGATCTTCCAGTGAAGATCGACTTCCTTCTACATGTGCTGGTATTCAATAAGAGTAGCCAAGCGAAGGGGACCACGATTTTAATGACCTTGGAGGAATATCCTGACAAATTGCAGAAGCTCAGAAGAACGAGGGCTATGGCAGCTGGCAAATGCTTGGCAGCTTCACCGAATATTCAACGCGTTGAAGAGGGCACCAACCTCGATGCTACCAGCTTTGATATTGATGCGAACGGCAGTTGGCACAGCCGCCGGCAAGACCGCCGGCTACCCCGAGCACGGCAAACATCACCTGACATGTTGTGAGGGCAGCTCCAAGATAAGATATTCGGACAATGAAAAGCCATTTTGGAGTTCAGACTCCGGCGTAATCGCTCGGATGGCACGTCACCGTGTAGCGCCTGCAGCAACTTGCGATGCGCAAGCACAGGGTCTCATGTGTCAGACAAAACTGGGTGCAGTCTTCGGCCGGCAGAGGAATTCCGGTTGAAGTGGGGGGCTCTGACCCCAAATCCCTAAACTAAAGACCTATAGGGTGATGAATTTGCGGGCTCACTCTGGGGTTGGGCACTCCAGGGAGTCTCTGGGGCTACACACCAGGGATGGGTTGGGCACTGCTGGGTTCATGTGCGGGCCTGTTCTGACTCGGGTGTGTTGTTTTGCCGACTCGCGTTTTCGGGACGCGGATCGCTTGTTTCTAGCATGGCCGCCTGGCCCGTACTCTTGCCAGATGTCACAGAGATCCTTGTCGCCCCTCTGCATGGTATTGAAAGGTGCCCCCATGAGAAGCCATGCGTCTGTGGCAAGTGTTCCTTCCACGGCTAGGTCGCAGACACACTGTACAGCGTCAGATGCCCCGTTCCCGTCAAGTCAGACACGGAAAGGAGCAGCGTTGCCACAACCTCATCAGTCTGCATCCCAACGCTGGCAAACATGACCGTACCCTGCCACTTAGACAGTTAGTCCAACCGAGTCTGTCGGCTGATGACACGAATGCCATGAGCAAGGTCCTTGATGGAAAATTCGAGCTAACCTGCTCAGGCGGATACTCGAGTCTGTGGCAGCTTGGATGTGAACTGGGGCTGCGCATGCACAGCCACGTTGACAGGTGTTGACAAAGCCACAATGTCGGAAACGGCTGCAGAGTCGAACTTTTTGTTCTTGCATGCTAGCTGCTAGCACGGGCAAACGTGTTAAAAGGCCGTGGTGGTCGACCGCAGCACGCCCTCTCGGTGGCCTGGGGAGCAGCTCTGATTGTGTAAATGCCTGTAGATGTCTGTAGCATGTCACTATGCGAGTCGCTAAGACTTCAAAGGTTGTGCACGAGAGCTCAGATTTTGCGGTGACCACCCATTTCAGGAAAGTTCAGGAGAGCTGTCCTGCCATATGCGCCCGTGGCAAGCAAGGCTGGAGGCTTGTGCTGGCGCCCTCAAACTTTAGAATCGTTTAGAATTTAGATGCTTTTAGCATCATGAATCATGAAGCACCACTTGTCGTTCGAGTTGGGACAAGCGCTTCTCTTGGGATCTCGGAGGAGCTGCATGTTGAACCAGCCGACACTTCCTTCGGAAGCAGGTCAGACCCTGAATCCAACACCGCCTGCCTGTTGTCTCCCTTGTTGAAGCAGGTCGTGTTGAGTGTGATATGAGAATCAGGGGGCCTAGAGGTGCAGTGAACAGGAGGGAGCAACATTGGCGGTACCCAAGAGAGCGAAACCTTGCACACTCGAAGCGTGCTGGGAAACGCACAGGCCGGAAGAGATTGCTGTGATTTCGAGGCCTGCAATACTAGGTCCTTGCAAATTCTATAAGGTCACTGAATGGGGCATGTCTTGCAGGGCTTGCAGGGTATGCCGCAGCCGTCTTCCATGGACAGATTTGGACGCGCCTTGGCTTGGACTGTTGTTACTGCATGTCGGCCGAATGCTCACACTCTCTCACGCTCTGCACTGGCCTGAGACTTCGCAACCGAGAAGCACCAAGAGTGTCAAGCAGCGATATGTCGCCTGTGATGTCCTGCGCTGTAACCGACATGGCGCCTCTTGTTTCATTGAATCCTATGTACCCATCCCTTGTTGGAAAGATGCTCGGCCTTCAGAGACGATTGGTCCGTAGCATTCATAGGCAGGAGGGAGGCCAGGAGCTTGGTAACAGATGCTACCACTTCCTCTCCTGAGGTCAGTGTCAAAAAATTGTAGTGTGCTACAACGTGCGACCATGGCGTTGAGCATGAGTGTAGAGAGTGTAGCATGCACAACGATGCGCGCAACGCGAGGATGCAGCCAAGTGCGCCACTGCGGTAAGGAGTGCACCAGAACTGTTCGCCCGTCACTGCGGCCAAGATGCCTTCCAAATGCCAAGACCACTTGCTGGATTGGATGAACTCGAGCCGTGAACCAGGCATGATCTGCTGCAATCGCTGCATGGCTTCCCCAACCACCACCAAGGGCGCCTGATCGCTTGAAGCAAGCACGACCGGTGGAGATTGCAGCGGCCACTCTGGCATCGAGGTAAAGGTAGGCGTGAGCTTTGCAAAATTCCAAGAAGGCTGTAGGCGCGCCAGGTCCCAAAAGTTGTCCGACGCCTTCTCCAATGCAGCCTTGTAGCGATCCCTTATCTCCTGCATACCTTCCGCTCCGCCAGTAGGGTAAGTAAAATCTGACAGCAGAGGCAAGATTTTATCGTAGTCGCGACTGCCGTACGTTTCACCTAAGAACGCCATCCTCTTTTTGATTTTTTGAGCTAGCTCGGTCTCATCAAAGTCGGGAGCCTTGAAAAGGTGCACGTTGACGATCAAGGCCCCTACCAGGAATGGCCGAAGGTCCCATGCCAGAAAGGTGCCGGGGCCGAAAGAGCTGTCGACAAGCACGAAGCCTTCCCCCAATTGCGGCAACAAGCTGTGAACAACGGCAAGCAAGTCATCCTGGAACATGCGCGGATCTTCGCCCTCCAAAAGCTCCGGCTTCACTGTGTCCTCGTTGATGGCCCAGATTTTTACAAATTCTTTGCTTGCCCAGCTCTCGAGAACGGGTAACTGAAGTGACCACGGTAAAAAGCGCGGCAAGCCAATGTACAGAATGTTCGCCACGGGCGTCAGGTTCGGTTGAATGATGCAAACCTGCCGGTCCTCCGAACCGACCCTGATATCGACTTCTGTACAAGTGGTCTTCACTTGTGATGGAAGAATGCTGTCTAACAACGCGGCCACTTCATTCACGACGTCCTCCCCTTCCAAATGCCAAGACCACTTGCTGGATTGGATGAACTCGAGCCGTGAACCAGGCATGATCTGCTGCAATCGCTGCATGGCTTCCCCAACCACCACCAAGGGCGCCTGATCGCTTGAAGCAAGCACGACCGGTGGAGATTGCAGCGGCCACTCTGGCATCGAGGTAAAGGTAGGCGTGAGCTTTGCAAAATTCCAGGAAGGCTGCAGGCGCGCCAGGTCCCAAAAGTTGTCTGACGCCTTCTCCAATGCAGCCTTGTAGCTATCCCTTATCTCCTGCATACCTTCCGCTCCGCCAGTGGGGAAAGTAAAATCTGACAGCAGAGGCAAGATTTTATCGTAGTCGCGACTGCCGTACGTTTCACCTAAGAATGCCATCCTCTTTTTGATTTTTTGAGCTAGCTCGGTCTCATCAAAGTCGGGAGCCTTGAAAAGGTGTACGTTGATGATCAAGGCCCCTAACAGGAATGGCCGAAGGTGCCATGCCAGAAAAGTGCCGGGGCCGAAAGAGCTGTCGACAAGCACGAAGCCTTCCCCCATTTGCGGCAACAAGCCGTGAACAACGGCAAGCAAGTCATCCTGGAACATGCGCGGGTCTTCACCCTCCAAAAGCTCCGGCTTCACTGTGTCCTCGTTGATGGCAAAAATCCGGAATCCCTCGGCACTTGCCCAGGTCTCGAGCAACGGTTCCTGCAAGGACCATGGTATGAACCGTGGGATGCCCAGATACAGCAGTGTCGCCACAGGTTGCCAGGTGGGCCGAATCAGACGAACAGGACGAATCTCTTCTCCCACCGCCACTTCAACAACTGTGTTGCTTATGCCGAATCTTCCGTACCGCCGCTCGCCTTATTCGGCACGGATAAATTAGCAAAAGCAATTCAAGCTTGCCGGTTGTAGGGACCAAGCAGGCTACTTTGCATAGAAGGGGAAAGCAATGCACATTAATACGCGCGCCCTGCGTTCGAAGCTTTGGAACGCCATAGATTGCACCAGCTGTAAAATAAAAGGACTGCGTGATGAGGGGCTACAATCATCGCACAAGTCAGGAGTGCCAAGGCAGGCCATGGCAGGCCAACCTTTTGTTTAACAGCGCAGTCAAGCGGCTTTTGAGCACCTTTTCATCCTCAACCAAGCCGGGTAGCTCAGTTTTCTTCCTTGCTTGCCAGTGCGGTTCTTGTGGGATTAATGATCAGCAATATCTGCATGATTCTGCATGTAAGTCTTGTCCGGTAGATTGGCGACAAAAAATGCAAAGCAATGAGGAGACTTGTTCACGTCGAGCCGCGCTTTAATCCAATCCATCATCGGCTGGTAGGGTCCACCATTTACAGCAACCAATGCCCACGACTCCATCCGGCTGATGACGCTGAGGCCAGCCTGACGCCACCCAGCTACACTGTAGCCGCTACACTGTAGCTGCTTGCTTATCCACCAAGTTGCTGTGCATGTGATGATCGGCTTCTTTACGTGAGCTACAAGGTGTGGTTCCCTGCCAAGGCGCGCGATTCCTTAGTTGCCCGCGCTTGAAATCGTAAGCATCAATGTGATCAATGTGAATGGTCATTGCTTTGAGATGTCGCTGCCCAGGGATTCTGGCCAGGGGCTGTCTTCGCAAGTGCTTTGCGTCGTCGGCCAGGCAAGTCAGCAGTTGTAGCGTGATCTCGTCAGCATACAGGGGAATTACATGTGCTGGGGTGTTCCCAAGCCGATCTCGTGCTCCTCTCAAGGTAATTCAATACATCTCAAAGAACTCGCTCAAAAAGTCGGTGTTTCGTGTGAGGGATATGACACGAAGAGTCCTTGCTTGGCTCCTCTTTCGAGGAGGAGCTGCACTGTTACCACATTGCGGAACCTGCATCCCCAATTTATTGCGGCTGGTTCATGTGCCATCGTGAGACTTGCTACAATGTTACAATCCGGCAGTGCTCTGCGACTCTTCAGCCGCTCGTCGCCTGCTAGCATTGTGAAGAGCAGTGTAACCTCGCCCATCTTGGATTGTGAGATCGGCTTGCCTTTGCCATGCTGGAGCATGTTAGAACTGTCAGTGCCCCCGAGCCCAAGCACAACTTCGGAGAAACTTATCTTCACCAAGTGGCTCTTCTATCAAGGCCGTGCACTCCTCGAGGCTTAGATTGCGGACAGTCATTGCGAGAGCCAGTGAGACGCGCTGTCTCAGCTGGGTGAGCAACGAAAATACTAAATCCACATCCTCAGCTCCGGCATGCGTTGGCGACATGGCAACTTCCACTCTGCAAATGATACTTGTAGAGTCATTGTTGTATCACTGATGCTTGGCATCGGCTTTGAGGTGCTGCTGTTTTGCACAACTTTGGCAAAACATTGCTGCAGAGAGGAGGAACCGTGGGAGCAGGAAGACAGCTATCACTCCGCAATGACATGTTGTAGGGTCGCAGAAGGAGCTGGAGCACGCCCCCTTGCGGGCAAAACTGTGCTGTAGCACCCGATGCTTGCTTGCCAAGTGGGGGGGGGCTGACTCCCCCCGCCTCACCTCCCAGCCACCCCCCACACCACCAAGCCTCTCCCTATTGCTTCTTCTTTGGGGACAGTTTTCCCGGCACGTATCTGGACCAGAACACGGCGAACTATCGAGCCACTAAAGGCACCACCCAAAGACCCTCGAGAAAGGCAGCCTGTTCCCAGGTTCCCAGGCTGCTTGGCTACAAAGAGGCGCCAAACTGTAAAGGCTATTTGTTTGAGGGATTTGAAGGGTCGATCTTCGATCAGCGACCTTTCTCTGGGACGTGCTCTCGCTCTCGGCTTGCTCTCGCTGATCTTTCTTTCTTTCTCTTTCTTTGTTGGGGCTCGAGGCTCTCTTCTTCTTCTTATTATTCTTCTTCTTCTTCTGCACTCTCTCTCTCTCTCTCTGTCGCTTTCGCCTTCCTTCCTCCCTGTTGCGTGTGACTCTGCATGCGACCGCGAGGAACTAGAAGCCACAAACCTCTGGAGTTGTTGTCCAGGTTGCTGTCGCTGTGTTTTTGGATGACGCTTTCTTCTTGTCCATAGATGTTGCAGAGAAGGTCTTCTGCTTAATTTCCTCGATGTAGACTTCGAACTGGTCCTAAGGTGACAGGTCAAGCAAGACGGCTCAGAATCGGATGAGACGACTGCGAGAGGCAAATCAAGGGCAAACGGGTCTTCGAACAACATTCCTATTGAAACCTTATGCAACGCGAAGGTTCTTGCAAAGCTTTGTTGCTGTGCGCAGCGCACTGACGCAGTTTCTGCGCCCGCGCAAGGATTGACCTGAGCAGAACACAGTACGCCCCCTGTGCTCCCTTGCCTCGCTGTTTGGACCCCTGGAGTTTGCGTCCAAATAGTCCAAGCTACTCTTTCAAGTCTGGCGCGTTTGCGTAGACTGTGCGGGCCTGGGCTGAGTGATGCATGCTCCATTCGACGGACTTCTCTGGGCCATCTCTCACATGCCTAAGCCCGCTGCCGCGTATTGCTCATCTGTCAGAGCGACGCGGATCGTGGAAACAAGACGCTCGAAGTAAATCCAGCCTCACCAGCCCCGACAAGAATGACAACCCTCCCGAAAACTTTCCACACACAAGAAAGGCACGCTCGCATTGCTTCGCAGTTGCCTCTTTCACCTGCCGGAAGGGCATTGCGCTTCCCCATAGGGGATGGCTGCACTATGAACCTGGGCAATCTCCAATTAAAGGCATCAGTCATGACTCGGCGACTCGGTCGCTTTTCAGGTTTGGCTCGGTGAGGCTATGTTCGATCAAGCTACACGGGGTCAGTCTCGACCTGTGCTTCGGATCGAAATCGAGGTGTAGAAGGCTTGAGCTGGCGGAATCGTCGGCAGGGCAAGCATCCGCCTGTGAACCGCATCGGTGGAAAGAGTGCTGCTCGGTGTCAGTCAGGGCTTGCTTTGCTCTTGCTGGTGCTCCCATTGGCCTTTGCCGCTCTTCAGCCTGTAAACGTCCTCGATGCTCTTGATCTCGCCCGAAGAAGGGTCGCTGCGGATTGTGAAGACTGGCAGCTCTGCCACAGTGCCATCCTTCGGGCGACGGCACATATGCAGGAGCATCGAGTCTGGAGCACACTTGTGCACACCATGCAGTAGCAAACGTCCGAACGTATCCGAACCAACCGCAGCGGAGCGGCATTCGCAGTGTAGTCGTCGTACATCATCACTGACGAGCCATGCTGCTTCAGCTTCATCCGGCTCATCTCTGACAAACTGACCTGCTGCACCGATCAGCAAGAAGGCTTCTGCAAGGGTCAACGCGCAGGCGCCTTTCTCGTCTCCCCTTCGCACTCCAGTTCAGGCCAATTCCCTTCCACATGCAGCACTGCATCGGCTGTGAAGAACACCTGAACAAGGGGATGTCTTGCGATTGCACGACAAGGCGCACGCCCAAAACCCGCCTCTGGCAAGGCCTCAATGGCTTTTAGAAAGTCTGCTTGCTCTTGAGGGCTTCTCTCAGTTTGCCCTGGCTGGAAGGGATTCTGGCTCATGCCTGGGCAGGCCGCGCTCGCAGGTCAAAGTGGCACAACTGGCCCCGTCAACTTCTCAACTGTAATGGATGCGAGCAGAGTCACTCATGAAGTCATAGAACAACATCCTCGGCAATGTTTCTGAAAGCACGCTGAAAACCAAAAGACCATGAAGCAAAGACACCACACTCAAAGCACCACTCCACGGCATTTTTTCTCCTGCAGCCAAGCTACGCATCGCCTTTTATCTGGTGATCCTTCAGTGCCTGCCACTAAGAGTGCATGTTCGGTTTAGGGTTTTTTGGCACCCGACTAGCCACAGCACAGCGGGGTTTGAAGGTTTAGGGTTTAGGGTTAAGGTTAGGGTTTAGGGTTTAGGGTTTAGGGTTTAGGGTTAAGAAGATGAGGATGACAAGTGTATGCGAGAGCCAGCCGCCTCTTCGGTGAGCTCCTTGATGGTTTCAGCTTTCCTGCCTGAACAGTGGCTTTGTGGTGCTTTTGGCCCCCCAGCTCTGCAGCTCATGTAGACGGGCCGCTGGCCACAGCACTTTTTGTCAGGATTGCCCCAAATTTTTTACTTACCTGCAATCCCAGCGGCCCAGAGGATCAGGGTGTAGCTGGTGCGACCAAGCATGCGAAACCGCAAGCACCAAATCATCTTTTGTAGGCACCCTCCCTCAGAGATGCACTGCGCTCTGGGCTGCTGGGGCTTGAGTCGGGTATTTGGATGTATTTAGGAATTTAGGGGGCAGTCCCAGAAGTGCAGCCCAAAAGCTTTCAGCGCCGAGACGTTGAACCAACTCCTGACCTGAGTTAGATGCTGCGATGCTGTGCGCGTTGGCACTGGTACAGTACGGTGGATGACGGTGTTCTACACTCAAATCCCACGGGCGTTCTCACCAAGTTCACATTGCGTTCACCATTCAGCACATGCTCCCTTCTCGTCAGGGCGAGTAGCATCTGGGCCAAGGTGTGGGCAGATCCTTCACGACCTGGACAGGCCTCAAACAAGCTGCTGTAGTTCTGGGCTCAGAAGTGAGGCAACTAGTCTACTTTGCTTCCCAAGAGGCGTGAAGTTCACGATTGACTCCAAGCCTTCCTTGCACAGAACCTCAGGTCACGTGCAAGAACATGCTGGAGCGGCGCACGGCTGCTTGACGAAGAGGCTTCATAGTCAGCCGTGTCAAGAAGCTGTTGCATGCCGCAGATCTTCCGACGACGCCGCTTTAAGGCTTGGCCTTTTGGACGGCATGTGGGTGAAACAAACCGTGCATGGGAAGGGCCAAGGCGACAACCTTTGGAACCTCAAATAACGCCCTTCAAGGGAATGATGCGTGCAGCTCCGGGCATATAGCCAGATGGCTGTTTTGTTTGCTTCACTGCTTTGCTTTGCAAGTGTGAGATGTCTACACCAGAAGCCCCCGCATCGGCAGACTGAGCCATAAGGATGCAACCATGTGCTGAGTGTCAAGACGGCAGATGCCGCAAACTGCAAACAAAGCACATACATTGTCCCAAGTGCCGCTTGCTGTTTGCACTGAACAGGCACCTTTTTGGGCTGCAGGGTCTGTCACGTGCTGCAAACCCTGTTGACGTCTCAAATAGCACAACCTATGTGTTGGTGCCTTCCCTTCCCCAGGTCTGGGGAGCAAGAGCAGCGGAATGCACAAAAACGGGTGAAATTGTGTGTGATAGGGTGTGCACTAGTCACTCTTCTGTCGCAGATGTGAGTGGCCTTCTGAGAACCTGTTCGTGTGGTCTTGGCCTTGTCACTTGAGCCTCCAAGCTGACGCGAACTATTTGGGCCGAAATCGCTGCAGATTATATCCCCTCCGGGTCCATGCTCCTATACTCTATAGTCTGACTCTAATAAAACACCAGGCTTCGGCCAAAGAAACCCTACAGCAGGCACCCTTTCAATAGCCGAGCGACTTGTCATGTCCTTAAATTTTCCATGACTGCCCGAAGCATGGCGAATGGCGACGCGCCTCCTCGAGGCTGAAAAGCACCCCGCCCACGGGAGTTCCAAAAGCAGAGCTGACCTGAGAGCTCTGTGCAACTTGGCATGCACGCTCCGAGACCTGCTTCGGGCTTCAACTGAACTTCCAACAAAAGGGCCTGCTGAGGCCTTTTGAGTCCCGTGCCCCTGCAGCCACAGCTGCAGAAAAAAGCTGTTGCCTCAAGCTACCCCGGATAGCATGTGGGCCTAAATCCGGATGTCAAAGCGCGCCTCTTGCCCTCATTCCGAAATTGTGGAAAAAGTCGCGACCTTGCGAATGGCTGCCCAATTTTTGCGAATTCGGATGATCACAGGTCCTCTTTGACATCGCCCAAGAGCTGCGCAGGATGTTGGCCCAACACACGGCTACGTGCACCATTGGACCTGAGGTGGTACATCTTCTCTTTTGCTGCAGGCGTTTCTCCTTGCAGTCGCAGCGCAGCTACGACAGGAAAGCAACACAACAACTCGTTCTGATAGGCTGAGGCACATTCTTTTGTTGCTGTGCCGTCGTTTTCTAGGCCCGGCGCGATTTGTTTGCACTGTTCAGACGTTTTTTGCTGTGCAGGCTGGGACGATCTTTTGGGAGCAAGGAATTAAAGAACTATTTTGGATCCTTTTGTGCGTTTTGGATGTGCCTAGAGGAAATAGTGGTGTCCCTATGAAACACCGAGGAAAGAGAGGTAACAACAAATTTAGGAGATCGTGATCTTCTGATTACAGTGTAATATGGAGGGAGGAGTATGAAGATTCCAATTTAACTACAGAGGACATAAAAGTTCCCTATGAAAGATACATGGGAACTACATGTTTTCCGATATTTCCGATTACAGAAGAAAAGGAAATAGAGGTTTCCCTGCAACAACTGACGTGAAACACACGTTTCGCCCCAAACAGTTTTTTTTTACTGCAGGGGTTCATGTTTCTTTCTAAGAATTCCGACCTAGCCGGATGCTCCGGCCGGGTCCCTGGGTTGCATGTCTCCATGTGCCTCCCTTTGTCTCCCTTCATGTGGGTGGCCTCGGCCGCCCGCTGCTGGTCTCTGCTCGTCTCCCTTTGTCTCGCCTTCACGTGGGTGGCCTCGCTTGTCTCCCTTGGTCTCCCTTCATGTGGGTGGTCTCGGCCGTGTCCCCGGGCTGCTGTCTCCCTTTGTGTCCCTTCTTGTGAGCAGGGCTGCTTGTCTATGCTTGTCCCTTCGTCTCCCTTCATGTGGGTGGCCTGGGCCGGACTGCTTGTCTCTGCTTGTCTCCCTCGAGGTTGGCCAGCATCCGCCGCTCAAGCGTGGATGGCCCAACATCCACCCTTCAAGCGTGGATGTTGGCCCAACATCCACCCCTCAAGCGTGGATGTTGGCCCAACACCCACCCCTCAAGTGTGGGTTTAGCCCAGAATCCACCCCTCAAGTGTGGACTTTGGCCCAACATCCACCCCTCGCCACCCCTCAAGCGTGGATGTTGGCCCAACATCCACCCCTCAAGCGTGGATGTTGGCCCGAGATGGATGTTGGCTTGCTCAACAGGCCCAACACCCACTCCTCAAGCGTGGATGCTGGCGCAACATCTACCCCTCAAGCGTGGATGTTTGCCCAAACATCCACACGGGGTGTTTCTTTTTGCTGTGACTTCAGCCCTTCCTCAAGTCCAGTCACTTTCAGATGCATGCCTGTCTGTACAGCGAACAAGGGAGTGGGGGAACAAAGGACCCGGGAAGGGCGGGGACAAGGGCTAGGGGGGGAGGAGAGGGAGGGAAAAGGACGGAGGAAAACGTGAAGCGGGCTCTTACCCACCCTCTGATCTTTCCTTTCTTTGACCCTTCTGTGCGACTGCAGCCCACGTGAGTTTCTTCTCGCCTGTCCCTCCTCCTGTGTCTTCTTCCAAGCGGCCCATCGCTGCAATGATCGCGATAAGGCTACACGAATGGCTCGTACGAACAGAGCTCCAGCGAACCTCCAAAAGAGTCCACAAGACCTGTTGCATCATTCGGACTCGAGCCTTGGCAGTTGTATTAAATCAAAACACGAGTTCCCCCACAGGGCACGGTTCTTTCTTGCTGTGCCGTCGCGTGCCCGGGACTCTTTCACTCACTTTCGCCCTCTCGGCTGCATGTTCACGGTGGCCGACCGCAGAGCAAAACATCACGGGCGGAGGTTTACCACATATCTAATCATATTAACATAATCCCAGCGGCCGACTGCACAGCAGCAAAAAGCACGAGTTCCGTTTGCTTGCGTTGCTGTATCGCATCCCTAATGTGCTTTCAAATAGATCCATCTGAGTCTCTGACCCTCATGTCCGAGGGAAAGGCCAGATGCAACTGCCAAGATCAAGCAGGGAACCTGCAGCAAACATGCTCTCAAAAACGCTTGGCCTGCTCTGGACTCTGCACACAGTTTGACAAATGAAGTTGCGGGAACGGCCTTGATGAGAAGAGTGCGGAACGTAGCTACCTTACTTGCAGCTTTACAGGTTCGTGAAGACACTTCAAGCTTGCGCGCGGACAGATGGCTGCTTATGCAAAGGTGAAGGAGCTGGTGTAACAAGTTTAACAGGGTGGTTCTGCACCTTGCCGGCTGCACGATCACCAGCTTTCTCCCACCAGCGCTACCAGCAAAGAGCAAAACGACAACCACAGCACCACATCTCTCCACTCTCATGTGTCGCCCAAAGCTGTATGATTCCACCATGCGCAACCAGCAAAAGCTGGCTTACAGGATCTTACAGGCGACTGGGCCGAATAGAGGCCCTCTCCACTTCTGAAGCCATCGAGACGGGAAAGCATCTCCAAAACCAAAGTCGATTGAGTTTTGTCATGTTTTGTGTCCACTCAGTGCGGGCGTGCGCCTGAGATGCCTCTAGGCTCTAGGTAGCGGCCCTCAACACTCATCCTTGAGATGAGGCAGCGGTGCCCTTGGGAAGGTTTGAGCCCTGAGGTCGGTGCGTCTGGCAGGACGAAACCATTGAGAATTGTCTTGACCTGACACTGTTCAGGTCCCACTGGCTAGCTAAATACATGTTGTTAGAAATGCGCTTCTCTCCCGCCTCTGGAATGCCCGATCCGCTAGCCGTAGGAGCAAAACGGGACACAATGAACGCCTGTGTCGGTTTGACCAAGTGACGCAACCGTGACCGGCGAAACAGCGAACGAGGTTGGATAGGCTTCAAATTTCAAACAGATGTTCCAAGATCTTGGCGGATGCTGTTGCCATCCAGGTGCCTTCATCATTCGCGTGGCGGCTGCTGATCTATCGCTTCGGGCTTCGTGCATGATTCCAAGGCCGCTGCCTAAGCACACTGAAGCGCTGAAACCGATGATGTTGGCACCCCAGGATATCTGAGCAGCGAGGACGACATGGCCGAACCCAGGGCAAAGGGCACCATGGGGAGCCGGCCCACTGCCCCTTTGGACAGTGCTCTTCGCTCCTATGGACCCCACACACAAGGCCACTTTTCCATAGAAGCTGCTCATCTCAAGCTGTGTAGCTGCATGCAAGGCCTCAAAGGCTCCGCTTGGCAAAATCCAAATCGAAAAGAGGAGAGGGCCCCAACCTCAAAAAACCCAGCCCAAGCTGGCAAGGCGACGTTTCCGGATAGGGGATCCAATCGCTTTGCGGGATCTCGCTGTGGGATGGTGTGGGGTAAACGAGGTTCGTACAGAGATCTCAATGACACCGTACGTGGCAAAGCACACGACCCCGACACCTGCAGATGTCACAAGCAGTCATTTGAGCGCCTGTTGATGCCAGGACAACTTCATGAAATTGGCCAAGGAAGCTGCTCGCAGCAAGAAGCCAGTTCTGAATGGCCTGGGAGGCTGGCGAGATGTGCCCAAACTTGCAGCAGTACAGCAAGCCTGAAAGCCTGGTCCTACGACACTTTTCTTGGCTGTGCTGCACACTGTCCGCGTGGCATCGCTTTGCATCAACGGAGTTTGCAAGTGCGCTGTAAGTGCGCCGCCCAGCACCAGCTCAAGCAACAGCCATGGGCCTCGCAATCGTGGGGCACAGCACAGTGGCAACAAACAGCTAGGATCACGGCAAGCCTGCTGCTGGGCGATGAGGTTCCGCTCCTCCTCTTGCAACTCGACCTCGCAGCTACTCCAGTCTTGTTGTGTCGGGCAATCGACACATGGCGCACTTTTTCACAGGGATCTGTTGCCTGACGTTGTTCATTGGGGTGCTGACTGTCCGAACTGTCTCCCAAGAAGGCTGCAGTTGTTGCCTCCTCCACCTGCCATGAGCATGAGCTCTCATCTTGGCTACTGTAGCAATCCAAGTCGATTTAAACTGCAGCTGCACGGTCTCTGCAAGCTCTTCACCAAGCGCTTCCGCCATGCTTTGTTGCTGCTCCGGCAACCTTTGCCGCTGACACATCGAGCATGTTCGAAGCAGGCTTAGGAAGGGCTCACGCGGGCAGCTGCAGCAGTTGAAGCCCCAAACGTGGAATCCTGACAACGCTCAGGTCGAGAGTTGCTCGGCGACAAGCTGCACCGACATGAAGAAATGCATGACAGACTGTTGCCGTGGCCTGCGTGAAATGCTCGTGCTCGCCTGCAGTCCGACACCCCAATCTCAAGACCGCGAAAAAGTGGCAAGACTTGAACGTGCCGCAAGTACGCTCGTGTATTCGGTAGCCGGCTGCTCTTTCCCAGCTTTGTTGGCGTGAACCTTATGTCCAGTCACAATTCTGGGGCAAGAGCCGAGTGTGAAACTGCTGAGCCTGCAGAGCCCGGTGATAATGAGCCGAGCACTGATAAAGTGCATCAACTCGGTCGGCCGGGCTCACCTGGAGTGCGAGGGAGCTTCCCTTGGCCTTGCGAACTCTGCAGATTCGTGCAACCCACGGCGCTTCTGGGCTCAGGTCCGGCGAGCTCTCGGCGCAAGCCATCCGTCAACATGCGTCTGGTGTGGTGCGTACGCTAGTCTGCTTTGCATGACATTCAGACCAGAGATGAGTTGGAAGAGTACGAACGAGTTCCCAACTTGCCCAACAGTTGGAGCACGATTGATGGCTGGGGTTTGCTGGCTCAGCGACTCGCTTTAGCGTCGTGCCGGCATTGAAGACCATTCAAGCAGGCTGGAACACCATGCTGCCACAAGCCCAATTTCACCTTGAAACTCGACGCACCTTTTTTTAGGCCCATCACCACACATGCGCCTAGCTAGGTCTCGCTTCAGCAACTACATCTAAGATCTAGAGCCGCAGGCTGATCTAGAAAGATGGACATGATTGAAATTTAGAAGGCACAGCTTCCAAATCAGGATGCAGAGGGGATGGGTTCTTAAACCTTATCCTGTCTCAGGAACACCTTGTTGATGCGCCTCCTGCAAGAGATGTGCCAGGTCGGCAAGCATCATTCCAAAGCAGAAGCTTGCGAGACTCTTGCCTGTGCCCGCTTGCGCATCAACAGGTTGATTAATTCCGCCATTGGCTCCAGCCTGACAGCGGCGAATGAACAAGTTGCAAATTGTTGTAGGAGACTGCCCGTCGCTAAGGCCGCGACTCGGAATCTTCTACCAAGTCAAACTCTTTTACGAAGTACACGAAGTGTTTGAAGGAATGGTTCCTGGCTTTAACAAAAAGCGCCAGTGTTTTCTTTGGGAAGGCCAATGGAACCAGTCCCATCAAGAATCGAAAACATTGTACTGTCACCGCCCCAGAACATGCAGGATTGCTTGGCTGCACGTTCTAAGGGCTGGTGTTGTGGTGGCCCAGGGTCGCGGCAGATGCGCGTCGGCGTCACACTCAGCCATTGCCTCACACAGTGTCGCTGGCTGTCGCTGGCTGTGCCCTGGTGGTTGACCAAGCCGGACCTTGAAATGATTGTGGAAAACGTGCGCGTAGATTCGGAACAGGCGCTTGTAGATCACCTTGATCCCCTGCGAAAGAACATAGTTCAGGGCTCCAGTGCTTGTGATATCCTCTGTCCCTGCCTTCTTAAAGTTCGGCGGGAACGGTTGCCCAGGCTGGACAGGCAGGAAGGTCCTGCACACACTGTCTGAGTCTGAGCTGCAAGAGCAAAACTTCCGCAGTTCAATTGATGTTGAGAACGATCCTTGTTTAAAGTTCACGGTTTCCACAGCCGTTTGAAACCACTGCGCAGATGATGCGTTGCACGAGCTGCGCTTGCGGCCTCTGAGGTTAGTCTGGCATCATCCCGTTTTGCGCTTGTGTGCTCGTGTATTTCCCTTTCAACATGTAACTTAGGTGGCTTTAGCTCAGGAAGGTCGTCTTGCCCTTGTTGCTTCGGAGCACTGACCTTTCCTTTTTGTAGAACTTGGGTCATGGGAGTTAAGGGACAGAATGATTTGTGCTGAGGTTTCGGCTCATCTGCCAGCTGGGACTCCACCTTGGCAAATGATGACATGCCTGATCATGCATTGCATACCACGTGCTATGGTGCATTGGTACGTGTGGTGTGACGGTAAGCCTGCTGCCCACACCAACAACTTCTCAGTGTACTTTGGCGCTGACAGCTGCTGGGGCGTCTGGCGTGCAGTCCGGCATGGAACACGTGGCAGGCTGCTTGTCAACGGCACCTTGACTTTGTCACCATCTGCCCACTGCCAGGCATAACTGCCAGCGCTCATCGTTGCGCACGTCTGTTCGGTGCAAATGTCCTAGCAAAACACACATGACATGTTCAGTTTCACCAAGCAAACTGGTTAAACTTGAATGAAATCCGTGGCGGTTCTGCACTCACTGCGCCGGCCAAAAGGTTCAGCCTCGTAACGCCGAGCACGTGTGCAGAAGGATGACTATGATGATTGCTTGGTGGGTCGAAAGCCAACATGAACGGGGCTCCAACTCATTGAACAGATCGACTGTGTTAAAAGCCTTGGTGCATCAAGGTATTAGCTGCCAATGTACAACTCCCACCACGGATTTGCGCCAAATACAGTTGCAATCGGGCGCGTGCCAACCATTCTTCTTCACTGCAACCTGTCGGCAACCGCACCTGGCGGTCAATGCTTTGCACTTCGAATGAAACATGTCCACTTGGCATTCGGTGTCGATGTTTTCACATGAAAACCTTCTCTGGTTAGCGGATTTTATGTCACGCTACCTGCGTGAATCATCGTAGGGGCCCGCCTCGAGTTAAATATCGGAAATTGGCAGGGCTAAACGTTCATTGGAGTCGCTATTCTTCCATGTTCCTCTTCCTTTCTTGTTCGCAATAAGACACCTAACCCACACCCAAAATGCGAAAGTAACGGTGGCTGGAAGGTCAGAACTGGAGGGCTGGAGGGTTGGAAGGCTTGAAGGCTTGAGGGCTTGAAGGCGTGGCAGGCTGGAAGGCGGGAAGGCTGGAGCCCTACGAGGCCCGTCAGCCTTGAAGCCACATGTTCAAAACTGAAGGCTGGATCAAAATTTAAATGTACGGATTTACACAAAAAATCAAGTATGATTGCTACATCTGCGGCCACTGCGGCTTGGGCCCCCTATTTTTGTACCTAGATCCTCGTGGGGCTGCCAAATAATTGCCTTTACATCAAGCAACGTGTTTTTTTGCACTGGGAGGTGGATATTTACGCCTTTGCAATTTTGATAAAATGTCACCGTGATTTTTTAGTATCGATGCATGTTTGCCAGCTATATGCAACCATTGCCCACGTGTTGGTGCTCCATGCGCCTATTCACACATGCACCACATCGACGCATAGGATGAGAACAAACACATGTTCATTATTGTTCATTCCTATACGTATGAATACCTACCACTGTGTATACATATAATGTATACATATTACTTTTTTCCTCACGCGCGGGGAGTCTGCTCTCTTCCTGCTGCTGCGGCTGCTGCTGCTGCTGCTGCCGCCGCCGCTGCCGCTGCTACTACGAGCATTGGGTCTAGGGCGGCAGCGGTCCCCGCCCCAGCCTAGGGCGCCCGCAAGGAGCTTCCCTCGAGCGAGCTCCTGCCCGTCGAGCGGATCAACCGGTTCACCCACTGGAAGCTGTAGCAGCGTGCACGCGTGGGCGCGGAGCGCCGCGAGCGCTGCCAGGGTGGTCCACCGGTGCACCATCGCTTGGCGGGCCGCTGCCGCGCAGCATGGCGCGCGTTGGCGCGCGAACAAGCGCAGGAAGGTGAGGGTGCTCAGGCTGAAGCGCCCGCCCAGTTCAACCCCGAAGGCGACCAGCTTGCAGCGGCGGGCGCACAGTAGTTCTGGGTACGCTCGCGGTTTGCGGTCAACGGCCTGACGGAGGGCGAGTCCCGGTTCCCGATCCGCCTGCGGGCGGGGCTCACCGTCACGCCTCAAAGGGCTTACGATCGTGGTATCAACCGCGATCTTAGCACCTTGCCAGATCGGGAGGTTGTTGGCGACGACCTCGATTCTGCGCCCATCCGCGGCCGGAAGATCAAGGTTGAGATCGCGCAAAGGAAACATTCGTGGCAACCCGCGCTCCTGCCTCGCGGCAAATGCGTGCTGCTGCAGGTTCGACGGGGCCAGCACGATGGGCTAACACCCCGACCTGCGCGCACGCGGACCGCCGGTGGTCCCCGAGCGCGTCGAGGTTGCCTCCGCAACGGCATCGCGCGGGCGTAAGCGGCAGCGGTAGCCTCAGCCGGCGAAGCAGTAGGATGCGGTACTCGGCATCGGGCACGTCCGTGTCCCCGCTCGTTGGGAAGGCTGTGAAAGCGCAGCTCGCAGCGTCGCCACTCTGCGACAGCAGCAGTGCTCGAGACGCAGGGTCAAGATCTGAAAATAGCATCTCGAGCACGCGCTTGTCAGTGGTCGTCGTTGCCGCGTGCTGCTAGCCCGACCGTCCGACCAGGTTCGCACCTGCAAGGAGGTGCTTCGGAGTCACTTTCGAGCAGCGTTGCCCATGAGGGTGCTCGGAAGCCCTGCGCTCGCAAGTACTCTGCGGCCTGAGCGGCGGCGCGAGTGCGTGGGGGCGTGCCAGCCGCCTCTACATCGAGAAGTGGGCGGACAAATTCTGCAATCACGCCCGGCTGTCGGTCACGCAGCACCTGCAACGTGTCCGCCCAAGATGCCCAATACGCAGCGTAACGTTGCCTTTCAGCGGACCCGAGCCCCAGGCCTCCTTCCTAGTCAAGGCTCAGTTCCGGCATCGTCCCCGTGTCCCCGCCCCTCGCCAGCAGAGTTGCTAGGCAGCTGCGGACTGCGGCGTCATGCTGGGCTGCAAAGTCCGCCGTGTCAGTTGGGGCGAGGGTCCGCAGCAAGTAAACGCAACGGGGCGCGGCGCAGTAGAGGAGCAGCAGCCACGCACTCTGCAGTGGGGGACGTGCGGGATTCGCGGAAGCAGGCGGTCGTGCTCAAGCAATTTTTGCGCCAGCTTGTCCGCGATGAACGCACGGCCCCCAATCAGGCTGCAAGCAGCACCGGCGGTTCCTCGCCCGCGCTGTTCCAAGCGCGGGTCTTGCCGAGGTGCACGCGAATGTTCGCATGCCTGAGAAGGGCCTCGCGGACGATGTGGAACTGGTTCGCCGTATGCTCTGGGTGGCACGAGATGTGGTCGTACGCCCCGACGCCATCGACGCTCAGTACGGTGGTTCGTGGGTCACGCTCGGTGGCCGCCCGCACCAACCGCTGTAATGTTTCCGCCCCAGCCTTTGTGCTGAGCATTGCTGAGCGCATATTGGAAAGGGGCGCACGCTCGCTGGAACTTGTCTCCGTACTGTTGTGCGAGTGTGCGCGCAACCACCCGCCGGAAGGCGTCGCCCATCACCAGAGCTCGCACGCCGCCCGGGTTTGGCGCAGGGCGGGTATGATCGCTGCCGGCACTTGTCCGGAAACGAGTTTGTGGGCATGGGTTAACAGCTGCGCGCAGTCTTCGTCGTCCAGCAGCACCCGCAGGTGCTCCCCTGTGCATCCCGGGTCCCGCAGCGGCTCCCTTCCGTGCTTTGCGGGCATTGGTGATGAGCCGATCCCGGCATAGCTCAACGGGCCTCATGCTGTTGCGACACAGCTCTGGGCCAACGGGAATTTGAGGTTCAGGTGGCCGCCGGAGTGGATCACGCAAGGCAGCGAGTGTCTCCTGGCTTGTGGGCGCGAGTGGCAAAGCACCGGCACAGGCTCTGGGACTGCCTCGGCATCATCCTCCTGGGCGTGCGCGGCGGCGCATGCTGCCTCGGCGCCCGCGGCCATGTGGGTTTCCGCCGTTCGCCGCGTCGCATTATCTTTAGTCCTTCAATGTCTTTAATTTAACAATTTACAGAACTTTAAGAGCAATGCTCTGTTGCGTGGATGCCAAGCGTAGAACAGGGTGCGGTGCAGTGGTGTCGGCTGTGGGGTGCAATGGTGCAGGTGGTGGGGTGAAGTGGTGCGGGTGCTGGGGCAATGGTGAAGGTGGTTGCAGTGCGGTGTTGGGCTGTGTTGGGGTGCAACAGTGCGGGTCATGGGGTGCACGGGTGCAGTGCAGCGCTCCTCACACCCGCGTTCCGCACCCTGCACCCCACATTTTTTCCCTGCACTCCGACCCCGCGCTCTCCCGATCCGCCTGCACCCGATTTAGCGAAACATTTCCACGATTTAGCGACGCTGCGTCGCTAAATCGTGCAGGTGCAGGGTGCAGTTTTGAGGGAACCCGCACCTTGCACCACGAACCCGCGCCCCTGCTCCCCGAATCCGCTATCACGCGAACACGAACCCGCAACTGCTACCTTCGCGAATGCGATGTGTTGCTGCCGACCATGGAACCAGCCTCCGGTCCGGCCATACCTCAGACGACAGCCATTCCCTCCCGCGATGCAGATCGCATTGCGCCCACGCTTGCTGGCTGTGGCATGCTGTGGCCTCACGCGCTCCTCACGCGTGGTGCACTCGGAGACCACGCCGTCGCGTGCGGGTTGATCGCACGCCGGGCGGGGCTCGCGGAGCATGTGTGGGTCGGCGGCGTCATTCGTGAAGCGGTGGGGCCAGAAGGACACGTCGTCCCACAGCCCCTGGGAGTGGTCGTCGTCGCCTTGACATGGTCCTTTACCACTCGGGCTGTGTGGTGACGCGACGCTGGTACCCCACCCTACACAGGGATTGCTGGCTGCAACCGAGCGCCGCAAACAGGCTACGTACCCAGAGTGGCAACACGCCGGTCCGCAACGCCTCGTGGCTCTCGGCGCCGAAGTGGGGGCCCGCTGGAGCGCGGACGATGTAAACCTGGTGTGCGACCTCGTGCGGCTACGTGGGCCGCGGGCCTCGCCGGCATTGCGCCACGGCCGCAGCGGTGGGCTCGCAGGTGGTGCACGCGCCTGTCCGTCGCGGTGCAGCGAGCCATGGCGCTGCCGGCAGCAGGGCGAGTTTGGCCAGCTTGGCCGGCAGCGACGAGGGCGGCGACACAAAACCACCACATGACCGGGCTAGCGGACACCGCGGGGTCCAGCATGCTGCCGCTGAGGCTAAAATAAAGGCCCTCGTTGACGGTGAGCTCAACTTTGGCAGACGCGCAAACACGGGAGGAAAAAATGTGTACATGCACGTACATGCACCTATTTCTCTACCGATGCAATGAATACAGTTGCCAACCCTACATCATCACCATCATCAACAACGCATCTCCAAACCCCTAAACCCATAGCCTCATAACCTTCTAGACCCCAGGCTCCACGAGCACAACCTCTAGATGCAGAACTTTTCAACCCCTCCCCCCCCCCATCAGAAACCCAAAGTCGAAAAAAGTTCAAAGTCATTTTTACAAACCCCCTTGATGGGATGCAAGGCATATTGATTCACAGGTACATATGTATGTGTGTGTGCAGACACACATACACACACACACACACACACACACACACACACACATACATACATACATGCATGCATACATGCATACGCAGGCATACATGCATGCATGCATACATGCATGCACACATGCACACATGCATGCATGCATACATGCATGCATGCATACATGCATGCATGCATACATGCATGCATGCATGCGGACACACAATGGTGCATATGTTACGAACACTACCGAAACTTAATATGTACAGGGTAACATACACATTTACGTAGACTGTTTCGTGGTTTGTACAAGATTACGAATCAAGAAAATAGCCAATTCAAAATACAGTTGGGCAGCGCGTTGCAGGGCGCGTGGCTGCTCCTCCGCGCCACCCCTGCGGCTTGCGGGCTGCGTTTGCCAACTCGCTTGCTGTCCACGAGGCAGCACGCTTGCGTGCGCGACTGCCAGGACCCGAGCCCGACGCCACTGAGCGTAGCATAGCCTGGCGGGTGGGTGCATGCATGGAAGTATTATGCGTCTTGTAATGTTTTGTACTCGGAACCCGCTCCTCCCGCCACCGCCGCTCAGTGCACTCGTTAGCAGGCTGTCGGCGCATGGCTCACAGCCATCCCCAATGACCCCACACCACGCTCTCCCCGAGATAACGCGGATCGCAATGAGGAGACGTCTTCGCCTGGCTGGGCGGCTTTGCGGAGGGACGTCGTGTGGGCGACCCCGTTGGGAGTAGCGCTTGACCTCACTGCGTCGTTGCTGTTGCAAACCGGGCAATGGGGCGTAACGCTCGGGGTCGCGAAGTTCAGCGATTGTGTCGTGTCGCCCGCGTCGGATGCTGTAGGGTTTCCAACCGCGCACCTCGTCTTCGGGAGAGGGGCCGACAAGACCCGCCGGGAGTGCGAGGACTCGCTCGCGGCGGGGAGTTCGGCCGCGCCAAGAGAGGGCAGACAACGCCGCACCCGCCGAAACCTTCGGCGGTGCTTCTGGCCTGCCGGAGTCGCACAGCTCCTGATTCCGCGGGACGGACGGAGCCAGTGGCGCTGCGGAATCTTCGGGGAAGGGCGGTGGGCAGGCAATGGCGCCTGCGACATGGCAGAAACAGATGATGCAGAAAAAAGGTGTTAGCTCCAAGTCCTATCGGAAGCAGGTGGGATGTCGATTGAACCGCCGCGGGTTCATGGACACGGACGGGGCTCCCCAATATTCAAGTTGTACTACAATTCAAAGAGCATTTGGCTGGTTCGGAGGGTGCCAATGGATGCCAATGGATGCCGCATGCACAGCACCGGCATGGCACCAGTGGAAGAGGCGCACCTGGAAGGGCTCTGGGAGGACCTCGGTGCCTCTGGGGAGAGCACAGCTCGCGCGCCACAGGGTCCATGCGGCGACTCCCCAAGCTGCTCCGACTCTCCCATATGGTCCACCCTCAGCAGGGTGACGTGCGCGTCCTGGCCCGCTCCAGCGACGTGCTGACGTGCACCTCCTGCAATCGTGTGCTCTCAAAGTTTGTTGGTGTTGAGGTGCTTGCTTGGCCTAACGCCCTTCTTTCTGTGAGCCCGCGGTTCCCTGTGCGGTTTGTTCACAGGGTCAGCGTCCTCCACACTCAAGGCTGCAGCTCACCGGCGGCAGGGAAGAGGCTGGCAAGGGGCGGGGCTTCGTCGAAACGAATGCGTGCGCTGACGCATTTGCCGTTCCGCGAGAAGAGAGCGTTTCCATCGAAGAATCAGGATTCTAGCAAATCGGCCTCGACTCGTGTTGGGTTTGTAGCTCATGTAGCTGGGTGATATGGGCATGCTGACAAAAAAACTTCTCCTTGCCTGGGTTGACCGGAAACCAGGCGGAGCCTCCAAAATCACAAAATGGCTTCACGGCTTCGTGGCAAGCATGCTCGAGCGTGACTCCGCGAGGCGCATGTGTTTCGCAGGGCTTCACCCTTTCGGGTCCGCAGAGACGCGAGGGTCGCATCGCAGCACAGCACCCCGCGCAGCGGTGTCGCTCCGTAAACCACCAGATGGAGGCTGCACAGCCGCACACGCGTCCGCTCGAGAATTTTCGCCCGCGGCGCGCCGCCAGCCCGGCCAAGGAATGGTCAACGACCTGCCGGGAGATGGACCGCGAAGCTCCTGGCACAGTGCGAAATGGCAGCCGCAATGGCGGCGCAAGGCATCGCGAGCGCGGAAGCGTAGGCTGCGACGCGCTGTGCTGCAGGCCATGCGATTCGTCGCCCGTTTGTCACTGCGGGTGCGTGAGCTCCATCAGTGATTTCACGCCAAGAAGGGCACTCCTGCTGACCCTCCCCTGCCAGCTGTTGGCCGCACGCCTCGGAAGCAGAGCCGAGGACTCGGAGTGCTTTTGGTACTTAGCTGCGTAGCTGGCGCAGTCCCAACTTCGGAGGTCAGGCCAAGCCACCAAAAGACGCTGGGAGAATCTGCTAGGTTTCGCGATATTCGCGATTCCCTGCAAAGTGTTCCGCACAGCACCGTCACGAGCTTGCATGGGGGAGGGCCACTGCGTAGCCCGCGGCTCGTAGGCACATCGCAGATCCGGGAGGCGAGGCAAGTGGCCGAGGAGCTCTCATATTTCCGATACGGGCACCCTCATGGGTGGATGGTGGGGGGCTCTACACATGAGTCTTGCCCTCATTGCTTGGAAGTTCATGGTACTTATCAACCAATTATAACTGTACTTGAGGGGCTTATAAGTGGGTTACAAGTACAGTTATATATTTGGTTAATAAGTACCATGAGCCCTCCAAGTGGAGGCGATGCCGCATCCGCCCTCCATGCTTGAACAACCGCATCACCCGGGCTATTTGGCGGCGGCGTCTCAGAGGTTGACACTGTGACGGGAAACCGCGACTGCGGAAAACCATGGGACGGTATGACCGGGTATGCCCGGGTATGACCGGGTATGACCGGGGTATGACCGGGTATGCCCGGGTATGACCGGGTATGCCCGGGTATGCCCGGGTATGACCGGGTATGCCCGGGTATGACCGGGTATGACCGGGTATGCCCGGGTATGACCGGGTATGCCCGGGTATGACCGGGTATGACCGGGTATGACCGGGTATGACCGGGTATGCCCGGGTATGACCGGGTATGCCCGGGTATGCCCGGGTATGACCGGGTATCGGGCGTACTCGGGCGTACTCGGGCGCACTCGTTGTACTCGGGCGTACTCGGGCGTACTCGGGCGTACTCGGGCGTACTCGGGCGTACTCGTCCTGCAGTCGCGGAACGCGGCCGCAATGGAGGTTGAGATCGTGGATTGTTTTGGTTGAAGCTGCACGAGCGGTCCATGTGCCTTGAAACATCTTAAAATGGTTTCGCAACGGCTGTTAGCTGTCATCGTGGGTGCAGCAACCATGTCATGCATGACCTGCGAGCGGTTGCGCTATTCCCACGGGCCTTTTCATTTTGCCTGTCTGCGTTGCTCCGCGTTGGGCTGTGCTCTCTGCATGCTCGGCTCACAAATCACAGGCGAGGCAGACTAGGCGCAGAGAACCTTAAACACACTGGCCTTGCAGGCGAGCTTAGCCAATGAGTCGATGATCTGCAGTGCGAGGAGATGCGAGAAAAGCCCTGTGAGGCACATGCGGGACCCCTCTGCGGAAGGCGCCAGGCCACCAGACACGCAGCAAAGAGAGGCGGCCCCACTCTCCCCAGCTTCACGACACGCTGGTTCGAGTCTAGCGTGCTGTGCCTGAAGGACGCCATGGCGACGACACAGGTTGTCGCAGAATTTCATCGTGGAACCGTGTGCACTGCGAGGCACTTGTGAGTTTGGGTTGGGCAGTGATGTGTCATCATCTCAACATGCCGCAATGTCCAAGCTGGAGTTGTCTGCGATGATCGTGTCAAACTTGTAACTTGCAGGGTAGGTTTCGCCGGATGTGGTTGAGGCACTCGGCGGGGTGTTATACAGGCATCGTCAACGTCCCAAACGCAGGCATTGTGCATTGCTGCACGGTTTTAATGGAGTTTCATGTCGCGCCCCCCTGGTCCATGGAGCATGGGGGTCCTCTGCAGCTCCACTAACTCAACCGAACTGCCGCGCCTGTGCAGCCAAGTCCAGACTGCCAAGTGTTTTCTGCCGCGAATTGATCAATTCCGCGTAGCCTGAGCGGTGTACCCAGGTACCACCGTCAAATGCCACGTCAGTGCCAAACTACGGGACTGCGTGCAAGTTTCGCTTGAGAGCCTGCAACTATCGTCTGCTAAGGGTGGTGCGAGAATCTGCTGGTAGCTTTCGCGGAGGCAGCAAAGTTGCCATTTTCCTGCGCCAGGCAAAGACAAGTATTAACACCAGACTTCCAGCATCCAGCATGCCTGTCATCCCTCCACGCACTGTTTGCCTCAGCACGCACATGGGAAGAGGTTGGAGGGGTGGACGAGTCTGAGGGTGCTGCGGGAGACGACCCTCCAATCGTGCCAGCCTGTTCGTGCGCGGCGCTTCACCGATGTGTACTACACCACTCCGACGCACATTCAAAGCACTCTCAAGAGGACTCAAAGTGCCTCAGCCATACAGACGGCGAGCTGTGACTAGGGACACCAATCCCTTCTGCAATCTGAGCCGAGCCAGTCCATAGTGTTGGTTACAGACCCCAGACTCCTCAAGTGTTATTTTATAAGGCTGATAAGGCTGATAACGGTTGGGATTGCCACTCGAGATGCCCATTCCCATCCCCCTCTGCCCAGGCCTAATTAATTTGTAGCTGGGCATTCTGCCAGGATGGACAGATGCTCTTGGTTCAGAATGGATTTGTGACAGTGGTAGTTGAAAAAATCATCATGGTTCTGGCAGGATCAAGTATTATTTGAGAAGAAAAAACACCACAAAAAATCGTCAAGTTTGAGCCGACTTCTTTTTTTCTCACGCGGGCCTCGGCTTCTTGCCGCGCCTCTTCGCCGCCTCGCGGCGCTTGTTCGACATCTCCGGGGGCTTGTGGCTGACACGCCGCTTCCAATCAATGCCGCAGAACGTGAGCGACGCGTCGAAGTCCAGATCAGATTTCGGGGGGATCTTCGGCCTCTTGCCCTTCTTCCCATATCCAAGACGCCAAGGGACACGAATGAGCCGCCGCTCTCCGACGCCCATGCCGGCCACGCCAATGGCAAAACCAGGCAGCATTGTGCCCTTAGGTAGGCCATGGTCATCTGTGCGGCTGTGCCCTCTCAACTGAGGCTGTGGCATCTCCAAGTAAAAAATCAATCTCTCCGACGTCAAATCGTCGGCCGTTCTTCTCCGGCAAGCGTCCCTGTACAGACACAAAGCATGTGGGCCCGGCCTGTGTCATGGAATTGCATAAAAAGCCTCGGCCTCGTACATCAGCTTCACTTCGCAGCCCTTGGTTGCGATTCTCGCTCCCGCAGGCGCTTCTCGGAGGACCTGGCTGACGGCTGACGGCGGGCTCTCCCCCCCCACATTTTAAAGGGCATGGGCCTTGATAGTCACCCCGCCCTGAAGAGTCTTCGTCGTCCCAGTCTTCAGAAGACCTGGCGCTTTCAGAAGGAAAGCCGGAGAAAGGTTAAGATGCCAGGGGGAACCTTCTTGAGAGTCCTGGCCATCCTTGGTATCTAACTCGTTTTCGGCTTCGCCCTCTCCCTGGCTGTCAGCCTCGGACGCACAACTAAGCAACCTAGATCGAACCCCAGGGTCTCTGCTCCGACCTGGTCAGCTTCAGCGACTCGTTTCCTGCAGTGCAAAAGACCAGAGAAGCGCCTCTGTAACACCCCCACTCCTCCATGTCCCTCACCTCTTCTTGCGCTTTGGCAAGCTTGCGGCCGCTTCCGCCGGCTCCGCCGGCTCCGCAGGCTCCGCAGGTTGAGCGGGCGTCGCCTTTACAGAGCTGGCCCAAAAGGAAAGAGCTCAGGCAAGCTGCAACAAGAACTTCTGCCCACATGTTCCCACCAAGCCTTGGGAAGCTTCAGAGGCTTCTTCTGTTTCAACCTTCTTTTCTTGGATCTTGCCGGGCGAGTGCCTTTGCTCGCGCCTTCCTCGCCTTCATCTTCGGACACCAGGGCAGCATACCGATTGCCAGCCCATGTGGTTGATGACATCGAGGGTCATGCACATAGCGAGACAAACCCTACAAATTCTTGGGTTGCTTTCGCAACTTGAAGTGACGTCCGAGAAATGCAAAGCTTGGCGATTTCTCACGACAAAATCTTCCATGCCGATTGCATGTGGGCACATGATACCAAGTTGTCACTGTGTTGGGCCCGGCACTTGCGACGACACAATGTCAGCTGCAGGTCACTACGCGACCCTCCACACGCACACCACGCGCACATTGCAGCGACTTTCACATGGGTACTTCATAGCACGAATACGTGCTATGGGCGAACATTAACTCTGGGCGGCCCGGGCCGTGTTAGCCCCTGCCGCGGCTTGCAGCTTCCATGCTCCCTCTCAAGACAGCTTAGTGGCTTAGTCTTTGTTGCACTTGCCAAGAAATTCCATGTCTTCCCGCTATGAGTTTCAGGTTTGCCACACGCAGTCCGGTGAAATCCATCGAATGACCCTACAGTGCGAGTGAGTGCAGAACATGCATCTTCTGCGGGCTGATGCATAGAGTAGGGCAGCATGGTCGTTGGCTGCTGTGCTTTCTCGGGAATTTCGCTGCCACTCACAAGGACTGAGCTTCTATCTCGGTCTCAGCGTGCGCGTAGGAGTACCATATCTGCAACAAGGCTCAGGGCAGTCGGCAACTGGAGGGAGGTGTACGCTGGGGGCGTACCACGGCAGCAATAACCATCACCAGGGCAACCAGCATAAACCTCAGGAGGGAGCATGCTCAGCTGTAATCGGTATAATGATGCTCCAACGTACTTCCCCAAGCTATCGCTCTCAAACTGCCCAGACATTCCAAGCGCCATGCCAGATGGCGGACCCTGGGGAGTCTGACCTCAATGTGCCAATGTTGCGGTCCGGACTTAAAGACATCTTGAAACCCTGAAACCCTGAAACCCTGAAACCCTGAAACCCTGAAACCCTGAAACCCTGAAACCCTGAAACCCTGAAACCCTGAAACCCTGAAACCCTGAAACCCTGAAACCCTGAAACCCTGAAACCCTGAAACCCTGAAACCCTGAAACCCTGAAACCCTGAAACCCTGAACCCTAAAACCCTAAAACCCTAAAACCCTAAAACCCTAAAACCCTAAAACCCTAAAACCCTAAAACCCTAAAACCCTAAAACCCTAAAACCCTAAAACCCTAAAACCCTAAAACCCTAAAACCTTAAAACCCTAAAACCCTAAAACCCTAAACCCACAACCCACAGCCCAAGTTGAAGCAGAGATGTCGAGCTCATTGGGCCCACTGCTCCTGAGCCTCATGGAGCCCATACTGCTTCAGAAGTGGCTCCAGCTGCTTCCTCCGGTACCAGGCTTTGCAAGGCGGGGTCAATAATATTCATAATAATCATAATAATAATAGGAATCATAGTTATAGTAATAATAGGAATCATCGTATTCCAAATAAGAGGAATCATCGTAATAACAATAATAATGATAATATAAAATAATTATAACCACAATTTTAATAATGATTATCATCATCATCAGGGGGGACTTTTTCTGGGGGCCGACAGAGGGGCCTGGTCTCAGCTTTGTCTTCCTCAGAGACTTCCTGCTTGCGCAGGTAGCTGCTGTACCTGCTTGCTACACCAGGGACAACAGCAAGATCAAGTAGCTGCTCAGTGGCTGATTTCTAGCAGTTTCATGGTTCGGCGAAGGGGGGGGGTGGGGGGGGGGGGCTGTCTTTGCCATTCTACCTGCGTCGTTGAGATCCTGTGGGGCTGTGCTTGGCAGGGCTGGAAATGCAAAATCTTTCGCGCATGTACGTCCAGCCGGCTCTATTTAATTTGGGCAGAAGCCTTCCAAGCATGTCATCTGAACCGCTCAACTCGACTCCATCAAGCCTAGCTCATTTGGTCGGCGTTCTTCACATCCATCGGATTGCTCGAGCAACAGACGCGCACACACACACACACACCCACACACCAACACGCACCAACACACACCAACACAAAAACAAGCATGAATACATGCGAAGAAGGAATCGTTCACTGCTATCTCCCGGAGCACTCCAAGAACAGCATGTATCCTGGGCAGCTTAGCGTTCTATCTGACGCAGAACGTGACTCGAGGCACGCCATCTGTGACAACCAAGCACAATCTGGTGGCAACAACTCGTACTTCTTACCATCTTTGACAATCAAGCACAGACTGGTGGCAACACATCGTACTTCTTCCCATCTGTGACAATCAAGCACAGACTGGTGGCAACAAACCATACTTCGTACTTCTTCCCATCTGTGACAATGAAGCACAAACTGGTGGCAACGAATCGTACTTCTTCCCATCTGTGACAACCAAGCACACACGGGTGGCAACAAAGCATGCTTCTTCCCATCTGTGACAACCAAGCACAAACTGGTGGCAACAAATCGTACTTCTTCCCATCTGTGACAATGAAGCACAAACTGGTGGCAACGAATCGTACTTCTTCCCGATGAGGACAACCAAGCACAACTGGGGCAACAAACAGTACTCCGTACTATCTTTGACAAAACAGACTGGTGGCAACAAATCATGCTTCTTCCCATCTGTGACCACTAAAGACAAACTAGTGGCAACACATCGTACTTCTTCCCATCTGTGACAATCAAGCACAAACTGGTGGCAAGAAATCGTACTTCTTCCCGCCTAGGACGGCCAAGCACAAAGTGGGGGCAACAAATCGCACTTCTTCCGGTCTAGGACAACCAAGCACACAGAGGTGGCAACAAATCGTACTTCTTCCCGTCTAGGACAACCAAGCACAAACTGCTGGCAACAAATGCCGCTAGTTGCATTCAAGAGTCGCTCGCTATCACTCGCAGCACGATCCCAAGAAGCCTCTGCATCTGCATAATGCAAGCTGGTCTCAAGCGGCAAAGAAACACACTCAGCCACCAGCCTGAAGCAGCTCCCTTTTGTCAGGTGGCAGCGTGTCCTGCCGAAACAGAGCGCCATACTGCACTTCTCCCGAACAGAAGGCTGGAATCGTCGAATCGTCAATAGATGTGGAAAGCCTCGAATCCTGTCACTGCACAAACTTTGGGGCTGTACTTTCTATATATATAAGCGTCAAGTGTTCAGGGTTACATAGCACCTTGGCCAAAAGCGCAGCTGAATTTCAGGGCCTAAGAAGGCTTCCCTCTGTATTGTTTGGGATGTCGCACCAGGTACTATGTTGAATCAAGGGCAACTCTCCATTTTCATGGGATCTTCGGCCCGTGTCCGAAAACATCATCTTTGGTATAGTGTCTTTGTGCCGAATGTGACGTTCAGCAAAAGCACAGAGCCATCCCTCTCCCTGACCGGGGCCTCTAGAAGCTCGCGCCACAGCTCTGGGAGGTTGTGTGGCGGGGTCAGCTCCTCAAGGTAAGCTAATCCAGACAAGGTCACCTCTACATCCTAGACTCGTGTGGACGTTCGTAGAACACCTACCGAAGGCACTCGTGTTACATGTCGCGGGGTCCATGTCACCAAGCATCCCAGGCTCGGCTCGCTGAGCGGAGCTGCAGCACAAGGACGCAATTCACACTGCAACGCAGAACGCCGCAAGGCATCACAGATCACAGGACACCCCGTGAGTTTAAGCTGTGAGTTGCAAGTAGTGGCAGTTGTCTACGAGTACACTGAGTTCCGAGTGCCCCCACCGCCTCCCATCACTTTCCCGGCTCGCCTGTCACAGCATGGAGAGTTCGCTGCATTTCTCTGCCTGCAAGAACCTACTACAGCATATGACCCCGGCCTCCATCTTTACTCGGCCTGCGCCGCGTCGGTAGAGCCCGGATTCGCTGACCAACTCCTTTCAGATGGTCGGGGACTGGTTGGGATTTTGATAAACGGGTGGACCGTCAAAGCTGCAACTGTGCCGTGAGGAGTGTTCCTCCTCCAGCTGCACTTCGTCGACTAACCTGTGCTATGGTGCAGATTCGTGGTGGTTACGGGAAGTGTTGCAGTGTTTGGGGGCAAAGAAGCCAGCACTTCGGATTTTGGCCGGCAATCGGGTTCGCACCTCTCAAGGCGCTCGGGGGCGGTCTTGGCTGAGGCCTCAGAGGCCTCAAGGACGCGGGAATCAACGCAGCACAATGCAGCCAATGGAGTGGGGGAAGCTACAAAGCACGCTTGGATACAGACTCCCCGCAAGCAGCGGAGCTCCCCACAAGCAACGGAGCTCGCATTTTGCTTTGAGTCCCAATCAACAGAGCAGCGCGCTCTCTCGAGGACATGTCCCAGCCAACCGACTTGTGGATTGGCGCAGCTGACTTCAGCAGCCTTGGTCCGGATTTGTCCGGTGTGGAGACCCTGAGGCTCCTTTGATTCCTTCGCAGCTCTGCAAGAGCCTTCCATTTCTCCCTTCAAGGCTTCGGCCGAAACTCAGCTGAGATGGCAGCTCCACAGCGCCTCTCACAAGGCTCTCAACGCCTGCGACGCGAGCCGTTGGCCACTGTGGCTTGGCGGCCGTGAGATGCTCCGTTTGTGGTCGTGGTAGTCGAAGGCGGCTCCGGACGTGCGCCGAAGCCCATCAAGAAGGCCTGACAAGCTTAACCAGAGAAAGCCGAACATCTTCAAGACAGAGGTTGTAGCGGGCCTTCACACGCAAAAGCAGCAATACCACGGCAGAGACGGCGAGCACCACTGCCTAGAGTCAACGAGACCACGCCCACTTGACTTGCTGGGATTGATTTGCATCGTACATGCACATGGATCTTGGACTCCGACTAAGGTGAGAAAGCCCAGCGATGCTGGCGGAAGACTCTGCAGCCGTTGGATTGAAAGTTCCTCCGCGAAGAAAAGACACTCCGAGACACTCGCACCGCACGGTAATAGCACAGCCATGGTACCGCTACTATTCCACCTCTCGACAACTTGAATAAGCCATGGCAACCCAGCACAGCCTCTGCCAAGTGGGAAAATTCCCCCAGTTGTTTGGGGAAAGAGGCCTCCGCCTGAGCTTCCACATCTTGCATGAGACTCTGTATTGAAACTTGGGCTGCAACAAGGACTCTGCAGTCATCTAGCTGCAACTATGATGTGCTGGGACAATATGGGCCGGTCGCGACCACATAGTCTTGCACCACAGGCTGCCAGCACCAAAACCATGGTGCCCTGAAATCCCTTGAAACCACATGGCATCGCCTGGGGAGGCGCCTGTGCAGGCACTCCGGCATCAGATTCCACGTCAGGTTCTGCTGCAGGCCGGTGGGCAGCTGTCGCCGAGCCTAGGTCTCATCCCAAGTGAAGCGCCCTCTCCCTGATTCTTCGAATTACTTTGTGCAAAAGAGGGGATGGCACAAAGTGGCCGAGGAGGGCAGTAGCTGCGTTCATTGGCTCGAAGACGGTGTTGCTACGGCCCAAAGCAATAGTACCTTAACCAAATGAAATCCATCCTCTTGCCAACTGCTCTACTGACTCTACATTTATATCCTCCGAGTGCGTCTTGGAGGGCCTGCGGATTTTGGCTAACGTCAACACTAGCAAAGAAAGCAAAGATGGGAACCCATATTGGGTGCAGCCTCTGACTCTGCCTACATCTTGCATCTGAGGCGGGTGGTGTTCCAGTGTCTCCCTGTGGCTCCGAGGCGCTGAGGATCGGCTCGGCTTCCATCTCTCGAGGAAGCTTGGTGTCACAGCAGTGCTCGAAGCTGTTGGTCTTGGCAGTTTGGGCTAAGGCTATGGCGCGTTTCTTGAGGAGGGGAGGGGGGGGGGAAGCTAAAGCTAAAGCTCTCGCAACTGTTTCCAGGCAACGGTGAGGCACAGCTTGGAAGCAAGTCATGGTGCCAGCGTGTCTCTGAGTGCAGCAAGGCACGCCCGTCCAACAAGCCTGGCAATGTGAGCAAGAAAGTGGGGCTGATGTGGCTGATGTGGCTGAGGATGACTCGGCAAAACGGCGGAACACCTCGTCACCGCGACGACCTTTCAGAAGGTCGCAGCAAGACTCGGAGTCGAAGGTCTTCGAGTGCCGACAGTCCTCCTGAACGGAATGCGAGGAGAGCACTAAGGAAAGAATGCGAAGAATAGACAAGGAGTGGGGAGTGGGGAGGGGGGTGCATCAGTGCATCTCTGGCGCCTCCGCATGCTGTGGCTCTCCGCAGCAGCGTGCAAAGGTGTACTCGGCATCCCAGCACCCTTCGTTGCCTGGCAACAGCTCGGTTCTCAGATGTTCGCAGGCTTCGGGATGCTCATGATGTCCACACTGCAGAAGAAGAACCTTGCTGCCCTTGCTGCCATCGGCCTGTTGGACCGAACTGGAGGTCACAGCAAATCGCTGCTGTGAACTCCCCATCCCAGCAGCTCGGGTCCTGCATGACATCCAGCATTGGAGCTCGTTTCTTGTTGCCGCTGCTTTGGTCTCGTTTGTATCTATTGAGCATGTTAGGGCTTTCTACCCCTCCTTCCCTTAGTACTCGGGTTCTTGCCCCACAGGTTTTTTTTGGGCTCGCGTTTGCATGTGTTGTAGAGGACCTCTTGGAGACAAGCGGGTCTCTTTCCCCTCTTCCCAGTTGAGGACCCACACAGCGACCGGGGAGAAACAAAACGCAGTTTGATTCGGCATGCCAGTTGCCTTCCCCCTTCCACCCGCCCCTCCCTCGAGGACACGCAGAGTCCTGCCCCCCGGAAGGGACAGCTTCTCTCCTTTTGGCCGTAAAGGTCTCAGGGCTTAAGATGGCTTGAGGGCATTGGCTTCAGCTCAGGTTCTGCCCCCCTATCAGATTTGTTTGGGGGGCTCGGGCGGCTAGAGGGTTCCAGATTTGGGGGTGTGGGGGCTAATCAACCGCAACATTACGGATCCATGCGAGCAGAGGCTGCTGCAGTCCATGGCATCTCAGATGATACACAAAACTCGGTTTCCCCTCTGAACAGTTTAATTTCTTTCCGACGGTGCGCGTGTGGCCCCTCTTCCGCCCTTGTGCCTGCCCATTGAGAGCAGAATGAAACCCCAACGGGTTTGTGTTGCATCCCGTCCTCCTGTTCTGGCCCTCTTGGTCCGCCCTCTCAAGGCATCGTACATGGGTATGTAAGTCTGCGTGGTCGTTGTGCCGTGTGTTGCAGCCCCTCCCCCCCCTTCCCCCGTCGTGATGCCCTTTGCGTGGTGCGGGACGCAAACATTTGGGGCAGGTGGGAAATTAGTTTAAGTCCTGTGGCTCCACCCTATGGAGGGGGTGGCCTCCTTAGAAGAATCGAACCCCAAACTTGCACACGGAGGGGCTTTTTTGCACCCGTTCCCGGGTCTGCTGCTCAACGCCAGGTCATTTCCGGGTCATTTCCAGGGGGCCCTTGAAGGGTGGGGACAAACAGCGCATGCCAAAACGAAAACCCAGCCCCTCCGCACAATGCACTCAAATTCACTTGTCTTCCACGGTCACTGCTCCTGCGCCTGGGTAGGCCACGGGAGCCATAACAGTTGCCAGCGTGCCAACATATGCTTGCAGCTCAGTCCGACCTAGTCCTTATGGTGGATTTACTGAGCACTTGTACATTGGTGGAAGCCTGCCACTTGCAGCAGGTCGCACCTTCCCTTGCTGTCAAAACTGATCGCTTCCTGCTTGAGCCAGGCGCTTACAGGTACGAGAAGGACTCACCCGCACAGTCAGAACTTGAGGGGCCAGGCTCGTTTCTTGTTTGCGTCTCAAAAGTGCAGACAGCCACGAGGACGATGCATGCGGGGCGCGCCATCCTTGTAACTGTCGTCACTTTGGGAGGCTTGTACGTTGTTAGCATTTGAAAAGCGAGAAAGTGATGAGGATGAGGCGCGAAGCATCGCGTCGGCTATGTTCGTCGTGCGTGGCACGTGCCTGCATCCGGGTTCTTGGCTCCTATCAGGTTTCTTCCTTCATGCACCCGCACCGCTCATGATGGCTCCACTGATCCAGCGAAATAGCTTTCATTGGGTGGAGGCTTCAAAAGTCACGACACCTACGAGGACTGCGCACCCCACTTGCCCCATCCTCACCACTGTCAGCACTGGTCAACCGCAAACTAGAAACGAGGCTCCAAAACTAACGACAGTTACGAGGATGGCGCAACCCATGTGCCTCATTTTCGTGGGTGTTTTGCACTTTTGAGGCAACCATAGTCACAAAGTGACTACAGTTACGACAGTTACGAGGATGGCGCATCTGAGACGCACCTGACAACCTTCCCCATCCTTGCGACTGTCAGCACTTTTGAGGCATACGAAGCCGCAGCTACAGCTTGAGACGAGCCCCTCACGAATGCACGCGAATGCTTTCGTTTCGGATGCTTTCAGACGCTTTCGAACGCAAAGCGCGCGATGTCGGGTAAACTCCTGGAGAATGAGGAAGTGGGGGGAGGGAGAATAGGGGGAAAGGAACTCAAGTCATTATGGGTTCTGAACGATGGCCCAGGCCACTGCGCAAACAGAGCGTAAGACCACCTTTCGGGATGTTGGGACACGAATCCCCTTGGCGCAGTACCAGCGGTGCAGACTCTTCACCTCGGAGCAAGGACTGCTGGCAAGTCTGGCCAAGTGCACGCCGGGACACTTCGAACCAACCAGTTTTGACCGCTGTCTCCTGGGCCTCTCCTAACCTAAACCCTAAACCCTAAAGCCGTAAAACGCTAAATAAACCCTGAACCCTAAACCCTAAAACTCCTAAAATCCCCGACGTCAAAGAGCCCTGTCGCAGCCAAGAACCGCCAGAGAGAGAGAGAGAGAGCAACAGATCAAACTTCCAGTCGGCCTGTGGAAGACGCAAGGGCCGCCTGAGCAAATGTTGCATCAACATGTTAAAAACGAATATATATATACATATATATAGATACATATATGTGTACATACATTCATATATACATATCTGTACATAGGTATATATAGTATGTATATTGTAGAACCTGGCTTTCCGTCATGGACCGCTCTCCTCCTTCTTCTACCTAGCGGAGAGGCCTTCTGAGAGGGACCCCGGCCACGACGGCCCGCTGCTCGGTTCGGACCGCTCGCTCTGTCTCTCTCTCTCTCTCTCTTCTTTTCTTTTTTCTTTTTCTCTGCATTCTTTCTCGCTTTCTCTCTTTCTTTCATGGGGGCCTGGAGGCATGTCCTCGAGCAGTGGTGCGCCCTTCGTTTTTGGACGAAAAGTGACACTCTGCAACCGCTTCGCCCGAAACTCTCGTTCTTCCTTCCTTCCTTCCTTCCTTCCTTCCTTCCTTCCTTCCTTCCTTCCTTCCTTCCTTCCTTCCTTCCTTCCTTCCTTCCTCTCTTTCGCTCTCTCTCTCTCTCTCTCGCTGTCTCCGTCCCCAACGTGAGTCGGGGGCAGTGGAGGGAGGGGGCAAAGGAGGCGGAGGGGAAGCCAAGACCTGGGCCTAAACTGTGCTAGTTTACATCGAAACGTCACTTCCTTAATTTGCTGCCTGTGGGAACAGGCTTTCAAACGGTATTCGGCGAAGAACAACGGCATCATCGGCTGATGTTCGTGAGTTGCTGGTTGGTGTGAACGCAGACCGGAGACGGTGGAGATGGGGGCGGGAGGACCCTATGTCTGTGAGCCTTCCTGCCTTTCTCTACGATCTCTACAAAACCGGGACGGAGCGGGCTCTGACGGAGCCGTAGTGCGATTGGCCGAGATGGAGGGTCTGAACTATGGTGCCCTGATCCAGGCTTCATCTCAAACTTCATACGAAGGACCAGGATTGACAACGACACACTGTACTGTACAGAGACCAACGACCGAATGTGATGAGCTCGCATGAAAGCAGATTCGCTGATTGTTGATGCCTCGGCCTCTTCCTTCAGCAGGGACTCGATGCCCAGTGGAATGTTGAGGCGTTGCCACCTTGGTTCAAGTAAGGCGCATGCAATCAGAGTACAGAATCGTGAGGGGAGGCATGTTGGCCTCCTGGAATGCGATGCTTCGTTGACTTGGTTGGTGTTTTTCCAGTCTTAGGGCCGGTCTGGCCATCTGTCAACTTTGCCAGCCGCTCCAAACTGTTGATCTTCTGCTGCCTCAGCACCTTGCGGTGGCATGAAGTCAGGGCTCCTGTTTGAGATGCCAGAAAGCCCCGGCGCCAGGTTGCCCACCTGCAGTGCCTCGCCCAAATCCTGGACGCCACGTGCACCCCGCTTGTGCACACGTAAGTGCCCCACCCTTCTCCACTAAGCCGAGACCATCAGGATCTATCAGGCCTCTGCGTCTTCGGGATGATCATCCCTGAGCTGGGACACAAAGTCCTGTGACCGACCGTCTGACGAATCAGCTAGCTTTCAAGGATTCCCGCGGCATCGCAACTTAGCAGGAGCTGAATCAAGGTTCCAAGCGGGCTTTCCGAGAGCTGTCCTCGATGGATGGCATGCGCGGTCGCGTGTGCGCAAGACAACACTATGCCACGGTGAACTCTAGCTAACTTCTTTGTTGAATTGCCTTCTGATTCGGGCGGCATGGTCATTGGCACCTTTCGAAACCCTTGAGCAAAGCTGGCGATGAGTCCTTGCGTGTCTTTAAACATGCTTGCGCCCTAACATGTGCGACATCCACTTACATGGCACTCACTGGCAGCCTTTTTCACGGGTGAGGGAATGCCCGGCATTGCTCCAGCTGAGCACCTCATGAAGATCCTACAAGACCAGTGGTAGCGGCGAGGCTCTCTGCTTTGGCCAGTCTGGGCCAAGAAGGAGCAAGGTTCGTATAAGGTTCGTACAATGGACACGTGCGATTTTGGAGCTGAAACTCAGACAAAAAGCGAACTCGCAGCGCAGGCAGGATGCCCAGATCTTTGTACAATGCCCGGTGTTGGACGCACTGAGGCTTAGAAGATGGTTTGGTAGCAGAGCGGAAGTGCCAAAGTGGGACAGCTTGCGTTGCTACTCTAGACTCTGAGCTCTCTGCTGAAAGAACACCATCTGGAGCCTTCATTAATGCAAACAACCATATCCACACTTCCACCCCTGCCAGTGCGCTGAGAGTCGTCGCGAGCGCGGGTGGCGCTGCTGCTTGGCGGGCGGCTTGATGTCCTCGAGGTCTTCGTGCGACCGCTTGCTGCTACCTGCAACAAGACGAGACTCAGATGAGACAGCCTGCCCAATGTGACAGCGCAAGTTGTTGATACGAATCGAGTGCAGTGTCAGAAAGGAAAAAGCAGAACCACAGACCGAAAAACAACTTTGACTCTGCGTGCAAATTGTAGCTTGGCAAATGCATTTTCCAGCTCCGCGGTGCCAACCCCTTGAGGGCAATCATCGTCTACTTTGAACCGCGCCATTGCCGATCACTTCCTGGCGCATTGCGGCGACGGAGTTCCTCAGCAGCCGCACCGGACACATGTTTCCCAGGGTAGCGGCAGCGGTGACTTTCTCTCGCCATGTGTTGGGCTGACTCTTCTCACGAAGTAATCGTAGTTCATCGGCATTTGGAAGGCCAAGTTGCGCCGTAACTCGAGAATGCGGACATAGAAGCGCAAACCTGGCGTCCGCGGTCGCTGGTGAGTTCGGCTTGGTGTCGCAGCTGCTGCCATTGCTTCTGCACGCAAGCAATGAGCTTCCCAAGCAAGTCGTCTTGCAGGCCTGCTCCAGGCTAGCCTCGTGGGCTTTGAATCGTAGCCTGGGACCAATCAAATGTACCCGGGCTACACCAAGACGACCACCCACCGGCCCTCTTGAGGCTCCAGCAGGTTGTGTCCGTGCAGCTTTACATCCCACACCCACGGCACTTTGCCCAGCATCCGGCCTAAGAGCGAGCGAAGCCAATAGCCGACAGGAACGCCAAAACTTCCCCAGGGCGCGGACCGGCCGCTGCTGTTGCCTCTGGCGTCGTCATCTGAAAGGTGCCTGGCCGAGCAAGCCGCGCATGAAACAAACGAGCTACCCTCGGTCCCCTGCTGCCATCTTCCGCTGAGCCACAAATGAACGTCTTCGAGACGAACTGCTGGAGGCAGCGCTTTGCCTCTGCACTTGCGTTCAGGAAATAAACGCCACAAAATGCCACAACGCGAACGACCGCAGAGCCATGTCCCTGACCACCGGGCCTGGCGAATGGCTGTTGGGGCGCCCAACAGCTTGATGGACGAGAAGTCCATCCTGTGCTGTTCCAACTCTTGCACTGAAAGAGCGGCTAGCGTATGCTACTTGCAAGCCGCTAAGCAGGCCACGCTGGCTCCACCGCGCACAGGCGCCCGGCGGCCTGCGACAAAAAGCTTAGACGTAACTTCTTGTGACAAACATGTGGCACCAACATGCACCTTGATCGCCGGCTCCTCACCGTTCGGGCCGCAGGCCATGATCACCTTACGTACATCCGCCGCGGAATCGACAAACAAGGAGAGAGTCGGGAACCAGGGAAATTTGTTGCGATTCGGGAAATCAATGACCAGGACCCGAAGCCCTTCGACAAACTGGAGCTGAGGAGTTTTGGGAGCCAGGAACCGCGGACTCGGGGGAAATGGGAAGAACACGGACGCAGGAACATGGAGAACGCGGGAAACTGGAAATCGCGCATTTCAGTTTTCCCAGCATTGCATTGTCAGTTTGTCATCCGCCGCACCCCTCCTGCAGTTTCCCGAGCCGCGCGTTGCGGCATGCACGAGCTTAAGCACGGGCGGGGGCGAGGGGGAGGGCGGCAGTGAACTCACTGGCGCCACGATAGATCGCAGCTAGTTTCTGAGTCACGGAAAGGCGCCATGTGCCATCACATTCTGGCACTTTGCTATGTTGATTATGTTGCTTGCAGCTCAATCTGATTTGCCAGTGTAGCAGCGTAGCAACCAGGACCGAGGCCGATCCCATCTTGGGAAGGAGCTGGAAGCGACCTCAATCATCAGTGGCTTTCGGGGCTCTGCGTGTCAACACCGTACTAGCACGCGTTGCGCCGGAGAACAGTCTTTTCACAGGTTTTTGGGTCAACCCCAAATTTCAAAGCCCAACCGACGATTCTTGAGACCATCTAGTCCCCTGGGCCCTCAAAAGTTGGGGCGCATACTTGTGCAGTGCACCTGAGCCCAAGACCCTCCTGCGGTGCTGGCGCCTCCTGCGACAAGCCGTTAAACTAATCAGTTCTCACCTACCATCACCAGACATCACCAGTTCCAGGGCTGTTGCTTGCAGGCCTTGAGCTACACAAGAGCTTAATAGCTTGGCCCAGTTCAGGATCGAATTCAAAACCCCTGCTTTTGCTAAGCAGTTGCCTCCTTGTCCCGACAGTCGATTTCAGCCGGTTAGCTATCCACACATAGCCCAAATACACAACTTACAACGACATGACCTCAGAAAAGGGAAAACGGGCCACGCAAGCCTCACCACCTACAACAAACAGCAATTCTGCGGGGGTCTCGTCATGCTTTCCTGTCATCACTATGTAGATGTAGCAAACATGACACCGCAATCGATTCGCAAAGGGCCACTCCGTGCTGCCAGCACAGCCTGGACTTAAACCATCCCCTTGTTCCCTAGAAAACTGCGGGAACGAATCTCAAACATAACAAGGTTGCGATGGCCATGGGATGGCCATCGAACCAAGCGACCCTGGCTTTGCGTCGAGCGACCCTCTGTGCAGGGCGCGCTCGAACTAAGGGTTTCATTCATGTACCCTCCAACAAACTACCACACCGCTCAAGAACACCCACAAAGACCCTAGACATACTCTTCCTGGACTAAAGATGGCGATGCACTGCTGTGGCAAATTATCGCCATCCAAACCTCAACCTCAAATTCATTGCGGCTTCCCGTCTCTACGCTCGACTTGGAGCTACAGATACCGTGTCCAAGTTTACTGCCTGCTATCGTGTGTGTGTGTGTGTGTGTGTGTGTATGTGTATGTGTATGTGTGTGTGTGTGTGTGTGTGTGTGTGTGTGTGTGTGTGTGTGTGTGTGTGTGTGTGTGTGTGTGTGTGTGTGTGTGTGTGTGTGTGTGTGTGTGTGTGTGTGTGTGTGTGTGTGTGTGTGTGTGTGGGTGCGTGCGTGGGTGCGTGCGTGCGTGGGTGCGTGCGTGCGTGCGTGCGTGCGTGCGTGCGTGCGTGCGTGCGTGCGTGCGTGCGTGCGTGCGTGCGTGCGTGCGTGCGTGCGTGCGTGCGTGCGTGCGTGCGTGCGTGCGTGCGTGCGTGCGTGCGTGCGTGCGTGCGTTCGTGCGTGCGTGCGTGCGTGCGTGCGTGCGTGCGTGCGTGCGTGTGTGTGTGTGTGTGCGTGCGTTAGCAGCTGCTAGCAGCATCATACCACAGCAATGGTACCAGTATTGTGTAACCATGCTAGTACTTACTAGCTCAGCGCCTTCATGCAAGGCTTGCCTACGCCGTTCCCAAACCCATGGAAAGCAGAGGGTGCGCCTTCGCGGCGCTGCCACAGGCCCCGGCAGCCTCGAGAATCTTGGTCTCGGGGGTCGAAGAGTAAGAGTCGATAGTATTCTCACAAAAACGGGGGTTGAATCCACGTTCTTTTCTTTTCCGGATATTCGAAGCTCACCCTCGGTCAAAAACACCGGTTCAGCGCATTGAGACACGTTCCTCGTGTCACAACATGCGTCATTTTTGGTATACGCGGCATGCTTTACGTACTGCACTTCCTCCTCCTCAAACACAACTGCCCTCGCGGCTCGGGGTTTGCAACGAAATCACTGCCACCAAGCTTTGCTAATCTGACTTGTTGACTTTTCGCGTTAGTATCTCATTTCTATGTTCTTTCGTTATACCATAAGGTCCCCACGCGCGCGCGCGCGTTTTCTGATGTTTCGGTGGGGGAAGGGGGGGGGGGGGGTTGGTATCAGGGCTGAAAGACGTCGACTCTACACCCTACACCCTGAAAACCGCCCACCCCCCCCCCCCCACCCCCCCCCCCCCCCCCCCCCCACCCCCCCCCCCCCCCCCCCCTAGAATAGGAGCCCTCCGCGGCCTCCAGATTGCCCTCGCTGGGCAAGGCCGCCTTTTTGGGGTCTGGCGGGTGCTTACGGGGAGGATTGCTCCATTTCTAGCTGGCTGTGTCCACTGGACCTTCAAATTTGAAACGCCAACCCCACCCCCCCCCTAGCCGCCCCCACTCCCCACTCCCACCCGCCCCGCCTTTGAGCCGAGATCGCACGGCACCGCGGCCTGGAGCAATCGGCTGCTTCGGCATCAGGGATTTGGGGGCTTAGGGCTTTGGGCTCAGCCCTGACCTGGAGATTTAGGAACTATAGGGTTGTGTGTACTAGTGGCGGGAGCTCTGTGGGGATCAGGTCCTCCAGCTTACATCATCACCCAAAGGCTGTGCTGGATGAGCCGTCTTGCGCAGCCTTGATGGGTTGGCCGAGCAGCATGGGCAGCGTGGGTGGTTCCTGTGTACAAGACAAGTTAGGCTCTGCCACGAAACAAGAACAGGGTTTTACTTTGGCGGCAGCTTTGCTGCATGTCATGTGCGGCCTGCACGCGCAACTTGTCTTACGGAACCCGAGGCAACGGAACCCAAGGCCACGGAACCCGAGGCCCTGGCGGATTCAGCAGCATCTTCGGCATCCTGCGTGGACCCAGGCTGGCAAAACCTACTGCTTCTGTTTGGGTGCCCCCTTGCCGCCCTTGCCCTAAAGCCTAGAGTGGTTTGGGGAGGCTTGGGCTGAGCCCTTGCATAACCACTCGCACGTCCCGGGCAAGAGGTGCGCGCTCCTACGCACTTTTTGAGGTTAGTTGGATACTCCCATGTTCCCTTCAGCCACTGCAGCTCCCTGAAATGGGTTGCCCTCCCGTAAATTATTCAAAGATCGACACCGTATCTACATAACAACACTGACAATCCTGCGGGCTTTCCTGTGTTTTCCTACCCTGGATGCCTTGACGCCCTGCTGCCCGTAAGTGAGGCTGACCATCTTCGTCGCCTCCAGGAATGTGGTCTGGAATGTTCGCTGTTCGTTCTCAGAAGCGGAGAACAAGTGATCGGATCGTCAACACTTAAACAACAACCACCATCCAAATTCAACAAAGGTGGCAGATGCACTACGGACACGAGTCGCAGCGGTAAGAGCAAGGGTCACGACATTAATCGCAAGCAGCCAGCTCAGCGAAGCTACCGTTTGCCGACATGGGTGCGCCTCTACACCCACCGGAAGCTCCACCTCGTGTGCACGCGCACACTTGCTTTCGGACTTATGTTGTGATGACGACAAGTACCAACAGGTGTTCCCAGATTTTGCAAACCTTCGGTGGCAAAAACTACGAAGTCTTTTGTCTTCTTGTCGATTGGGATTCTGAATTAGTTTACGGTTTATAGGGTTATATGTGATATTGTTAAGCCCTCCTTAGCAGGGATTGAGGCGAGGGAATGAATACCCGCATGATTTGCGTGTTTTGGGGGTGTCCGTCCTGGTGGTTCTTGAAAAAATCACTTTTGCACGGGTTGCAGGACAGCAGCCATCTTTCTGCTTTTGGTGACCCTGTTCATGTGGTGACGAAGTGATGCAACCATGATTGCAACATGCTTCTCTTACCACAACACCAAAAAAAACCTACCACGACAGCAGGGCGCAGCACCTCAGTTATAAGGAAAAGCGCATTCCTTCTTGCTCGGCCTTTTCGCTCGCTCGCTAAAAATACAAACACTTGAAGTTACCCCCCCTCCCCCCGTAACAAGTTCTTCCTCTCTGAGGGTTCTTTGCAGGCCCCAGAGCCTGGAGAGCGGAAGAACTTGTCCACGACCCCCCCCCCCCTCCGTGAATAGCTCTTTGCAACGCCCCCCGCCCCTCCCCCCGGTGAGCAAGTTCTTCCGTCCTGAGGGTCCTGGAGAGCGGAAGAACTTGTCACGCCCCCACCCCCCCCCCCCCTTGTGAACAAGTTCTTCCGCTCTGAGGGCTCTTCGCAGGCCCCAGAGCCAGAGAGCAGACAGCAACGAGCAGACAGACAGTAACGAGACCCAGAAAATGTTTTATGGTATTCACGAGGAATGCTTTTCAACCATAGTTTTTTGGGATTAGTTGTGGTTGGACCCCCCCGTGCTGTTCATGTGGCGACTGCGTCGGCTGAGGCCCGAGATCTGAGGGGGCGTTTTTGTGATCTGTGTTGGAAAGCGCATGAACGCACGCAAACAGGCCTGTAGTTGTCGATTCTGGCCATGCTCCCATCGGTTGCCACGGTGGCCCCGGATCAAAACCTTGAACTCAGTCCTCGCGTGAAGGTGGGAAGGCTATTGCCCATCTACCTCGCGACGACGGGGATTCTGGAAGCTCCTTCCACACCCAAGTCACACTCCTTGAACATGTGCTGATAGCTATCATCATCCGCATCCCGAGAAGTATCAAAGTACTACAAGTATTCGGTACGGGGACGGCTATCATTGAACTTATCACGTGTTTCTCCTGTACATCTTCCTTAAGCCTTAAGCTGTGGCATCAGCTTGAGTTGCGCCAGCGTGCCCTGTCTGCATACATTCGTCCCTAGTCTCCATTGCGATTGTGGACGGGTCATGATCAGTATTCCAGCCATTGCCATGTCCCTGTCTGCACATGAGATTCTCCAATTGGATGCCCCAAGATTCCAATCCAAAAATCAAAAGTCCCCCCAAAACCCTAAAAAACCCAGCGGTCCTGCTGCCGATTGGCAGTTTCACGGCAGTAGACGTCCAGCGCGGAAACGTCGCGCTGGAGGTGAAACAAGGGAGCGCCTGGCAGACACTTTAGGGTTAGAAAAGCTTCGTGCTTGGTTTTTTTTTGGGGTGCTCGTGAAATCCAAGTCATGGTTTAGGCTCGGCTTCTTGAAATGGAGATCGAACAGGATTGGGAGAACATAGTGGACCCTAGTCTTGGTTGGTTTTGAAGACGGCTTCCTGAAGAAATGGTAAAAGGTTTGCAAGAAGAGGAGGAACCAACTACCAAGGGCCTCTGCGGGGTCCCAGGCGCCCAGTTCTTTGCAGGACGCCACAATGAAGACTTGCTCGCCTTCCAGGCCCGGCACTTGCTGGCATCTCTACCTGTGCATCCTGCACTCAGCCAAGCCATCTGGAAACTCGAAAGGTAAAAAACTGCATCTGCCAACTGATCTTTGCTACTCATAGTTACTCATACTTGTCTGCCAATATGGCAGCTGCGCCATGAAAATACTCTCCATGCCCCAGGCCTGGTTCTGTGCTGGAGCAGTCGACGTGAAAGATCACGTCCATGGCAGAAGCCATTGCGGCCATCTGCAAGCCCTAGCAGCCCTGGTATGAGAACCAACCCCTATGATCTCCTTTTGGGATTCCTTGGGTGAGAAGCATGTAGCAACCGAATCCCGAAGTAATCATTGCGGAATGTGCCACTCGAAAATGCCTGTTTAAATTTAAAACCCCTCTCTACATACGCTATACGAAAATTACAGTACGCCCGTTGTCATCTTGCAAGGATGCTTGAGAATTCGTCTTCTCTTGATGAATCGCGCAAGAACACGTGAAATCGGGCAAGCCCTTGGCTGCAGGACGAACAACACCAAAGGCGCAACAGCATCTGACTAGAGTGCTTCAAGAACGTTCCTTGCAGCACTCGAATCTCTCCTAATCCAGAAAGAAAGTGTTCATGTAATCTTTCAATCAAACTTCTCCAGCTCATTTCGGGAATTGCTGTTCCAAGAATTTCGGAGGAGTCATGGCGGAGCACTGATCACGACAGCTTCGGGATGCCTCGGCCTCGTCCTCCTGCCAAGCAGCATACTCCTCGACGACGGGGATTCTGGAAGCTCCTTACACAAACAAATCACATCACTTGAACATGTTTTGATTGCTATCATCATCCGCATCCCGAGAAGTATCAAAGTGCCGCAAGTATTCGGGACGATGACAACGATCACTAAACCTATCACGTGCTTCTCCTGCTCATCTTCCTTAAGCAGTGGCATCAGCTTGAGTTGCGCCAGCGTGCCCTGTCTGCATGCACTAGTCCCTAGTCTTCGTTGCGATTGTGGACAGGTCATGATCAGTATTCTGGCAGATTCTCCAACTGGATGCCAAGATTCCAATCTAAGATCAAAAGCCCCCCCAAACCCTGAGACAAACCCGCAAGGGAGCGGTCCTGCTGCCGATTGGCCGCTTCACTGACGTTTCCGCGTTGGACTTCCAAAGTTGCGATTCACAGCTTTGGAAGTCCAAGGCTGTGAGGATGTCTTCATCGTCGGCTGTTGCAAGGAGCTCGGAGCTTGGAACCTCGCAGAGGCCCTTGGCCTCTGCAGGGTTCTAAGCTCCCAGCGCCTTGCAAGAGGCGACGACGAAGGCTTGCTCGCCTTCAAGGGCAGCAGAACTCTTGCTGGAATCGCTACCTATGCATCCTGCAGTCAAGGCTACTCATGCTTGTCTGCATGTATGGCAGCTGTGTGTTGACCTTCCTGGAATGCGATGCTTCGTTGACTTAGCTACTTTGTAAGGTTTGCCAGCCGCCCCAAACTGTTGATCATAAATTCTACTGCCTCAGCACCTTCCAGTGGCATGAGGTCATGAAGGGCTGTTACAATATCTCGTGTTCGAGACGCCCGAAAACCTCGCCCCACCCTTCTCTGCTACTGTATCAGTGTATCAGGCCTCGGTGCCCTCGGGATGATCATCACAATCATCACTGAGCTGGGACACACAGTCCTGCGACGGACAGTCTGACAAATCAATTTAGCGATCCGCTTCTCGGACTCCCGCGCCATCACGCTGTAGCAGGAACTGACTAGGTTTCCAGGGGCTTTCCGAGAGCTGTCCTCGCTGGATGGCATGCGCGGCCACGTGTGCAAGACAACGCTGTGCCGCTGTGAGCTCTAGCTATCTCCTGTGTCGAAATGCCTTCTGCACCCCGCGACATGGTCATGGCCACTTTCATAACGCTTGAGCAAGCTGGCGATGAGTCCTTGAGTTTCTTTCAGCATGTTGGCTTAGTTTGTTCACCAACCTTTGCGACATCCACTTACATGTGGCACTCACTCACAGCCTTTTCTCGTGCAATTGTGGACCTGAAACTCAGCCAAGACTCGCCTCGCAGGCAGGATGCTTCAGTCTTTGTACAATGCCCGGTGCTGGACGCACTGAGGAAGAAGCGTCTGCTCAATGGTTAGAAGACGGTTTGGGAACAGAGCGGAAGTGCCTCCAAGGTGCGACTTGCTGAGGGACTGCTCGTGTTGCTGCTCTAGGCTCTCTGCTGAACATGGGATTCTCCATTGTTTTGCAGGCAACCATATATCCACACTTCCACCCTACCCCAAAACATCAGCTGCAAATGTTGAATTAAGATCCCTCTTTCAAGGCCCATTCCGTTTGGGTGGGGGTTGTGCCTGGGACACGTGTTGGGATGCCCCGAAGCTGCTTCCACCACCATCTTTACACTGCGTGCCTGCGCTTGCCAAAGAAGGGGGTCGGCAATGCTGCGGTGAGTGACTCTACGTGCAAGTTAGCTTGGCAAATGCATTTTTCAGCTCCGCGGTGCCAACCCCTTGAGGGCAATCATCGTCTACTTTGAAACGTGCCATTGCCGTTCACTTCCTGGCGCATTGCGGCGACGGAGTTCCTCAGCAGCCGCACCGGACACATCATTTCTCTTCTGAACAACATGTTTCCACAGGCAGCAGCAGCGGAGAGTTTCTCTGCAATGTGTTGGGCTGACTCTTCTCAATGTAAGAGTACAAGAGGACGTAGTACTAGCAAGAAGTAATGGTAGCCATGGGCATTTGGATTGCCAAGTTGCACCGCAACTGGAAAATGCGGACATGGAAGCGCAAACCTGCCGTCCGCGGTCGCTGGTGAATTCGGCTTGATACGACCAAGCCATTTCAGTCCACAGTGTCGCAGCTGCTGCCATTGCTTCTGCACGCAAGACATGAGCTTGCCAAGAAGTTCGTCTTGCAGGCCTTCTCCAGGCAGGCCTCGTGGGCGTTGAGTCGAATCCTGGGAAAAGTATCCGGGGACTACCAAGACGACCACCCACCGGTTTCCTGGGGCTCCGGCAGGTTGTAGCCGTGAAGTTTCACATCCCATACCCACGGCACTTTGCCCAGCATCCGGCCTAAGAGCGAGCAAACCCAGCAGCCGACAGGAACGCCAAGACTTCCCCAGGGCGAGGACCGGCCGCTGCTGTTGCCTCTGGCGTTGGCATCTGGAACGTGCCTGGCCGAGCAAACCGATCACGAAACGAACAAGTTACCCACAGTTTCCCCTGCTGCCATCTTCCGCTGAGCCACAGATGAAGGTCTTCGAGACGAAGAGCTGGAGGACGCGCTTGGCCTCTGCACTTGCGTTCAGGAAATAAACGCCACAGAATGCCACAAAGGTATCGACAGCAGAGCCATGACCCTGACCACCGGGCCTGGCGAATGGCTGTTGGGGCCCCCAACAGCCTGATGGACTTCTCGTCCATCCTGTGCTGTTCCAACTCTTGCACTGAAATGGCGGTTAGCGGATGCTATAAGCCGCTAAGCAAGCCACGCTGGCTCCACCGCGCACATGCGCGCGGCGGCCTGCAACCAAAGCTTCCATGTAACTTCTTGTGACAACACATGCGGCACCAAGATGCACCTTGATCGCCGGCTCCTCGCCGTTCGGGCCATGCTCCATCATGACCTTACATCCGCCGTGGAATCGGCCAACAAGGAGTCGGGAACCAGGAAAATGTGATTCGGGAAATCGATGACCAGGACCCGCAGCCCTTCGAAAAACTGGAGCTGAGGAGTTTTGGGAGCCATGAACCACGGACTCGGGGGAAATGGGGAGAACACCCTCGCAGGAACATGGAGAACGTGGGAAACTGGAAACCGCACATTTCGGTTGTTGTGTTTTTCCCGCATGACATTGTCAGATTGTCATCCGCCGCACCCCTCTGCAGTTTCCGGAGCCGCGCATTGCGGCATGCACGAACTTATGCCGTGGGCCGCGCTGGCGGGTTTCCCATAGGAGGAGGGGGGTGGGGGCCCGGGGGGGGGGGGGGGGGGGCGAGGGGGAGGGCGGCAATGAACTCGCTAGTTTCTGAGTCACGGCACCTCGCCATGTGGCATCACATTCTGGCACTTTGCTATGTTGCTTGCAGCTCATCTCCTGCGCAGGATCTGCTTTGCCAGTGTAGCAGCGTAGCAGTAACCAGGACCGAGGCCGATCCCATGTTGGGAAGGACATGGAACCGACCTGAGTCATCAATGGTTTTCGGAGCTCTGCGTGTCAACACCGTACTTGCGCGCGCGTTGCGCCGGAGAACATTGGGTCAACCCCAAAGCCCAACCGACGATGATGACCATCTAGTCCCCTACCCCTGGGCCCTCAAAAGTTGAGGTGCAACTTGTGCAGTGCACCTGAGCCCAAGACCCTCCTGCTGTGCCGGCGCCTCCTGCGACAAGGCGTTAAACTAACAAGTTCTCACATACCATCACCAGTTCCAGGGCTGTTGCTTGCAGGACTTGAGCTACACAAGAGCTCAAAAAATTGGCCCAGTTCAGGATCGAATTCAAAACCCCTGCTTTTGCTAAGCAGTTGCCTCCTTGTCCCGACTCTGCATGTGTGCCCGATGGTCAGCCGACAAGCCATCCACACGTAGCCCAAATACACAACTTCCAACGACATGACCTTAGTAGAGCAACATCAAACAATCACCATCCTGTCTGCGGGTTTCTCGTCATGTTTTTCCACCCTCGCTTGGGGTCGTGGGCCTTTGAGAGCACAGCTCCAGGCTGCGGACTCCTACAATATTTCTCCGTGCTGTGAACTCCGCCGAACTGAAAAGAGACATCGACTGCTAAGGTAGAGTGCTGAAATGTGATGAAAAGATGACCGAAGAGGGTCATCAAGAAAAACAGTGTAGCAAGCACGACATCGCAATCGATTCGTAAAGGGCCGCTCCGGAATTCCAGCGCAGTCTGGGCTTAAACCATCCCCTTGTTACCTCGGGAATGCGGGAGCGACCCTTTGTGCAGGACACGCTCTATAGCTAAGGGATTCATTCATGTACCCTCCAACAAACTCCACCGCACTGCACAGCAAAACCCCAAACCCTTGAGTACCATGCAAACCAACGAACTCGAGTCCGAAGCTAACCCTAAAGCCTAAACCAGTATAGTGTAAGGCTACTAGCTCAGCGCCTTCGATGCAAGACTGGGGAGATATATCTGTTTGGGGAGCTTGCCTACGGTCTTTCCAAAACCATGAGATCCCTATCAGGGCCGTCGACTCTGCACCCGACACCCCAAAACTCCCTCGAACAGGAGCCCTCCCCGCGGCCTCCACGTCGCCCTCGCTGGGCGAGGCCGCCTTGAGGCCAGCTTTGCGCTTATTCGGAGAGCTAAACAAGGTTGGGGTGTTTCTGGGATTGTAAGGGGAGGATCAGTCCAGTCCGCCAACCCCCCTTTTGTTGTGCCACCCTCCCCGCCTTTGATGGCGGCACGGCCTGGAGCAATCGGGTGCTTCGGCATCCAAGTTTGGGGGTTTGGGCTTTGGGATGCTTTGGGCTCAGCCCTGGCCTGGAGTCTGGGGTTGTGGCTTACCTATTCTTCAGGGCTTGGGCCGTTTTGGGGTCTTTCAAGGCTCTGGGTTTACGGCCGGTCGGGGTCTGTGTATGTATTAGCGCGGGAGCTCTATATAGTATAGCAAGCGGACATATCGGGGATCTTTGGAGTGTGCCCCAACTGCTGTGATGAGGGCACCTGATGTGGGTTGACAGAGGCAGGTCAAGGAGCACTTTTTGGAACTTCTCTCTCTCTCTCTCTCTCTCTCTCTCTCTCTCGCTCTCTCTCTCTGACCCCAGCGCACCCAAGAAAAGATTGAAACTCATTTTTGAAGTTTCTGTCGGGTATGTGTTGAGCACATGTCCGCTCTCCCCATGTCAGGTCTCCCAACTTACACGTCACGTCACATCACCCAAGGGCTGTGCTAGATGGTCCGGCTTGCTGCAAGAGGAGAAACGCCGAACTCACGTCCCTTAGCATCTGCAAAACGCAAAGCGGCCAACGCGGGCGGCCTTGAGGCCAGGTTTCTCGAGGCGCACGCCGAGCAGCATCGGCAGCGTGGGCACTTCCTGTGTACAGGAAGGTGGAATGGCCGGTTGCACTGGTGTGCAGAAAGTCAGAAGGATGGACCCGGCGCTGCCCGGCACTGCTTGAGTCAACTTCAACTGCAAAAATGCCGCAGAGACTTCAAGTTTGTTGAAGCTTGTCCTGTGAGTTGTTGCTTGCTTCCTTCAATCCATCCGCAAGACATCATATGACTCTACAAGCTAATGTGCATCGGGCATTGATTGGAGGTAGATTGGGCAAGCAAACACAGCGTGCCTCAGCTATTCGTGAGGGTTTTCATGAGCTTGCGCCATCAATTCTTGTGGTGACGGGCGGAGATCTATGGGAGACAAGTTGGGCTCTGCTTCGAAAAAGATCCGGGTTTTGCTTTGGCGGCAGCTTTGCTGCGTGTCATGTGCGGTAGTACGCGACTGGCGAGCGGGACAGGTGCGGTCCGGCCGGTGCCGCAAGCCTAGGCCTAGGCGTGTCCTGAATGTGGGGCCTGCACACGCAACTTGTCGTACGGAGCCCGAGACCACGGAACCCGAGGCCACGGAACCCGAGGCCCTGGCGGATGCAGCAGCATCTTCAGCATCCTGCGTGGACCCAGGCTGGCACCACCTACTGCTTCTGTTTGGGTGCCCCCTTGCCCTAAAGCCTATAGAGTGGTTTGGGGAGGTTTGGGCTGAGCCCTCGCATAACCACTCGCAGATCACGGGCAAGAGGTGCGCGCTCCTACGCGCTTTTTGAGGTTAGTTGGATACTCTCATGTTCCCTTCAGCCATGCAGCTCCCTGAAATGGGTTGCCCTACCGTATTATTCAAAGATTGACACAGTATCTACATAACAACACTGACAATCCTGCGAGCTTTCCTATGTTTTCCTACCCTGGATGCCTTCATGCCCTGCTGCCCGTAAGTGAGGCTGACCATCTTCGTCGCCTCCAGGAATGTGGTCTGGAATGTGGTCTGGAATGTTCGCTGTTCGTTCTAAGAAGCGGAGAACAAGTGATCGGATCGTCAACACTTAAACAACAACCACCATCCAAGTTCAACAAAGGTGGCAGATGCACTACGGATACGAGTTGCAGCGGTAAGAGCAAGGGTCACGACATTAATCGCAAGCAGCCAGCTCAGCGAAGCTACCGTTTGCCGACATGGGTGCGCCTCTACACCCACCGGAAGCTCCACCTCGTGTGCACGCGCACACTTGCTGTGAGACTTATGTTGTGATGACGACAAGTACCTACAGGTGTTCCCAGATTCTTGCAAACCTTCGGTGGCCAAAACTAGGAAAGGCTTTGTCTTCCTATCTTCGCAGTCGATTGGGATTCTGAATTAGTTTAGGGTTTAGGGTTATATACTACGTGATACTGTTAAGCCCTTCTTAGAAGGAATTAAGGCGAGGGAATGGATACCCGCGTGATTTGCGTGTTTTGGGGGTGTCCTTCCTGGTGGTTCTTGAAAAACTTACTTTTGCACAGTTGCAGGACAGCAGCCATCTTTCTGCTTTTAGTGACCCTGTGACCCTGTTCATCTGGTGACTGCGTCGGCTGAGGCCCGAGATCTGAGGGGGTGCTCTTGTGATCTGCATTGGAAAGCGCATCAACGCACGCAGACAGGCCTTCAGGTGTCGGTTGTCGCCGTGCTCCCATCGGTTGCCACGGTGGCCCCGGATCACGATCTTGAATTCAGTCCTCGCGTGAAGGCGGGAAGGCAAGTGCTCATCTACCTGACGACGACAGGGATTCTGGAAGCTCCTTACACACCCAAATGACACTCCTTGAGCATGCTTTTGTTGTCATGTCCCTGTCTGCACATGAGATTTTCCAACTGGATGCCTCAAGATTCCAATCCAAAAATCAAAAGTCCCCCCCCTCCAAAAAAAACCTAAAACAAACGCACAAGGGAGCGGTCCTGCTGCCGATTGGCAGCTTGACGGCATTCGACGTCCACCGCGGAAACGTCGCGCTGGAGGTGAAACAAGGGAGCGCCTGGCAGACACGGAGATCGAACAAGATTGGGAGAACATAGTGGACCCTGGGCCCTAGTCTTGCTTTTGAACACGGCTTACTGAAGAAATGGACTAGGGTTTGCAATAGGAGGAGCCAAATACCGAGGGCCTCTGCAGGGTTCCAGGCGCCCAGTTCCTTGCAGGACGCCACGACGAAGACTTGCTCGCCTTCAAGGGCATCAGAACTCTTGCTGGAATCTCTACCTGTGCATCCTGCGCTCAGCCATCTGGAACGGCCGCTACCCGGCATATTTCCTGGAACTCGAAAGGCAAAAGTTGCATCTGCCAACTCTAATCTTTGGTCTGTATGGCAGCTGCGCCATGAAAATACGCTCCAGGCCCCAGGCCTGGTTCTGTGCAGGAGCAGTCGACGTGGAAGACCACATCCATGGCAGAAACCATGGCTGCCATCTGCAAGCCCTAGGATCTGAGAAGCCCTGGTATTGCGAACCAACGCCTATAATCTCCTTTGGATTCCTTGGGTGAGAACCATGTAGCAACCGAATCCCGAAGTAATCATAGCAGAATGTGCCACTCGAAAATGCCTGTTGAGACTTAAATACACTCCCTAAATACGCTAGACATTGCAGTACACCTTTGTCATCCTTGCAAGGACGCTTGACAATTCGTCTTCTCTTGATGAACCGCGCAAGCACACATGAAATCGGGCAAGCCCTTGGCTGCACGACAAACAACACGGACCAAAGGCGCAACAGCGTCTTACTAGAGTGCTCGAGAAAATGCCTTACAGAGTACTCGAATCCCTCCTAATCCAGAAAAATAGTGTTTCACTTAATCTTTCAATCAAGCTTCTCCAGTTCGGAAGTTCGTCTCGGGAATTGCTGTTCCAAGAGCTTTGGAGGATTCATGGCGGAGCACTGATCACGACAGCTTCGGGATGCCTCGGCCTCGTCCTCCTGCCAAGCAGCATCTGCATCCACCGGAAGCTCCACCACGCACCCTCCTGCTTTGCGACTTATGTTGTGACGACAAGAACCTACAGGTGTTCCCAGATGTTTTGCAAGAATGCCGGCAAGCCTAGTCCAGGGTCCAACCCAACGGTTGGAGTTGCATTCTGAATGTCAATGGCCCCAGCACAATCTACCCCTACATGGGTCTAACATTTGCACCCTCCATACGTTGTCATCCTTGCAAGGACGCTTGACAATGCGTCTTCTCTTGAAGAATCACGCAAGCATACATGAAATCGGCAAACCCTTGGCTGCACGACGAACAACACGGACCAAAGGCGCAACAGCATCTTACTAGAGCGCTTCAAGAACATGCCTTAATACAGTACTCGACTCGCTCCTACTCCCCGAAAGAGATAATCTTTCGCTTGATCTTTCGATCAAGCTTCTCCAGTTCCCCAAGTGCAGCTCCAGCTGCCCAGCTTTCCTTCGACCGCTTGCTGCGACCTGCGACAAGATGAGACTCTGAGACAGCCTGCCCAATGTGCAAGCACAAATTGCTGATATGCTTTGACTCCACTTGCAAGTTGTAGCTTGGCAAGGGCAAGAAACACTCGGGAGGACTTTTCCAGCTCCGCGGTGCCAACCCCTTGAGGGCAACCATCGTCTATGGTGAGACACGCCATTCGCGATGACTGCCCGGGGCGTCTCGCCGACGGAGTTCCTCATCAGGCCGCTCGGGACACATCATGGCTCTTCCAAAAAAAACATGCTTTCCACGGGCAGCGTTCAGTTTCGCTGCGCATGTGTTGGGCTGACTCATCTCGCTGTAAGAGTAGAAGACATCTTGAACTAGCAAGAAGTACTCGCAGTCATTGGCATTTGGAAGGCCAAGTTGCGCCGTAACTCGAAAATGAAGTCATTGTAGAGAGAACCTGCCGTCCGCGGCCGCTGGTGAATTCGGCTTGATACCACCAAGCCACTTCAGTCCAAAGTGTCGCAACTGCTGCCATTGCTTCTGCACGCAAGCAATGAGCTGCCCAAGCAGTTCGTCTTGCAGGCCTGCTCCAGGCTGGCTTCGTGCGCATAGCATCGCAGCCTGGGACCAATCAAATATACCCGGGCTACCAAGACGACCACCCACCGGCCCCCCTGGGGCTCCGACAGGTTGTAACCGTCGAGCTTGACATCCCATACCCACGGCACTTTGCCCAGCATCCGGCCTAAGAGCGAGCGAAGTCAATAGCCGACAGGAACGCCAAAACTTCCCCAGGGCGCGGACCGGCCGCTGCTGTTGCCTCTGGCGTCGTCATCTGAAAGGTGCCTGGCCGAGCAAGCCGCGCATGAAACAAACGAGCTACCCTCGGTCCCCTGCTGCCATCTTCCGCTGAGCCGCAAATGAATGTCTTCGAGACGAACTGCTGGAGACAGCGCTTTGCCTCTGCACTTGCGTTCAGGAAATAAAACACCACAGAATGCCACGAAGCTATCGACCGCAGAGCCATGTCCCTGACCACCGGGCCTGGCGAAGTGCCGTTGGAGCGCCCAACAGCTTGATGGACGAGAAGTCCATCCTGTGCTGCTCCATCGCTTGCACTGAAAGAGCGGCTAGCGTATGCTACTTGGCTAAGCAGGCCACGTCGGCTCCACCGCGCACATGCGCCCGGCGGCCTGCGACAAACAGCTTAGACGTAACTTCTTGTGACAACACATGTGGCACCAAGATGCACCTTGATCACCGGCTCCTCGTCGTTCGGGCCATGCTCCATCATGACCTTACATCCGCCGCGGAATCGACAAACAAGGACCGAGACGGGAACCAGGAAAATGTGATTCGGGAAATCAATGACCGGGACCCGCAGCCCTTCGAAAAACTGGAGCTGAGGAGTTTTGGGAGCCAGGAACCGCGGATTCGGGGGAAATGGGGAGAACACGGACGCAGGAACATGGAGAACGCGGGAAACTGGAAATCGCACATGTCGGTTGTTGTCTTTTCCCAACATTACATTGTCAGCTTGTCATCCGCCGCGCCCCTTTTGCAGCTTCGCGAGCTGCGCATTGCAGCATGCAAGTGCGCATGCTCGCAGAGCGGACCGTGCTGGCGGGATCCCTTTTTTTGGGGGGGGGGGGGGGGGGGGGGGGGGGGGGGGGGGGGGGGGGGTGGGGGGAAGGAGGGGGGAAGGAAGGGCGGGGGGCGGGGGGGGGGGTGAAAGGGGGACTAGCGACACGATAGATCGGTTTCTGAGTTACGGCACGTGGTACTTTGCAGTGCTTTGCCAGTGTAGCAGTACCAGGACCCAAGCACATCCCATGTTGGGACGCACATGGAATCGACCTCAGTCATCGATGGCTTTCGGAGCTCTGTGCGTCAACAGGGTACTTGTGCGCGCGTTGCGCCGGAGAACCTTCTTTTCACAAGTTCTTGGCTCACCCCAACGATCTTGCGCAGTACACCTGGGCCCAAGACCCTCCTGCTGCGCCTGCACCTCCTGCGACAAGCCGCTAAACTAGCAAATTCTCACAGACGGTCACGAGTTCTAGGGCTGTTGCTTGCTTGTACGACTTGAGCTACACGCGAGCTTCGTGTCTTGGGCCAGTTTAGGATGAAATTGAAAACTGTTTTTGCTAAGCAGTTGCCTCCTTGCCCCGACTCTGCATGCGTGTCCAATGGACAGCATAGATATCCACACATAGCCCAAAGCACAACTTACAACGACATGACCCAATAGAGCAACATCCAACCATCACCATGCGGGGGTCCTCGTTCATGTGTTCCCACCCTCATTTGGGGGCCTTGGCCCTATGACAACACAGCTCCTGGCTGGGAATTCCAACAATATTTCTGCGTGCTGTGAACTCCGCTGAATAGAGACATCCACGATTCATGCTTTTGCTCAGATTGTTACGTGCTGCCAGTTGATAGGAAGATGACTAGACAAGGTCATGAATGCGTAGGTTGTAGCAAACATGAGCAATCCATCCGCAAAGGGCGACTCCCAAATTCCAGCGCACGTTGTTACGAAGGGAATGCGGGAACGAATCTCGAACATAACAAGGTTGCGATGGGTTCATTCATGTACCCTCCAACAAACCACGCCGCACAAGAAAACCCCCCAAACCCTCGAGTACCATCCAAAACCAACGAACTCGAGTCCGAAGCTAACCCTAAACCCTAAGCCAGACACTGTGTTAGAGGATACTACTTGCAGTGCATTATAGTGCGTACTATCCCAAACCGTGCAAACCGTGGGAAGCAAAGGATGCGCACCTTCATGGAGCTGCCGCAGGCACTGGCAGCCTTTAGAATCGGCTTGTGGGTCGAAGGGTCTGTGATATTCTCACGGATGACCGCTGCGAGGGCGATTTCTGGACCCGCTGAGAACCCAACAGCCCGAACCTCGCAGCACCCTAGACCCTAAACCATCTGCACCTTTAGTAGATTTATCCTTGCAGGGCTGGTTGGTGATCTAAGGTGTGCTTGACTTGTTGGCTTATCGGACTAGAATCTCATTTCTGTTGTCTATGATTACGCCATGAGATCCCAATGTGGTTTGGTATCAGGGCTGAAGACCTAGAACTGGAGCCCTTCGCTCCCCGCGGCCTCCATGTGGCCCTCGCTGGGCGAGGCCGCCTTGAGGCCAGCTTTGCGGCTGTCGGAGAGCTGGACGGGGTTGGGGTGTGTTTGGGATTCTAGGGGGAGGATCAGTCCAGTCCGCCAAGTAACACAGCCTGCCTTTTTGCACGGGGCCACGGCCTGGCGCAATCGGGTGCGTCGGCATCCAGGTTTGGGGGTGTTGGGCTTTGGGATGCTTTGGGCTCAGCCCTGACCTGGAGACTTGGGTTGTGGCTCACCTATTCTTCATGTCATGAGGGCACCTGATGTGGGTTGAGAGAGGCAGGTCAGAGAAGCAAGATGCCCTGTTCTTTGGGGACCTTCTCTCTTTATCTGACCCCACCGCACCCAAGAAAAGATTGAAACTCATTTTATCTGCTAGCTCGAAAAAGCTTGGGAAGTCTCTGTCGAGTGTGTGGTGAGCACATGCCCGCTCTTCCCATGTCAGGTCTCCCAACTTACACAAGCGGCGGCCTTGCTGTCGGGCTTCTCGAGGTGCCCGAGCAGCATAGGCAGCGCGGGCAGCTCCTGTGGTCAGGAAAGCGGCAAGGCCGCTTGCAGCGGTTGCAGAGTTGCAGAAGGATGGACCCGGCGCTGCCCGGTACTGCTTAAGTCAGAGACACTCCAAAGCGTCGCACGCAAAAGCGACGGCAAACAATGGCAGTACTCTTCTTTCAATATGCACTGCGGATAAGAGCTACAGCGGTAGGAGCAAGGGTCACGACCTTAATCGCAAGCAGCCAGTTCCGCGAAGCTACTGCTTGTCGACTCGCGTGCGCCTCTGCACCCATCGGCAGATCCACCTAGTGTGCACGCGCACACTTGCTGCAAGACTTATGTTGTGATGTCTCGGGCAAGAGATGCGCCCTCCTAGGCGGATCATGGAGGCTGGTTGGATACCTCCATGTTTCCTTCGGTCACTGCAGCTCCCCTGAAATGGATAGCCCAACCGGAATTTTTCAAGGATTGACATAGCCACAGTAGGGCAAAAAGGATGCAGAACCAACATAACAAGAATGACAATCTTGTCAGTTTTCCTATTCTGGATGCCTTGATGCCGCGCTGCCCGAAACTCATGGCCACGATCTTCTGCACCTGCAGAAACGTGGTCTGGAATGCTTGCTATTCGTTCTAAGAAGCCTTGAAGCTGAGACCAAGCGAGTGGATCGTGAACATTCAAACAATCCAGTACAACAAAAGATGGCAGTAATCTTCTTTCAATATGCACTACGGACAAGAGTTACAGTGGTAAGAGCAAGGGTCACGACCTTAATCGCAATCAGCAAGTTCAGCGAAGCTACTGCTTGTCGACACACGTGCGCCTCTTCACCCATCGGGAGATCCACCTAGAGCGCACGCGCATACTTGCTGCAAGACTTATGTTGTGATGACGGGTGTTCCCAGATGTTGCAAGCATGCCTGTAAGAGAATGGATACCAGCATGATTTGCGTTCTTTTGGGGGGGCGCGGTTCTTGAAAAACTCACTTTTGCATGCGTTCCAGGACAGCAGCCATCTTTCTCATTTTTGTGACAGTGTTCATGGAGCCGGCAAACTTGCAAACATCAGTGTTTCGGTGATGGCGACTGCGTCGGCTGAGGCCCGAGATCTGAGGCGGCGTTTTGGTGATCTGCATTCGAAAGCCAGCGCATGAACACAAACAGGCCTGTAGGTCTCGATTCTCCCCATCTTCCCAGCGGTTGCCGCGGTGGCCCCGGATCACAACCTTGAAGTCCATCCTGGCGTGAAGGTGGGAAGGCAATTGCTCATCTACCTCGCGACGACGGGGATTCCGGAAGCCCCTTACACACCCAAATGACACTCCTTGAACATGTTTTGATGAATTGCTATCATCACCCGCATCCCGAGAAATATGAAAGTATCACAATCCTCGGCACGGTGACAGCTATCATTGAACTTATCACCTGTTTATCCTGTACATCCTTCTTAACCTGTCGCATCAGCTTGAGTTGCGCCAGGGTTCGCCGACTGCATACAATAGTTCCCGTTACGACTGTGGAGAAGTCATGACCAACATTCTAGCTGTTGCCATGTCTTTCTGCACACGAGATTCTCCAATTCCATCCAAAATCACAAGTTCGCCCAAAACCCTTAAAGACCCCCTTAAAAAAAAAGCGGGGAAGCGGTCCTGCTGGCGATTGGCAGCTTCACAGCCTTTGAAGTCCAATGCGGAAACGTCGCAGAGGAGGTGAAACAAGGAAGAGCCTGGCAGACACTTAAAAGGTTACAAGCTTCGTGCATGTGGGGGGTTTTGGCTTCAAGGTTTGAAATGGGGATCAACAAAGATTGGGAGCACATAGCGGGCCCTAATCTTGGTTGTGAACACGGCTTGCTGGAGGAGTGGTATAATTAAGGCTTGCAATAAGAGGAGGAATCAACTTCCAAGGCCTCCGCAGGGTTCCAGGCGCCCAGTTCTTTGCAAGCGCCCACGATGAAGACTTGCTCGCCTTCTCTAGGGCATCAGAACTCTTGTTGGAATCTCTGCCTATCTCTGCCTACGCATCCTGCACTCAGCCAAGCCGTTTGGAACTGCCGCTACCTGGCAGAAGTCCTGGAAATCGAAAGGTAAGGATTTCGTCTGCCAACTATCGTTGCTACTCACCATTACTCGCACTTGTCTGCAAGTGTGGCAGCTGCGCTACAAAACAATGTACTCTCCTGGCCCCAGGCCTGGTGCTGTGCAGGTGCACTCCACACGGAACACCAGATCCATGGCAGCAGCCATTGCTGCCGCTACCGCTCTAGAAGCCCTGGTATGTGGCAACCGAATCCCTAAATAATCATTGCATCATGTGCCACTCACACATGCCTGTCTAAATTCCCTCCCTACATACGCTTTACTATACAGTACACCGGTTGTCATTCTTGCAAGGACGCTTGAGAATTCGTCTTCTCTTGATGAATCACGCAAGCACACGTGAAAAATCGGCAAGCCCTTGGCTGCAGGACAGGAACACGGACCAAAGGCGCAACATCTTACAGTACCCGAATCTCTCCTCATTAGTCCCGAAAGATGATCTTTCGCTTAGTCGTTGGATCAAGCTGCTGCAATTCATTTCGGGAAGTGCAGCTCTAAGTGTTTTGGAGGATTCATGGCGGAAGGCAGATTCGCGACAGCTTCCGGATGCCTCGGCCTCGTCCTCCTGCCAACGCAGGCCCAAGCAGCATCAAAACATATCAAATTGAATCCAGAAAGCCCTGACCAGCCTCCATTTCCGCTGCAATGGCGGCCGCGCTGGCAGTTGAGGGTACTGCCTGCGATTCTGCAATTGTCATCGTGCGCAGTTCCGGTCACATCGCTGCCAAGCAACGGCAGCTTCTGCTTCGCCCCACTCTGATTATCTGATTCAAGCTCAACATGCGCCTCTGCCATATGCTCCGAAGCCGAAGCACGTTGGGCTCATCCAGCAGCTCCTGACGCTGGATTTGCGATGTGCTTAAACTGGAACGCTAAGACAGCGTCTGGTAAAGCAGTGCCCTGCTCGGCCGCAATTCACAAGTAACATCGTCCCAACATGTCCCAACGTGGGACTGCATCTTAAACCCTGGCCGGCTCCAGCTTGAGAATTGGCCATGGCCATGTTCTGTTCGCAGACCTCTCTCTACCCGTACGGGTACAACAGATTTTGCCCGGCAAGCCTGCACAAGGCTGGCAGGCCTTGTAAGTCCGCACATCCTAGACCTGCCCTCGGATCTCCTCCCCAGCTGCCCGGCTTTCCTTCGACCGCTTGCTGCGACCTGCAACAAGATGAGACTCTGAGACAGCCTGCCCAACGTGCAAGCGCAAGTCGTTGACATGTGTCATCAAAAAAGGCAAAGCCACAGACCACTCGCAGACCGAAAAGCAAGCTTGACTCCACTTGCAAGTTGTAGCTTGGCAAGTGCAAGAAACCTTTTGCAGGAACGAGGACTTTTCCAGCTCCGCGGCGCCAACCCCTTGAAGGCAATCAATCATCGTCTACGTTCAGACACGCCATTCGCGATGACTGCCCGGCGTGTCTCGCCGACGGAGTTCCTCATCAGCACATCACTCTCTTCCAAGAAGACACTCTTTCCAAGGGTGGCGTTCAGTTCCGCTGCGCATGTGTTGGGCTGAGTCATCTCGTTGTAAGAGTAGAAGACGTCTTGAACTAGCAAGCAGTACTCGCAGCCATTGGCATTTGGAAGGCCAAGTTGCGCCGTAACGCGAAAATGAAGACATGAGCTTCACAAGCAATCGGCTTTACAGGCCTGCTCCAGGCTAGCCTCGTGGGCATTGAGTCGCAGCCTGGGACCAATCAAATATACCCGGGTTACCAAGACGGCCACCCACTTGCCCCCTCTGGGGCTCCGGCAGGTTGTGCCCGTGGAGCTTCACATCCCACACCCACGGCACGTTGCCCAGCATCCGGCCTAAGAGCGAGCAAAGCCAACAGCCGACAGGAACGCCATCACTTCCCCAGGGCGAGGACCGGCCGCTGCTGTTGCCTCTGGCGTCGTCATCTGGAACGTGCCTGGCCGAGCAAAACGCTCACGAAACAAACAAGTTACCCATAGGTACCCCTGCCATCTTCCGCTGAGCCACAGATAAACGTCTTCGAGACGAACAGCTGCAGGCGGCGCTTGGCCTCTGTATTTGGCATGTGCGCTCAGGATACACGTAGGTCGTCACAACCCGCCACCGTTGAAACCGTACCCTATTTGTATTGAAAGCTTTTCGCCTAGCCGAAGTGCTTTGTTTCATCTGCCTACAAGCAAGGCCGATGTTTGAGGGTGTCGTTGCGAAAACGTTGGGTTTTTGCAGGAGTTTCATATCGTTTTGTTGGTTGGTGCTGCAGACTTTTTTGTTGTGTGTGCGTCTTCCGGCTTTCGGGTTGTCGGGGGCAAAGCTTTGCAACAGCTTTGCCGGTCTTGACAAGCAAATCAGAAGCAAAAAAACTGTAAATAGCAGTGCTTGCGGCATGTTCGCAAAAGGCATGATCAACTGGTAACTTGTGCATGAACGCTTGTGACGACAACGCGTCTGGGTGCAGAAACATCAAACATAGTCTTTTGTTCTTTTGTGGCAGTGCGTCTTGTTCCGGAAACATCAAACATCCTGGTGCAGCTTGTTGTATAGAGGAGCAAAAGGGCTGTAAATACAGGTGTTTGGGGCATGGTTAGACCATGGTCGTAAGCAAACCCCCCACCCACCCACCCACCCACCCACCCCCCAACCCCAGAGAAACACTAAACACCGGGCACGGTTTCACCGCATGCATACACAAGCGCGGCTCTACACCGCCAAGCCAAGGCGAGCAATATCCCGGACGACCTGGCCTGGCGAATGGCCGCAGGGGCGCCCCGCAACCGGATGGACGTCGCCGTCGCGTCCATCCTGTGCTGCTCCAACTCTTGCACTGCAATAGCGGCTACCGGATGCTAAGCCGCTAAGCAAGCCAGGGCGGCTCCATCGTGCAGCTCTCGGCGGCCTGCGACCACAGCTTATAAGCTGTAACAATTTGGGCAAACCCATGAATTTGGTGCCAACACGCACCTTGATGGCAGGGTCTTCGCCATTTGGGCCGCGCTCCATCATTACCTTAGATACATCAGGGTCGAAATCGACAAACAAGGATCAAGTCGGGAACCAGGAAACTGTGATTCGGGAAATCAAAGACCCCCCGAGGCCCTTCCGACAAACAGGAGCTGCGGATTTTTCTCAACGTAAGATTTTCAGAGTATTATCAGAGTATCATCCGCCGCTCCCCATCCGGCAGTTTCCCGAGCCGCGCATTGTGTCATGCAGGTACGCATGCTCTCAGAGTGGACCGTGCTGACGGGATCCTTGTGGTTGGGGGAAGGGGGAGGGCGACAATGAACTCACTAGAGACACGATAGATCGCAGCTAGTTTCTGCGTCACGGCACTTGCCATGCCGCAGCGGCACTTTGCAACGTTGAATGCAACTCATCTCATGTGCGTGATCTGCTTTGCAAGTGTAACGGCAACCAGGACCGAGGCTGGTCCCATGTTGGGACGCAGATGGAACCGACCTCAGTGATGGCTTTCGGAGCTCTGCATGTCAACAAGGTACTCATGAGCACTTGGAATTTCACAGGTGTTCTTGGGTCACCCCAAGGATCTTGTGCATTGACTCTGGGCCCAAGACCCTGCTGCTGTGCTTGCGCCTCCTGCGACAAGCGCTTAAACTATCAAATTCTCACATAGGGTCACCAGCTCCAGGGCTGTTGCTTGCAGGGCTTCAGCTACACGCGAGCTTAGGGAACTGAGGCCGGTTTAGGATCAAATTGAAAATGGTTTTTGCTAAGCCATCCTGTCTGCGGCGGGGGGGGGGGTCTCGTCATGTTTTCCCACCCTCCAGGCTGTGCACTCCCAAAAAATCCTCCGTGCCGCGAACTCCGAATAAAGAAAGAGAGACATCCACGATTCATGCTTTTGCTAAGATTGTAGAGGGATGGGGAAGATGACTGAAGAAGGTCATCCAGAGGTAGCTGTAGCAAACATGACACGGCAATCCATCCGCAAAGGGCCACCCCGGAATTCCGGCAGGGTCTGGACTTCAACCATCCCCTTGTTACGTAGGGAACGCGGGAACGATTCTCAAACAGAACAAGGTTGCGATGGCTGTTGAAAGCCACCCCTTGTGCAGGGCGCTCTAGCCAAGGGTTTCATTCATGCACCCTCCGACACAAAACCACTGAACTCGAGTCCGAAGCTAACCCCAAACCCTAAGCCAGTAGATACTGTATTAAAGCGGGGCGTGCTAGCAGCATCATACCACAGCAATTCAGCCAGTAGAGTATAAAACTGCTAGCTTACTAGCTCAGCGCCTTCGACACAAGACTGCGGGAGACACAGCTTTTTGGGAGCTTGCCTACACTGCTCACAAACAATGGCAGCGGGGAATGCGCACCTTCATGGAGCTGCCGCAGCCCGAGGCGGCCTTTAGAATCTTGGGCTTGTAGGTCGAAGGAGTCGGTAGTATTCTCACGGATTTAACTAGTCCGCCGACCCCAGCAACAGCGGGGCGGCGTCAGTGAAGACCCTCCCTGCCCTCACCGCAACCTCTTCCCCCTTCCCCTTCCCAACCATAACTACTCCGCTCCTCACCGATCTCTGCTGTTTCAGGGCCAATCCACGCCCGCCCTGACCGCTCCCCCCACTCCAGCCCTGCCTTCCACCCCCCAACTCCCCAATCCCCTCACCCTCCCCCCCCCCCACCCACCCCACCCCTCTGCAGACCCGATCAGCTGACTGACTTTAAAGGGCTCCGCCCTTCCCGCCCGCACCCCCCCCCCACCCCCCCCCCAAAGACCCTCCCTGCCCTCACCGCAACCTCTTCCCCCTTCCCCTTCCTAACCATTCCACCTCTCCACTTGGTCTTGCCTTTTGCCCCTAACCTCCGACCACCAATTTTTCCCTTGCCCCCCCTCCCGCTACCCTTCCCCTTCCCCAACCATTCCACTCCATCCTCCTCCCCTACCCCTTCCCCATCCCTGCCCCCCCTCTCACCGTACCCCAATCCACCCACCACCAACCCCTTCCCCGCCCCTAACCCTCCCACCACCAACCCCTTCTACAACCATTCCACTCCATCCTCCTCCCCTACCCCTCCCCCATTCCACTCCAATCCTCCTCCCCTACCCCTCCCCCATCCTGCCCCCCTCTCACCGTACTCCAATCCACCCACCACCAAACCCTCCCAACCAACCCCTTCTACCTTAACTTCCAACCATTCCACTCCATCCTCCTCCCTACCCTTCCCCCATTCCACTCCATCCTCCTCCCCTACCCCTTCCCCCATCCCTGCCCCCCCCTCCCACCGTACCCCCAATCCACCCAACACCAACCACTGCCCGCCCCTAACTCCCACCACCAACACCTTCCCTGCCCTTCCCCCCCACCCCCCACCCCCCCCCCCCCCCACCCCCCCCCCCACCCCCCCCCCCCCCCCCCCCCCCCCCCCCCCCCCCCCCCCCCCCCCCCCCCCCCCCCCCCCCCCCCCCCCCCCCCCACCCGCTCCCCTTCCCCATCTCTGTCCCCCTCTCACCGCTTTCACCCGCTCGCCACCCCGCCCCGCCCTTCCCGCCCGCTCCGCCCACCCTCCCCATCGCCCCCTCACTTCCCTCACCATCACCGTCCCCCCAACCCCCCCCCCTGGCCAACTGGCCCCCAATGTGCTTAGGGTTTCGGGGTTTGTGGCTGCAGGTAAGGGTTTCGGTTTTAGGGTTTAGAGGTTCTTAGGTAAGGTTTGGTTTAGGGTTTAAGGACGTTTGGTTGAGGGTAGGGTTTAAGCGTTTTGTGGTTGAGGGTTGAAGGTTTTAGGTTGTTCTTTTGCGTGTGAGGGTGAAGGTTTGGCCTTAGTAAGGAAAACGAAACATGTGGCTGAAACGTTTGCGGCACGATGTGGAACATCACGTATGTACGGGGGTCAAACCTTTTGTTTGCAAACAAAAAAACACTTACGGCTCTTGTTCTCAATGTCTTCTTCAGAAAATGCTCCAAGTTTGGGGCTCCGAGATCAAAGTTGCATACCGCATCAGAGGGCTCTGTCCAAGGATTGAAGTGGCAAATTTCTTGGTCTGTACAAAGAATGAAGCGGCAAACCCATAGGTACGTAAGCAGAAATCCAGGCCCAGATGCAACGATGGCTACAACCTAGACCCTGATGGATTTAGGGCTTGGGGTCTAGGGTTTAGGGTTTACTGGGTTTAGGGTTTAGCGGGTCTCGAGGTTTAGGAATTGGAGCTCAGGAGGGTTTAGACCTTGGAAAATTTGGGGTCGGCGGCACTGGCGGTAGCCATTAAATCGGGCAGCGCGAGGTCCCCAAAGGACCGAGCAAATGCGGACCTTTTAGCCCGGGTCGTCCCGGGAATAGCCTTGCTGGCCTCTGGCCTTCTGCGAAGCAGAATTAGGCCGGACGCCAGTGCCGCCGACCCCCGCGTGCCGCCGGTGAACGGTTTTTTTTTCGTGGTTTTTTGCGTCGCCACGGAAGCCCCCAGAGGGCGCGCATCATGAGCATCAGCGGGCCCAGCCCGGGACCCCCAGGCGCGCATCAGGAGCATCAGCGGCTCCCGGGGCGGGACCCCGGGGGCGCATCAGGAGCATGATGCCCCCCAAGGGGCGGGCATAAGCGACGTGTCTAAGCCCGGGGCTAGGAAAAAGGGAGTTTAGGGGCCTTATAAAGTGCTTAGAAACGTTAAGGGAGTCTAGGAGCCTCAAACGCTTAGAGATTTGAAGGGAGTTTAGGGGCCTGAAAATGCTTAGAAACTTAACGCTTAGAGATTTTAAGGGAGTTTAGGGGCCTCAACATGCTTAGAAACTGCTCGCCCCGGGCTTCTGCGTGCGCTGCCCGCCCATGGGCGCAGCCCCTTAAAATATTCTCACGGATTTAACTTAAATATATTTTTTTTAGGGGGGGTATATGGCAGTATACTGTCGGAGACTACGGCATGCTTCGACACACTGTACCGGCATACCAAGATCTTCAGTACAGAGAGCAGTCCCTCTCCTCCTTCTCAAACACAACTGGATTCATGGCTCGGGGTGTGGGGTGCCCGGCCTCCAAAAACATGCGACGAGATCATCGCCACTAAGCTTTGCAAAGCTGCAGCACTTTACGATTGCATTTGCCATCCACCTCCATGAGTCAGAAGAGATGAATAGCCAGCTCGGTGGAAACAGCATAGCCAAGAGTATTGGCGGCCGTAGACTCCACACCCTACACCCCAAAAACCCCCTAGAAACAGGAGCCATTGACGTGCTCCGCGGCCTCCACATGGCCCTCGCTGGCCGGGGCCGCCTTGAGGCCAGCTTTGCGGTTTTTCGGGATCTGGGGGGCTTTCAAGGGATTCAGAGCCGCAGGGGGTTGGGGCAATTTATAGTCGGCTGCAAACCACATGAACCTTCAAACATAGAACGGGTTGCCAACCCCACGCCACCCGCCCCTCCTCCCCAAACCCCCTGCCTTTGCCGGGAAGAGGCCGAGCTTGCACGGCGCCGTGGCCTGGAGCAACGGGGTGCTTCGGATTCGGCATCAGGGTTTAGGGTTTGGGGCTTTAGGCTCAGCTTTTCGGCGGCTTGGGAGGGTTTGCGACCGGTTGGGGCCTGTGTTTGCAGTAGCAGAAGAAGCTCTATTGGGATCACGGGGTCTTCGTAAGCGGCTGAAACTTTCGGAGGTCTTTGGAATATGCCTCCAGGCACCTGATGGTGAATCTCAACAAGCGGGGCTCAGGACTTCGGGTTGAGAGACGCAGGCCAAGGAGCAGGGCCGTTTTTGGAACTTCTCTCTCAGTGTAACCCCACGGCACCCAAGCAAAGATTCGTTATATTTTATATGCTAGCTCAAAAAAACTTGGAATGTTCTCAGCCGACTGTGTGTTGAATACATGCCAATGGCAAGTCTTCCAACTTGCACATCACCCCAAGGTGTGCTCGATGGTCTCTCTTGCTGCCAGAGGAAATGCCACTCATGCCCCAAGCATCTGCAAGCCGCAAAAAGCGGCGGCCTTGAGGTGCACTGGGTGGCCGAGCAGCACGGGCAAGCCCTTTGTTCACGAAAGGCGTAAAGGCTTTTCAGTGGTTGCAGAATTTCAGAAGGATGGACCCCGGCACTCATGAGTCAGAGACACTCCCAACCGTCGCAGGGATGCGATGGTTCACAACTTGAAGTGGAAAGTCAGCGGCCATACCGTCCAAAAAGCTAGGGCCCCGACTGGTGCTAGCTTAGATGGGGCTTTGCAGAAAAACGCACCGTCCATGAGCATTCGTGAGGATTTCATGAGCATGCTCAATGAGTTCTTGTTGGGAGCGTGTGCACAGCCGGAAGGCTGGGCAGGACTTCTATGGGAGGCAAGCTAGCTCCTGCCGCAAAAAGACCAGGGTTTTACTTTGGCGACAGCTTTTGCGTGCATGTCATGTGACGACACGAAGACGGGCACGCTATGCGGTGGTCGCGAGCCGGACAGGTGCCGGCCGGCCTGTGGCAAAGCCTGGCCGTGTCCTGAAAGTGGGGCCTGCACACGTAACTTCTCTGATGGAACCCGAGGCAACCGGGCCCGAGGCCCTGGCGGGTTGAGCAGCATCTTCATCCTGCATGGACCCAAGCTGGAAAAACCTACTGAATCTGTTTGGGCGCTCCCCTGCCCCAACGCCTGGAGTTTAAGGTTTGGGGGCTGAGAGTAGTGTTCGGGCCAGCCACCGCATACTGCGCACACAGCTGTCGGGGAAGAGATGCGCCCTCCTACGCGGATCCTCAAGGTTGGTTGGATACAGGTTGGATAGTTTCATGTTCAATTCAGTTACTGCAGCTCCCCTGACATGGATAGCCCAACCGAAATTTTCAAGCAGGTGGGCAAAAGGATAGCAATCATGGCTGCAGTACCATCCTATAAGAATGACAATCCTGTGGGTTGTCTACTCCGGACGCCTGGATGCCAGGCTTCCCGAAGGTGAGGTTCACCATCTTCTTCGCCTCCAGAAATATGGTATGGAATGTTCGCTGCTTGTTCTAAGAAGATGAGACTAAGTGATCGGATCCGTCAACATTTGAGCAGCAACCACCCTGCAGATCAACAAAGATGGCAATAAAAATATGCACTACGGATAAGATTACAGCAGTGAGAGATGCGCCCTCAAATATCCCAAAGTCACCGCGGGTCGCGACCTCAATCCCAAGCAGCCAGCTGAGCGAAGCTACTGCTTGCCGACATGGGTGTGCCTCAGCATCCGCCGGAAGCTCCACCTCGTCTGCACACGCACACTTGCTACAAGACTTACGTTGTGATGACGACAAGTACCTACAGGTGTTCCCAGACTTTTGCAAGAATGCCGGTAAGCCAACCCAACCATTGGAGTTGCATTCTGAAGGTCAGTGGCTCCGGCACAATCAAAGCCCTAGCTGAGTCCAATAATTGCAAGCCTTCGGTGGCCAAAATTAGGAAAAGCTTTGCCTTATCTTGGCAGTCCATTGGGACTCTGAATTAGTTTAGGGTTGAGGGAATGGATACCCGCATGATTGGTGTGTTTTGGTGGCGTCAGTTCTTGTGGTTCTTGAAAAACTCACTTTTGCAAGCGCTGCAGGACAACAGCCATCTGTTTGGTAACAGCGTTCAGAGAGCGGAAACATCTGCTGCGGCGTGTTTGTGATCTGCTCTGGAAAGCGCATCAACAAACACGCAAACAGGCCTGGAGGATTCGATTCTCCCCTTGTTCCCATCGGTTGCCGCCGTGGCCACGGATCACCGCTTTGAAGTCAATCCTCGCGTGAAGGCGGGAAGGCACGTGCTACCACGTGCTCTACCTCTCGGCGACGGGGTCCTTGACCTTGCTATGATTGCACACCATGTGCATCCCAAGCATCAACGTACTGCAAGTATTTTCGGCAAGGCGACAGCTATCATAAGCTGATCACGTATTCCTGTACGTCTTTCTAAAGCTGTGGCATCAGCTTGAGTTGCGCCAGGGTTCGCTGACTGACTGCATACATTTGTTTCCACTACGAGTGTGGAAAGTCATGACCAACATTCTAGCGATTACCATGTCTTTCTGCACATCTCCAATTCAATCCAAAACCTCTTGAAAAAAACCCACAGGGGAGCGGTCCTGCTGCCGATTGGCAGCTTCACAGCTTTGGAAGTCCAATGCGGAAACGCCGCAGAGGATGTGAAACAAGCCAGGCCCTGGCAGACAATTTAGGGTTTAGGGTTTAGGGTTTAGGGTTTAGGGTTTAGGGTTTAGGGTTTAGGGTTTAGGGCTTAGGGCTTAGGGTTTAGGGTTTAGGCTTTAAGGTCAAGAGTTTCGGGTTTGGGTGGGGGAGGGGTTTTGGGCTCATCTTGAGTGCAAGTCATTCCATGGTTTTGGGTCGGGTCCTTGATTTTGGGCTGAACAAAAGTTGGGAGTATCTGGCGGACCCTGATCTTGGTTGTGCGCGCGTCTTGCTGGAGGAGTGGTATAAGGCTTGCAATAAGAGGAGGAATCAACTTCCAAGGCCTCCGCAGGGTTCCAGGCGCCCAGTTCTTTGCAAGCGCCCACGATGAAGACATTCTCGCCTTCAAGGCCCGGCATCAGAACTCCTGCTGGAATCTCTACCTACGCATCCTGCACTCAGCCAAGCCATCTGGAACGGCCGCTACCTATCGCTACCTCGTATTTTCCCTGGAAATCGAAAGGTAAGGATTGCATCTGCCAACTAATCGGTGCTGCTCAATATTGCTCGCACTTGTCTGCAAGTATGGCAGCTTCGCTCATAAAACAAGTACTCTCCAGGCCCCAGGCCTGGTGCTGAGCAGGAGCAATTCACGCGAAAGACGACATCCATGGCAGAAACCATTTTTTCTAGAAGCCCTGGTATGGGAACCAACCCCTATGATCCCCTTGGGTGAGAAACACGTAGCAACCGAATCCCGAAATTGTCATAGCATAGTGCCACTCAACAATGCCTGCTTAAAACTCCTCCCTACATACTCTTTACTATTCGGTAGTACAGTACACCCGTTGTCATCCTTGCAAGGGCGCTTGAGAATCTGTCTTCTCTTGATGAATCGCGCAAAGCACACGTGAAATCGGCAAGCCCTTGGCTGCACCACAAACAACACGGACCAAAGGCGCAGCAGCATCTGACTAGAGTGCTTCAAGAACATGCGTTACAGTACTCGAGACTCTCCTAATCCAGAAAGATAGTGTTTCACTGAATCTTTCAATCAAGCTTCTCCTGTTCATCTCGGGAATTGCTGTTCCAAGAGTTTCGGACGGAGCACTGATCACGGCAGCTTCGGGATGCCTCGTATTCGGTTGCGACGTACCAGGGCTTCTACGGCAGCAGCAATGGTTTCTGCCATGGATGTGGTCTTCTGTGTGGACTGGAGCAGTCCACACGGAAGACCACATCCATGGCGGAAACCATTGCTGCCACTCCAGAAGCCCTGGTATGGGAACCATAGTGGTCCGTGGCCACTGCGGCGGGTATTCTGGCAGCTCCTTGCACAGCCAAATGACACTCTTTAAACATGTCTTGATTGCTACCAACATTCGCATCCCGAAAAGTGTAAAGATGTTGCAGTATTCGGCACGGTGACAGCCATCATTAAAACTTCTCACGTGTTTATCCTGTACATCCTGCTTAAGCTGTGGCATCAGCCTGAGTTGCCTGCATACATTAGTCCTTAGTCTCCATGACTATTGCGGGAAAAAGCCATGATCAATATTCTGGTTGCCATGTCTCTTTCTGCACGTGAGATTCTCCAACTGGATGCCAGGATTCCAATCTAATATCACAAGTCCCCCCCAAAATCCCAAAACAAACAGAAGGGAGCCGTCCTGCTGCCGATTGGCGGCTTCACTGACCTTGTTTCACATCCACCGCGACGTTTCCGCGGTGAACTTCTAAAGCCGTGAGCTTTGAAGTCTAACGTGGAAATCTCGCGGTGGATGTGAAACAACGTAGGGCCTGGCAGACACTTCAGGGTCAAAAGCCTATTGTTTGGGGTTTTGGCTGTAGGGTTTTGTCATTGCAAATGGGGATCGAGCAAGATTATTGGACCCCAGTCTTGGTTGTGAACACCTGGCAGACACATTAGACACATTAGGGTTAAAAGCTTTGTGTTTGGGGGCTTGGCTTGAAGGTTTTTTGGGCAACGAACAAAGACTGGCAGGATATAGTGGACCCTAGTCTTAGTTGTGAACATGGCTTACTGCAGGAGCGGCACAAGGCCTGCAAGAAGGGGAGGAACCAACTACGAGTCCCAAGCGCCTCTGCAGGGTTCCAAGCTCCCAAGCTCCCAGTTCCTTGCAAGAGGCGACGATGAAGACTTGCTCGCCTTCAAGGCCCGGCATCGGAGCTCTTGTTGGATTTCTTGTTTATGTATCCTGCACTCAGGCGAGCCATCTGGAAACTTGAAAGCTAAAAATCGCTTCTGCCAACTAATCTTTGCTACTCACAAATTTCTCATACCTGTCTGCAAGTATGGCCGGCTGCGCCTATGTTGACCTCCCGGAATGCGAGACGTCGTTTACTTGGTTACTTGGCCGGCCTGGCCATCCACTCCAAACTGTTGATCTTCTGCTGCCTCGGCACCTTCCGGTGGCATGGAGTCATGAAGGGGGATCCATGAAGGGCTCCTGCTACAAGATCTCTTGTTCGAGATGCCAGAGGGCCAAGGCGCCAGGTTCCTAACCTGCAGTGCCTCGCCCAAACTTTCTGGACGCGCTGTGCACTGCGTGCACAAGTGCCCACTCCACCCGTCTCCACTGTTGCATCAGGCCTCGGCGTCCTGGGGATGATCATCGCTGAGCTGGGACACAGAGTCCTGCGACGGCCAGTCTGACGAATCAATCTAGCGATCCGCTTCTCGCATTCCCGCGACATTGAAACTGAGCAGGAACTGACAAGGTTTCCAGGGGCTTTCCGAGAGCTGTCCTCGCTGGATGGCATGCGCGGCCACGTGTGCAAGACAACACTATTCCACTGCGAACTCAAGCTATCTCCTGTATCGAATGCCTTCTGCACCGTGTGGCATGGTCATGGCAAGTTTCACAACGCTTGAGCAAGCTGGCGATGAGTCCTTGAGTTTCTTTCAGCATGTTGGCTCAGTTTGCTCACCGACATGTGCGACATCCACTTACATGTGGCACTCGCTCACAGCCTGTTTTTGCGGGGTGGGGGACGAGTAAGGGGCATGGCAGCGCCCCAGCTGAGCAGACACAATGGCCACGTGCAATTATGGACCTGAAACTCAGCCAAAACTTGCCTCGCAGGCAGGCTGCTTCAGTCTTTGTACAATGCCCCGGTGCTGGACGCACTGAGGAAGAAGCATCCGTGCAGTGGTTTAGAACACGGTTTGGTAACAGAGCGGAAGTGCCTCTAACTGCGACTTGTTGAGGGACTGCTCGTGTTGCTACTCCAGGCCCTCTACTCGAAAGAACATCTGCATTCTTCATTCATGCAGACAACCATATCCACACTTCCACCCTGCCCCAAAACATCAGCGGAAAATGTTAAATTAAGATCCCTTTTTCAAGGCCCATTGCCCTTTAGGTGGGGGTCGTGCCTGAGACATGTGCTGGGATGCCCCGAAGCTGTCTCCACCACCATCTCCCCAGAGTGTGTCCACAGGTCCCCCTCCCGCCACTGCCCTCCTGGACAAGAACGGCGTCGGCGATGCTGCCGGAACCTCACCAGGACCGGTGGCCACTGTGGCTGGGGCTTGGGGGCCCAACTTGGGGGGCTTGGGCCGGGGCTTGGGCCGGGGCTTGGGCCGGGGCTTGGGCCGGGGCTTGGGCTTGGGCGCGCTGAGAGTCGCCACAACGGGCGCTGGTGCGCTGCTGCTTGGCGGGTGGCTTGATGTCCTCGAGGTCTTCGTGCGACCGCTTGCCGCGACCTGCAACGAGATGGGATATCTGAGACCGCCTGATCAACGTGCAAGCGCAAGTACAAGCCGCAGACCTACTTGCAAGTTCTAGCTTGGCCAATGCAAGAAACATCGGTAAGAATCACAGCGCTGGACGAGGACTTTTCCGGCTCCGCGCGCGCCAGCCCCTGAAGGGCAATGATCGTCTACTTTGCAGCGCGCCAGGCCGAAAAGCAACGGATGCTGCGATGGCTGCCCGGCGAGTCTCGGCGACGGAGTTCCTGACCAGCCGCACTGGACACATCACTGCTCTTCCAAGAAAAGATGCTTCCAAGGCTGTAATTACATGTGTGGGGCTGACTCATCTCATTGTACCAGTAGAAGAAGTCGCAGACAAAGTAAGAAGCAATCGCACTAACTGAATTTGGAAAGCCAAGCTGCAGCGTAGCTCGAAAATGAAGTCATTGAAGCGAAGACCTGCCGTCCGCAGTCGCTGGTGAATCCGGCTTGATACCACCAAGCCACTGCCACTGCTTCTGCACGCAAGACATGAGCTTCTCAAGCGATTCGTTTTGCCCGCCTGCTCCAGGCTAGCCTCGTGAGCGTGGAGTCGCAGCCTGGGACCACTTAACTACCAAGGCTACCGAGACGACCACCACCGGCCCCCTGGGGCTCCGGCAGGTTGTGCCCGTGAAGCTTGACGTCCCACACCCACGGCACCTTGCCCAGCATCCGGCCTAAGAGCGAGCCCAGTAGCGGACCGTAATGCCAGCACTTCCCCAGGGCGAGGACCGGCCGCTGCCGTTGCCTCTGGTGTTGGCATCCTGAACGTGCCTGGGCGAGGCAAACCGATCGCGAAACAAACGAGCTACCCTCGGTCTCTTGCTGCCATCTTCCGCTGAGCCACAGATGAAGGTCTTGGACACGAACAGCTGCAGGCAGCGCTTTGCCTCTTTATTTGCGCTCAGGAGAAACACATGTACATAACAAACACATGCGGATCTACGCCACAAGTCTAAGAAGGGCCATGTCCCCAACGACCAGGCCTTGCGAATCGCCGCAAGGGTGCCGTGCAGATGGATGCACGTCTCGCGCAGCCTGTGCTGTTCCAACTCTTGCACTGAAACAGCGGCTTACCGGATCACTAGCTAAGCAAGCCAGGTCGGCTCCAGGGTGCAGCCCTCGGCGGCCTGCGACCAAAGCTTCATTTTACGTGCAAACCCATTGAATTTGGCACCAACAGGCACCTTGATAGCCGGCTCCTCGCCGTTCGGGCCGTGCTCCAAAATCACCTTACGTACATCAGCCGCAGAATCGACAAACAAGGACCGAGTCGGGAACCAGGAAAGTGTAAATCCCGAAGGCCGTCGCACAAACTGGAGCTGCGGATTTTTGGACACTAGAAACCGCGGACTCGGGGAAATGCAGAACATGGAGTCAGAAAAATGCAGAGTGCTGGAAGCGAGACCGCCGATTGCGGTTGTTTTTTGTTACCAGCATAAGATAATCAGAGCATCATCCGCAGAGCCCCGCCTGCTGTTCCCGAACCGGGTAAGGGGGGGGGGGGGGGGGGGGAGGAAGGGTGGCAATGAATCCACTGGCGACACGATAGATCGCGGCTAGGTTCTCAGGTACAGCACGTGCCATGTGGCATCACGTTGCGGCACTTTGCAACGTTGCAGGCAGCGCATCTCATGCGCATGATCAGCTTTGCAAGTGTAGCGGTAACCGGGACCGAGGCTGGTCCCATGTTGGGACGCAGGTGGAAACGGCCTCAGTCAGCGATGTTGCTTGCGCGCATGGCGCCGGAGAACCTTCTTTTCACAAGTGGGTCACCCCAGCGATACAACCAAAAGACCCAACCGACGATTTTCTTGAGACCATCCAGTCCACCCTCAAAGGTGGGGGTTTGTGCAACTTGCGCAGTGCACCTGGGGCCCAAGACCCTCCTGCAGCGCCGGCGTCCCCTGCGACAAGCCATTAAACCAGCAAATTCTCACAGACCGTCGCCAGTTCCAGGGCTAATGCTTGCAGGACACAAACTTGAAAACTCGCCCAGTTCAAGATCCCATAGAAAATTGTTTTTGCGAACCATTGGTCTCGTCATGTTGTCCCACCTTCTTTTTGGGGGCCTTGGGCGTTGGCAATCCAGCGCATCCAGTGACAACGCAGCTCCCTGTGAACTCCTACAATACTTCTCCGCGCATGTGTAAACGAGACATCCACGATTCATGCTTTTGCTAAGACTGCAGAGCCCCATATGACCGAAAGGTACCTAAGAAGGTCATCCATATGGGTGAAGCAAACATGGCACCGCAATCGATCTGCAAGGGGCCGCTCCGGAATTCCAGCGCAGCCTAGACTAAAACCATCCCCTCGGTACGTAAAGAATGCGGGAACGAATCCAAAAAGAAATAAGGTTGCGATCGCCATTGAGAGCAACCCTTTGTGCAGGGCGCCCTCCAGCTACGGGTTTCATTCATGTATGCTCCAGCAACCACACAGCACAACAGAACCCCCAAACCCTAAAATATCATCCAAAGCCAACGAACTCGAGTCCGAAGCTAACCCCAAACCCTAAACGTGTAGATAATGTGTTCGAGTATACTACTTGCTACAGTGCGTACTAGCAGCATCATATCACAGCAACTGTACCAGTATAGTATAAGACTGCTAGCTCCGTGCCTTCGATGCAAGACGGGCCGAAACATCTGTGTAGGAGTTTGCCTACGCTGTTCCCAAACCACGGAAAGCAGAGGATGCACACCTTCACGGAGCTGCCGAACGCCGGGGCAGCCTTCAGAATGTTTGAGACATGTTCGATTTTGTGATGGGATCCTGCCGTTGCTACTACTACGGTACGCTCCAGCATACATCGTGCCACAACGTGCGCCACTACAGTATGCGGGCGTGTACGTTCGGAGACCACGGCATGCTATACAGACTGTAACACAGCTATGTCCATGGCTTGGCGTTTGGGGTGCCCGCCCTGAAAACCTGCAGATCAGCGCCACTAAGATCCCCTAAGCTTAGCCACGCTGCTGCACTCTGCTATCGCGTTTGCCGTCCACCCACCCCACCCCCCCACCGACCATGGCAATGGGCCCTAGACCTAAACCTTCTTCACCGTTAGAACCCCTTAGAACCCCAAGCCCCCCCGTCCAAGACAACAAGAGTAAAGTCCTCCCGTTTTGTATGGTGATGATCTAACGATGTACTTGACTTGTTGGCTTATCGGACTTACTATACCATACGGTCCCTATTTGTACTGTGTTTGCTGATGTTTTGGGGGGGGTATCAGGGCTGAGGGACGTGGACTCTACGGATTCGACACCCGAAAACTCCCCCCCTTGACGCGCTCCGCGGCCTCCACATCGCCCGCGCTGGGCGAGGCCGCCTTGAGCCGGCTGTGGGAGCTCAGAGCTGGAGGGGGTGCCTAGTTTTAGGGGAGGATCAGCCCAGTCCGCCAGCCTGGGGCGTTTAGATCATATATCCCAGCCGCATCCCGGACCTGGCTTCCTCCCCTCACAAACCTTGTCAAGCAACACAGCCTGCCCCATTTTTTCTCGGCACCGACGCTCCCCCCCAAAACTCCCCCGCCTTTGACGCGAAGAGGCCGAGATCGCAGGGCGCCATCGCCTGGGGCAATCGGGGCTTGGGCCGTTTGGGGTCTTTTAGGGCTTGGGAGGGTTTACCGCCGGTTGGGGTCCATGTTTGTATTTGGAGCTTCTTACATTCATGTGTCGAGTACATGTGCGCCCTCCCAACGTCAGAAACGCCGCACTCACATTCCCAAGCATCTGCAAAACGCAAAGCAGCGGCCTTGATGTCGGCCTTATGGACCGGGTTGCCAAGCAGCATGGGTAGCGCAGCCGGTTCCTGTGTTCAGGAAGCGGAGAGGCCGGCTGCCGTGGTTACAGAAAGTCAGAAGGATGGACCCTCCGTCGCACGGAAGCGATGGTTCCCAGCTTCAGATACAGTTGGAAAATGGACTATCCCGAAGTGTGTGTGTGTGTGTGTACCATGTGACGACACGCAAACGGGTACCCTGTGCTGCGGCGGCTCGCGACTCGCGCGCGCGCGCGCGCGCGCGCGCGCGCGCCGCCTAGCCGTGTCCTGAAAGTGGGGCCTGGACACGCAACTTCCGAGGCCACGGAACCCGAGGCCCTGGCGGATTCAGAGGCATCCTGCGTGGACCCAGGCTGGCAAACCTACTGCTTCTGCTTGGGCGCCAAAGCATTGAGTTTCAGGTCGGGGCTGAGGGTAGTGTTCGGGGCAGCCACCGCATTGGGTACTTTCATGCCCCACCGGAATATTCAAGGATTGACATAGCAACAGTAGGGCGAAAGGGCGCAGTACCAACATATACCAACATAGCAAGAATGACAATCCTCTGGGTTTTCCTACTCTGGATGCCTCGATGCCGGGCTGCCCGAAGCTTACAGCAATCTTCTTCGCCTCCAGAAATGTGGTCTGGAATGCTTGCTACTACTCGTTCTAAGAAGCTGAGACCAAGCGATCGGATCGTGAACATTTAAGCAATGACAATCAATCCAGCACAACAAAAGATGGCAGCAATCTTCTTGCATATCGCTATGGATAAGAGTTACAGCGGTAAGAGAAAGGGTCACGACCATAATCGCAAGCAGCCAGTTCAGCGAACCTACTGCTTGCCGACACGCGTGCGCCTCTGCATCCATCGGGAGCTCCACCTAGTGTGCACGCGCACACTTGCTGCAAGACTCATGTTGTGATGACGGGTGTTCCCAAATGTTGCAAGCATGCCTGTAAGCCAACCCAACCATGGGAGTTGCTTTCTGAAGGTCAGTGGGTCCAGCATCACCTAGACCTAGCTGAGTCCGATACTTGCAACTTTCGGTGGCCAAAATTGGAAACGTCTTCGCCTTTTGATCTTGGCAGTCGATTGGGATTCTGCATTAGTATAGCGTTTAGGATTTTAGAAATCTGTGAGAATGTTAAGCCCCTCTTGGCAGGTACTGAGGCGAAGGAATGGATACCCGCATGATTTACGTTTTTGGGGGTGTCAGTCCAGCTGGTTCTTGCAAGACTCACTTTTGCATGCGTTGCAGGACAGCAGCCATCTTTCTGCGTTTAGTGACAATGTTCATAGAGCCAGTACACATCAATGTTTGGTGATGGCGACTGCGTCGGCTGAGGCCCGAGAACCGCGGGGGCGTGTTCGTGATCTGGCATTGGAAATTCGCATCAACGCACGCAAGCAGGCCTGCAGCAGTCGGTTCGCCCCATGTTCCCAGCGATGGCCGCTATGGCCACGGATCACCACCTTGAATTCCATCCTCGCGTGAAGGCGGATTGAAAAAACGTGCTCGTCTACCTCTCGGCGGCATCAGCTTGAGTTGTGCCAGGGGTTACGATTGTGGTTAGGTCATGATCAATGTTCGAGCAATTGCCATGTCTCTTTCTGCAACTGAATGCCAAGATTCCAATCCAAAATCAAAAGTTGAAGTTCCCCCAAAAACACCCACAGAGGAGTGGTCCTGCTGCCGACGGGCAGCTTCACAACGTTGGAAGTCCAACGCGGAAACGCCGCGCTGGATGTGAAACAGGGCACTGCCTGTCAGATACTTCAGGGTCAAAAGTTTGGGGTTTGGGTGGGGGAGGGGTTTTGGGCTCATCTTAAATGCAGGTCATTCCATGGTTTTGGGTCGGATCCTTGGTTTGGGGGTGAACAAAGCTTGGGTATAGTGGACCTTCATCTTGGTTGTGCACGCGTCTTTCTGGAGGAGTGGACTAAGGTTTGCAATAAGAGGAGGAACCAACCACCAAGGCCTCTGCAGGGTTCCAGGCCCCGAGTTGCTTGCAGCAGCCGACGATGAAGACGTTTTCGCCTTCAAGGCCCGGCATCAGAACTCTTGCTGGGAATCTCTACCTACGCATCCTGCACTCATCCAAGCCATCTGGAACGGCCGCTACCTGGCATTTTTCCTGGAAATCGAAAGGTAAGGATTGCATCTGCCAACTAATCGTTGCTTCTCAACATTACTGGCACTTGTCTGCAAGTATGGCAGCTGCGGGAAAAAATACTCTCCAGGCCGCAGGCCTGGCGCTGTGCACGAGCAGTCCACACGGAAGATAACATCCATGGCAGCAGAAACCATTGCTGCCATCTGCAAGCCCTAGAATCTTAGAAGCCCTGGTATGGAACCAACCCCTATGATCCCCTTGGGTGAGTGTGGTGAGAAACATGTAGCAACCGAATCCCGAAATTGTCATAGCATCATGTGCCACTCAACAATGCCTGCTTAAAACTCCCTACATACTCTTTACTATAAAGTAGTACAGTAAACCCGTTGTCATCCTTGCAAGGGCGCTTGAGAATCTGTCTTCTCTTGATGAATCGCGCAAAGCAAACGTGAAATCGGCAAACCCTTCTCTGCACGACAAACAACACGGACCAAAGGCGCAACAGCATCTGACTACAGTGCTTCAAGAACGATCCTTACAGCACTCCAGTCTCTCCGAATCCAGAAAGATGGTGATTCACTGAATCTTTCAATCAAGCTCCTCCTGTTCATGTCGGGAATGGCTTTTCTAAGGGTTTTGGAGGATTCATGGCGGAGCACTGATCACTGGATGCCTCGGCCTCGTCCTCTTGCCAAGCATCTGCATCCACCGGAAGCTCCACCTCGTGTGCACGCGCACATGTGCTGTAAGACATATGTGATGCTGACGACAAGAACCTACAGTGCCTTGATGTCCTCGAGGTCAGCGTGCGACCGCTTGCCGCGACCTGCGACGCGATGAGATATCTGAGACAGCTTGATCAACGTGCAAGCGCAAGTGCATGAACCCGAGCGCAGTGTCAAAAAGACAAAAGCAAAGCCGCAGACCTACTTGCAAGTTCTAGCTTGGCCAATGCAAGAAACATTGGTACTGTAAGAAACAGAATCACAGTGCTGGACGAGGACTTTTCCGGCTCCGCGCGCGCCAGCCCCTGAAGGGCAATGATCGTCTACTTTGCAGCGCGCCAGGCCGAAAACAAACGGATGCTGCGATGGCTGCCCGGCGAGTCTCGGCGACGGAGTTCCTCACCAGCCGCACTGGACACATCACTGCTCTTCCAAGAAACGATGCTTCCAAGGGTGGCAACTGGGCTGTAATTACATGTGTGGGGCTGACTCATCTCATTGTACGAGTAGAAGAAGTCGCAGACAAAGTAAGAAGTAATCGCACTTGTCACTTGACTGAATTTGGAAAGCCAAGCTGCAGCGTAGCTCGAAAATGAAGTCATGGAAGCGAACACCTGCCGTCCGCGGTCGCTGGTGCATTCGGCTTGATACCACCAAGCCACTTCAGCTCACTAAGTCGCAACTGCTGCCATCGTTTCTGCACGCAAGACATGAGCTTCTCAAGCGATTCGTTTTGCCGGCCTGCTCCAGGCTAGCCTCGTGGGCGTTCAGTCGCAGCCTGGGACCACTTAACTACCAAAGGCTACCGAGACGACCACCGGCCCCCTGGGGCTCCGGCAGGTTGTGCCCGTGGAGCTTGACGTCCCATACCCACGGCACCTTGCCCAGCATCCGGCCTAAGAGCGAGCCCAGTAGCGGACTGCAATGCCAGCACTTCCCCAGGGCGAGGACCGGCCGCTGCCGTTGCCTCTGGTGTTGGCATCTGAAACGTGCCTGGGCGAGGCAAACCGATCGCGAAACAAGCGAGCTACCCTCGGTCCCCTGCTGCCATCTTCCGCTGAGCCACAGATGAAGGTCTTGGACACGAACAGCTGCAGGCCGCGCTTTGCCTCTTCATTTGTGCTCAGGAGAAACACAAGTACAAAACAAACACACGCGGATCTACGCCACAAGTCTAAGATAGGCAATGTCCATGATGACCAGGCCTTGCGAATCGCCGCAAGGGTGCCGTGCAGATGGATGTGCGTCTCGCGCAGCCTGTGCTGTTCCAACTCTTGCACTGAAACAGCGGTTACCGGATCACTAGCTAAGCAAGCCAGGTCGGCTCCAGGGTGCAGCCCTCGGCGGCCTGCGACCAAAGCTTGCTGTTACGTGCAAACCCATCGAATTTGGCACCAGCATGCACCTTGATCGCGGGAGCTTCCCTGTTGGGGCCGTGCTCCAACATGACCTTACGTACATCAGCCGTGGAATCGACAAACAAGGACCCAGAAAAGTGTAAATCCGCGAAGGCCGTCGAACAAACTGGAGCTGCACATCTTTTGACACTAGAAACCGCGGACTCGGGGAAATGGAGAACATGGAGTCAGAAAAATGCAGAGTGCTGGAAACGAGACCGCCGATTGCGGTTGCTGTTTTTACCTTCATAAGATAATCAGAGCATCATCCGCAGAGCCCCGCCTGCTCTTCCCGAACCGGGTAAGGGGGGTGTCAGGAAGGGTTGCAATGAATTCACTGGCGACACGATAGATCGCGGCTAGGTTCTTAGTTACAGCACGTGCCATGTGGCATCACGTAGCGGCACTTTGCAATGTTGCATGCAGCTCATCTCATGTGCATGATCTGCTTTGCAAGTGTAGCGGTAACCGGGACCGAGGCTGGTCCCATGTTGGGACGAAGGTGGAAGCGGCCTCAGTCAGCCATGGTACTTGCGTGCATTGCGCCGGAGAACCTTCTTTTCACAAGTGGGTCACCCCAGCGACGTAACCAAAAGAAGCCCAACCGACGATTCTCTTGAGACCACCTGGTCCACCCTCAAAGCTGGGGGCTTCTGCAACTTGCGCAGTGCACCTGGGGCCCACGACCCTCCTGCTGCACTGGCGTCCCCTGCGACAAGCCATTCAACCAGAAAAATTCGCCCAGACCGTCGCCAGTTCCAGGGCTGTTGCTTGCAGGACTTGGACTACACACGAACTTGATAACTTCAGTTCAAGATCCCATAGAAAACTGTTTTTGCGAAGCCATTGGTCTCGTCATGTTGTCCCACCCTCTTTTTGGGGCCTTGGGCCTTGGCAATCCAGCGCATCCAGTGAGCTCCCTGTGAACTCCTACAATACTTCTCCGCGCATGTGTAAACGAGACATCCACGATTCATGCTTTTGCTAAGACTGCAGAGCGCCATATGACCGAAAGGTGCCTAAGAAGGTCATCCATATGGGTGAAGCACACATGACACCGCAATCGATCTGCAAAGGGCCGCTCCGGAATTCCAGCGCAGTCTACACTAAAACCATCCCCTCGGTACGTAGAGAATGCGGGAACGAATCCAAAAACAAATAAGGTTGCGATCGCTATTGAGAGCGATGCAGGGCGCGCTCTAGCTAAGGGTTTCATTCATGTACCCTCCAACAACCACGCCGCACAACAGAACCCCCAAACCCTAAAATATCATCCAAAGCCAACGAACTCGAGTCCGAAGCTAACCCCAAACCCTAAACCAGTAGTAAATATGTTCAAGTATACTACTTGCTATAGTGCGTACTAGCAGCATCATATCACAACATCTGTACCAGTATAGTATAAGCGCACCTTCACGGAGCTGCCGCAGGCCGGGGCAGCCTTCAGAATTTTGAGCTTGGGGGTCGAAGAGTCTATGGTAGTCTCACGGATTAGGGTTGCACGGTAGTTGCACGTACATGGTTTTTTTCGGGTTTTGGATTTCACCTTGCACTCCTGGTCAGAAACATCGGTTCAGCGCATTGAGACATGTCCGAGTTTGTGATGGGGTCCTGCCGTTGCTACGGTGTGCACTACTACGGTACGCTCCAGTATACATCGTGCCACAACGTGCGCCAGTACAGCATACGGCCGTACAGCCCGAACCACCCCCCACCCCACCCCGACCCCACCCCCCGGCCGAACAAAAACAAAGTCCTCTCTTTTTGCATGGTGATGATCTAGAGATGTGCTTGACTTGTTGACTTGTCGGACTGCATGCTCTCTCACTATACCATAGGGTCCCTATTTGTATGCATGTGTTTGCTGATGTTTGGGGGGGGGGTGGGTGCACGCCTGGGAGGGGAGCACATTTGTGTCAGCGTGCATGAGATTGCTGCTTGGGGGCGCAAGTGGGTTCTGACCAATCTTGGAGTTCGCGAATCCCCAGTGTGCACGCGCCCGAGATACGACTTTAAACAAGAAAATACGACTTAACCTACCCACTTGTATCAGGGCTGGACGTGGACTACAGCTCCCCCCCCCCTCCCTCGTCCCCACCCCCCTTCCCCCCCCCCTCCCCCC